TCATAGTAATCCGCTAAGCCTAGGCTAGCAAATCAAAAAAAATTACAGTGGAACTTCTGTATAACGAACTCCTTTATAACGTAAATCCCGTATAACGAACAACTTCTAAATTCCCGTCTACCATTACACAGTGCATTTAAAACTCCTGTATAACGAAACTCCTTTATAACGAACAAATTTCAAATCCCTGAGTGATTCGTTATACAGGAGTTCCACTGTATTTTATCAGAAAAGACGTACCTTAACATAGCTTTACTAACCTTAATTTGAGCAGATTTTACAGTTAAACGCTACCCGGAAGCTGTTCTTTTCTCTAATTTAAAAGCTCAAGCATTACTCATCATCATGTCATACTTTATCGTAATGTAAAAAACCAACAAAAATGATCTCACAATTAAAAAACTATATAAAATTGACTTACCATATCAAACCATCAAACACTTCCAGACAATTTCATCAACCATTAAAATACGACTAATTATCAACATACTACTTCAACAAATAGTAAACATTCGCGCAATGTTTCCAAAAGCAGAATTTAAAAAGAAAATTCGCGGAGTTTAAAATTTTTAAATTTTACGAACAAAATTAGTAAAAAAAACTTTTTTGTGATTAGATTGCACTTTTTACCTGACAACGTCGTATGTTGTTTCAAACATTTTTTGATTGATTTATATTACTTATTTTTGGGTTTGATGTATGAATTTGTGCCCGCGCTTCGTGGTATCACACGCTTACCGTGCGGTATTCACTATATAAGGGGGTTGTGTGAAGTTTACTGTGATAGTTATAAATTGTTTCCAAAACTTGGGATAGTAAGTGGTATTCTGATGTTTGATAATTATAAAATTTACTATAATTTATTGGGGTTCGAAAATATAATAGGACAGTAAGATAAAGTATTCAAAAATATTATACTAAAGTAATAATAAAAAGTTTTAAAAATAAGATTTTTCTTGCCTATAACGGGCGTTTTGTTTTCCAAAGGGTTTTAACGTGTAAACAACGTCTTTGTAAATGAATTGCAGTAGAACTTCTATATAACAAAACGCTCGGAAATTGAAATTTGTTCGTTGTAAAGCAGTTTCTGTGTGCAGGAGGTTAAATGCAGTGTGTAAGTGTTGACATAGAATTTAAAAGTTGCTTGGTATACAGAAATGTCGTTATAGAGAAATTTGTTATGCAAGGGTTCTACTGATTTTTTTATTACAGTAATTTCAAATTCTTTTGTTTGTAAAATGTAAAATATCACCTGTTTTACTTGAAGTTTTAACATTTTTTTAAAAATTTTGGCAATGTTAATTTATTTTTATATCCTTCAGCGGAACTGTTGTATAACGTGGTCGGGAATTTAAAATTTGCTCGTTGTAATGGTGTTTTGTCGTACAGAAGTTTTTTAAAAATTTTAAAATGCTTTGTGTAGTGCTAGCGGAGGGTTTAAACGTTGTTCGTGGTTGAGCCAAAAGTAGCGGGAGACTTTTTAGTTGAAAATCAAATATAAAGTGTCCCGCTACTTTTGGTTCAACCTAATAATACAGAGTTTTTTGTAATAGTGTAGTTTGTTATATAGAAGTTTTACTGTATAAGGTATAATTTTTAAAAAAATTTTTCTTTATAAAATTTAGCTTTACAATTTAAACTTTTAACATGCACTTCAATACATAAATATTGTTTGTTGTTGTTTATAATCACTTCCTGTTACAGAAAACCGGTTTATTATACGTGCAAATCCTGAAAGTCGCAAAGCCGAAAGCAATATAGTAAATTTTGTTAAAGTATTAATCATACTATTTTTTGTTTTGTTTTCTTGCATTACATTAACGTTTACAATGTGGTATCTATTTTGTAATACTTTTTGTTACATTTGTTAGTTTTTATAAGGCAATATTGGTTCTATGGATAATATTATGTTTATGACTCTTGTTATTTACTGTAATATCATATACTTACTCAGTATCAACTGTTTTGCAGCACTTTTTAAGTTAGTTTTAACATTGCTTTCACTGTTTAAAGTCTGGTCGATTTTCTAATTTTTTGAAATTTGAAATTTTTTTCTTACCACTATGTCTTACTGTAGTAAAACTTAGGGTTAACAAACTTTTTTATAACAAAATTTTTGTATAACGAAGCAAATTTTAATACTCCGGGCGGTTCGTTATACAGCAGTTCTACTGTATTGTATAAGAATTTTAATAAAACTTACTGTAGTAAATCGGACGTGTTTTTGATCTTTGAGTTACTGTATTTTTAAGACCTTTGAACTACTTTAACGTTTCTTAGTTTTGTACTTTCTCTAGTATTTGTATCATGTAACTTACTATATATTATAAATAGGCCACAAAATGTTCGTAAAACTGACATCATACACTCACACATGTGCCTATTATCATACAATATACAATCAAAGTCTAAATGTACGTTTGTGATTAAAAACATTGACAAGGAAGGTGCCCCACCTGCAACGCTCAGATTTCGTTCCAATGTTTTTAATTGAGAGATCATGTAAATGTAAGATCTTATGCAAAATTCTAAGTTGCGGTTTGCGGCCAGTCTTGAGAAAATCGAGATTAAACAGTTGCGTTTTGAATTTCCCGCCAAATGCATAGTGTTTCAGCGTAGTGTTTCAAGCTTATAACTTTGTCTTTTTTCGATTTTTAACTATTTTTCTTTGATACAAAAGCTTTAAATGGACTTGCATATCTTAACAGAAACATAAAAAAAGTGCTTGCAACACAATGCCAAATTTGCCAAGTTGGGGGGAAATTAAAATATATTAATTTTAAAACTTAAAACCGCAAGCTAAAATTTTTTGTATGTGCTACTGGTATTATTTATAAAAAATTCGCATAAAAATTTTGAGCCAACTCTGAGAGTTGCAGGTTGGGTACCTTGTGACCCAATAAAAGCCTAAATTAAATGTAATTTTTGTAACAATATAACTATAATTTTTTGGATTATATTATACATACGTAGGTATATTGAAATTTTTTAGTTCTAAATTGTATCTTGGATTCAATTAAGCAACAAATAATATATTTTATCTTAAAAAAGGTAGCATACGTGCCTTTAGGAGTAGAATTACAGTACGAACATCTTTTTTTTTATTTTAGAAAAATTTTTCCGTGACGTATTTTACTAAAATTTGACAAGACTTAGAGTTATTTTAGTATGAATGAAACTTCATTTTACTTATATTATGGTATGACAGTCTATTCGCCCAACCTTCCTCAGTAATTCGTAAAGCAATGTTGTGTACAAGTAATTGATTGTTGACTTTTGATTGAACCGTTTTGCTAATCAAACTTTTACAATTTAAAGCCTTGAAGGTGTCTAATGATTGTTTCTCTGAAAATCATTTTCTTTACAACATTCTTACACAGTTAGAGTGAGTGCAAAGTGTTTACAAGAAGATGCTAAGCATGGGGGTGGAGGTGACAAGAGGTTTCAGATTAGAGATGAAGGAGTGGGAAAGGCAGGGTAGAGGCGAATAAGGCAATATTGTTTGGGTGGGGTGAAAAGGGGGTGGTAAATATAGTAAAATTACATTTAATTGTTATTTTTTTGAATACTTTAACTTTTCAATATTAAATTTTGTGCTTTTTATAGGTACTACAATAACAAAACTTCAATTTTTAATTTTTTATAATCCCATTTTTTACCAATGAACACATGTTACGCTACAAAGTACATAGCAAACTTTAAAATGACATATTTTGATAAAAACTACATTTAGTCTTAAAAATTTATCGTAAAACAATATTTACCGAGTTGTGTAGTTTTAATTTTATAGCAGAAAAAGATTTTGTGTAATGCATTTTTGAGATAGAGATAAACGTGTAAGATGATAGTAGTGTGATATTAATTCAGCAGTTTGGGCGTAACAAGATTAACGCTTAAGCGGCGTTTTTACTGTAAGTTATGTTTTTAAAAACAAACGTAAAAGAGTTTTAACTGTTATCATTTTAACATAAAAATAGAGTTAACTTACGTTATAAGGGTACATTAACATTTGCCTTGCCTTGCCTTGCCTTGCCTTGCCTTGCCTTGCCTTGCCTTGCCTTGCCTTGCCTTGCCTTGCCTTGCCTTGCCTTGCCTTGCCTTGCCTTGCCTTGCCTTAATAATATAAATAATAATACAAACTAAACTTCCTCTCATTCTTCGTAGTTACAATAACATACAGCTATGTCATCTCTACTTAAAGTTACAATTTGACTTACTCACTGTTCTTTGAGCTATTTAACTCACAAATTAAAAGTTTATCATACTTGTTTTTAAAAAAACTAAACATCAACTGTTTGTTGTGGTAGTTCTTTGTATTTTAAAGATCGAGCGATGTTACAATCACGTTTTTCATGTTTAAAAATGCGCGTTAGTAGATTGTTGGAATTCTTACTTCAGTAAAACGTGGCGATATTTTTGATTTTGTTAAATTGTTTTAAAAAATGTTAGTTTAACTTTATATAAATAGCAGTTTAAACTGACAAAATTAATGATTTATGGTTTCATATTTGAGTTTTTACTGGTTGAAACATGCTTATGTTTTTATATTGCGTCTTTCTACAATGTAACAATTTTTACTTTTTTATTAGGTCGTTCATTTAATTCCGCACTATTTACAAATTGTAAAAAAACCACAAAAATTCAATAGTTTGTTCAAAAAATAATGAGCTACTGAACTCTATATTAGAAAAAAATTTTGAAACAACAGCTTTTTTTTACAAAACTTACATTTTAAGAAATTTCAAGTATTAAAAACAAAAAAAATTATAATTACAATATTTTTTTTGCTTTTTTATAAGTTACTGTGTTTTGGCTCATGACTTTTTAAACAAATTAATATTTTTGCTTTTTTTTATTTATTCTTGACGTGTTACAACATTCTTTATATATTATTATCGTTAATTTTTAATAATTTGTTACTTTTCAGACGATTACAATATTTTTATATGCTAATTCCACAAATCACGTAACTTTTTGGCTTGGGAGGAGTTCTAGCGTTAATGCGGCGTAAGTTTTTTTTAAAGTTGTTACTGATCTTAAAATGGTTTTTAAAGCAAGTAGAGTACTTTTTTGTCTTAGCCTAACCCTTATCTTACACTTTTGTTCCGGCGTATTTCTACATTTTTTTAAAATTTTAGATTGACCTTGTCTTGCACTAACTGTCTTTTGGCCGTACTCTGACTTTGGTATTGGCTTGAGTCTTTGCTTTAGCTCTTTGTTATTACCTCTGGCTCTGGTCGTAGCTCGAGTCTTAGCCGTAGCTCTTATTGAGCGTTAACAAAGCTAAGCCAAAGCCAAATCCTAACCAAACCTACCAGATTTTTCTAACTATACCCCAGTTTTAAGCTAGCTATGTTCAACCTTAGCCCTACCCTTAAAAAATTTAAAAAAATTTTCTTACTTTCAAGACTTTAAAAATAAAAATTTTCAGTGTTTTACATTGCTTGTTGGAGTGGGCTTCTTTTTGCACAAAGAAGCTTAGCGGCGATGGGAATCGGCTCACGAGAACTTCTAACCAGTCCATTGGAATCGCTTTGGAAACGGTCGGCCTTCAGGTAAATATTTTTTAACAAAAAGTGATAAGATGAAATATTGATAAAACGGACTTTTTCACACATTTTTAATTTTTTTGTTTTTTTATTTAAAACTTTAAAAAAATGTTTTAAAAGTTTAAATTTTGCATTTTAGGAATTCTGCATATCACGTCAGAAGCAACCACAACCGGCCACGACACAAGCGTCATCACAGAGACGAGCGGGTACTGTACATAATCAAAAAGAAGGCGACTGGTCGAAAACGCCGGTCGATATCGGACGCTGTCATTGAGACTGGTAAGATATTAATCATAGGTTTACTATACCATACTTTGCCTTACCCTACCTTATTTTACTCTTCCCTAAACAGCCTTACCTTATCCTACTTTAAAAAAACCCTACCGTACTCTACCTTAAACTGCTCTACCATGCCCTATTCTAAACTTCACTATTGTAACCTACCCTAAACTTCACTATCGTACCTTACTATATCCTAAATTACCCTACACTATCTTTCCCTACCATAAATCACCCTACCTTAATTTAAAATTACAGTACATGGATTAAAAATTACAGTAATTCTTAACTGTTTCAGCACGATGCGAACACATTGAGCTGGTCGACTGTGAAGCGTACGACTCGGACGAGATGACCTGCATGATTACCGCGACAGGCATGCCCTGTTGCATATGTAATGGCAAGCTAAAGTCATTGAAGGCACGACGCCAGAACTGGAGTTTGTGGTAGAAATCTTTCGCAACAGAATTCTTGATCTCACGGTTCATAATAATTGTTAGTATGTATAATAAGTTCCTTGTAATAATAAATGTGTTAATACTTAACTCGGTAGTATTATATGTTATTGGGTTGTTTTGGTGTCTGGAGTTAATTTAGGCAAGGAATTCTATATAAAAGTACAATACTTACAAGGAAAGTACCCAGCCTTGCCGTGCCCAAGAATTAGCTCAAAACTTTTATATGAATTCTTTGTACTACCAATAGTACTCATAAAAAATTTTAACTAGAGCTTTTGAGTTTTAAATTTTAAATTTTTGAGTTTCCCGCCAACTTGGCATTGTGTTTTAAGACCTGTTTTGTACTTTCCAAACAAGCTACGCTTTTTTTTAAAATGTAGGTTTATTTAAAGGTTTTCTACTAGTATATCAAAGAAAAATAATTAAAAGTCAAAAAATGACAAACTTGTAAGCTTGAAACACAATGCCAATTTTTTTAAATTCAAAATTTAATTTTTTAATCTCGATTTTCTTAAGATTTACTGGAAAGCGCAATTTAATACTTTGCTGTAGGTATTATATTTACATGATCTTTCTATATAAAAAATTTGAAGTCAATCAGAGCGAAGCACATCCTTGTAATTCCACAATTATTGTAAGGTAAGGCTATCTTGGTTGGAAAAGAAAGAATAATCAATTTACAATTAAACTGCCAATAAAATCATGAAAGCATCAAAAACCCCTTCTCTACACAATGATATTTTTCGATTTCATGCCAAGGTGAGCGACTTCTGACTTTCCTTCAATCAAAGCGGAGCAGGTTGGACGCTTTGAGCTAAACAGCTTTAAACTCACTAGAGGAAGTATAAAATGGCAATAACCTACGACCAAAAGTATACAACACAAAATAAAAAACTAAATTTCAGTTTATTTGCAAGAAAACAAGTTCAGACAGGTTTAGCTTCTTCTTCTGTTTTTCCACCACCAGCTTCATCGGCCGCTGAAACTTCTTTGAAGCTTCCCTCCTTCGAATCTTCCGTCTTTTTCTTTGACTTCTTCGATTTGGTTGACTTGGCTTTGTCGTCCTTTTTAGCTGACTTGGATTTTGCTTTCGTGCTCCCTTTAGTCTTTTCTTTTTTAGCCTAAAAAATGTAAATTAAGGTCGGTTTATGGTGTTATTATGAAAAAAGTAGAGTAAGACGAGAAATTTAAATTTGTTTTTTAAACTTTGAAAAAGTAACATTTTAGGTAACAACTTTTATTAAAAATTAAAAAAAATCTTATTTTAGGTAAAAAATGTTTCAAAAATTAAAAAAATAGAGCTTGAAGCTTCATCCATTATTTCAGAAAAAACTCATTTTAACCGTCAATTTTTTAAAAATCTTATAAAAAAAGTGCCCGACCTGCCCCGCTCTGATTGAGTTCAAACTTTTACATAGAAAGATCATGTAAATATAAGTTCTTCAGCAAAATACTAAATCGCGCTTTCCAGCGAAACTCGAAAGATCGAAATCAAAAAATCACGTTTTGAATTTTCCGCCAACTTGGCATTGTGTTTCAAGCTTATAACTTTGCCATTTTTTGACTTTTAATGATTTTTTTTTGATATATTAATAGAAAACCTTTAAATAAACCTACATTTTTTAATTTATAAGCGTAGCTTGTCTTGGAAGTCAAAAAAAGTGCTTGAAACACAATGCCAAATTGAGGAAAAATTAAAATATTTAAGTTTTTAATTTAAAAAGTGCTATCTAAAATACTTTATGGGTACTATTGGTAATACAAAAAACTCATATGAAAATTTAGAGCTAATTCTGAGCTGGGCAAGTAGGGTACTTTCCTTGTTATCATAGGTATAAATATCTTTTCAAATTTTAAATTTCAATCACAATTTCTTTGCCGATTTCAAAAATTTTATGTTTTTCATCGAAATTTCAACAAATTTTGAAAAAATTTCATCAAAATTTCATCCAATTTCATAAAATTTCACTTCTTCCCACCAAGTTTCATCAACAACATACCTTTTTCTTCTTTCCAAAATAGAACGGCCGAACGGGTCGGAGGTCGTCGCCGGATATGTAGAAGGGTCGTATGACCGAGATGGCGATAAGCCACAGTCCACCGAGAAACCAGCAAAACGCACAAATTGGCCCGAAATAGTCCTGAATACCCAGCTTGAACACAGGAAGCCCCATCGCTACAAGTCGACCGGTCGCAACGAAATTATACTCAAAAATGGGGTTGAAAATTTGAAAAGTTGGAGTTTTTAGGTAAAAATAGAATTTTCTAAGACATTTTGTTACCTAAAAGTAAATTTTTTGACAAAAAAGCATGAAAAAATAAAAATTTTAAATTCTGAACTTAAAACTTCATTTTTTTGAAATTAATTAAAATTTTTATTTTATAAACTGGTCGGTCGATTAATTTGTTGTGTATTGGAAAATGTCATCAAATGGTCGTCGCCCTCGTAAACGACGTTCAGCTCGAGGACCTGATCAAAGTGATTCTGATTCTCCTGCTGATGATAATTTACCTCCAGTACAAGAACAACAACGTGGTCAAAGACGTCAATCTGACCGTAGACGATTACCTCCTACTCGCCGCACCAATGCATCAAGTTCACCATCTCATAAGTCATACACTCGTGAAAGAATCGATGATGATACAAGTAAAGATGCACAGGATTTTGTAACAGCTCGAAGTCATCAGCCTCGGAAAAGAAGTTCAGCATCTTCTCGGCAAGGAAGTAGAGCTAGTCGATTGGACAAAGATGGAGAAGACGAGTTCGTAGAAGAGAGTGACGATCGGTCGGTAAAAAGCGGAGAAGATCAAGAATTTGAAGGTAGAAGACGTGTATCTGCAACAGGTAGAAGAAAGATAATATCTCCAGAAAGTGGGAAAGATCAGCAAGCAAAAAGCTGTAGACGTCAACATGTAGCAGCTAGAAGAAAACATCAACCTGTTGCAGAAAGAGAAGATCAAGAAGGAGGACGTCACCGTAAAGTAAATGGCGAAGATCAAGAAGAGGAAAGTGAAGAAGATCGATTGGTAGAAGGTAGTGAAGATCAGCCAGTTAGAGGTAGAAGACGTCGATCTGTAGCAGACAAAAGCAGGCGCCAATCAGCCCAAGGTAACAAAGATAAACAAGCCAAAAGAGATGAAGATCAACCGGTAGAAGGTAGTGAAGATCAAACAAGAGGTAGAAGAAGTCGACCTGTAGCAGTTAAAAGAAGACACCAATCTGCAGTAGATGGCAAAGATCAACAAGTGGAAAGTGAAGAAGATCAACCGGTATCTGCTAGAACAAGAAGTCGATTATCAAAAGGTGGGGTAGATCAACAATTAAAAAGCAGAAAAAGTCGACCTGTAGCAACTAGAAAAAGGCGTCAACCAGTAGAAAAAAGAGAAAATCAAGAAGTAGAAAGTACAGAAGATCAATTGGTAGAAGGTAGTGAAGGTCAGCAAGTTGGAGGTAGAAGACGTAGACCTGTAGCTTCTAGAAAGAGGCGTCAACCTGTAGCAGGTAGGAAACAGCCTATAGAAGAAGATGATGAGTCAGACGAAAAAGATAAACTTGATTATTCTAATGCTTCAACTATAAAGTTAACTAGTACTGATTCTGATTCCGAGGATTCAGAGCCACCGCCAACAAATTCAGACAAAACTTCTGCTGATTCACAGTCATCGTCAGTTAGTCCTACACCAAACCCATCGTCATCTGGTTCTGAAGAAAGTTCACAGCCTACAGGTGAAGGGGCAGGTGCAGAAGCGGCAAGTTCTGACACACCAGCAGAAGCTGAAGAAAAAAGCGAAGAGAGTTCGGAATCATCATCTTCGAGTAGTTCCAGTTCTTCCAGTACGTCAAGCACAAGCTCGAGTAGTAGTTCAAGCAGTTCGAGCTCGGTAGGCTATTTAGGGTTTTTTTTAGAGTAAGGTAGGGTAGGGTAGGGTAGAGTAGGGTAGGGTAGAAAAAAAATAAAAAATAACTGTTTTTAGAGTTCAAGTTCAGCACCGAGCGCTCGAAGACAACAAAGAAAAGCCCAAAAACGTCAGAAACAATTTGAACGAAGACAAAGACACGCTGCGCAACGTAGGGTAAGTTATTATATCTTTTTACAACTTTGACAAATTTTTTAAATTTTTAATGACTTTTTAAAATTTTTTATTTTTTAAAATGGAAAACATATTTAAAAATATAAGGTTGATTTCAGAGAAGAGCTGAAGCCAAAAGAGCTAAACAACGACGTAAACAAGCTCTTCGTCAACAGAAAAAACAGAAGAAGGCAATGAAAGCTAAAGAAAAAAGAAAACCGCCACCTTCTGAACCTTCTGCTCCTTCTGATTCAACTCCAACGACCCCGTCTGCTTCTGAACCTTCAAATGATGAATTAACGGACTCAAAACCTTCTGCTGAGGTTTCAGGATCTTCTAAAAGCTCAAGCCCAGGATCAAGATCTGAAGACTCAAATCAAGGATCAAGATCTTCTGAAGGATCAAAGGGTAGCTCTTCAGATTCTGAAGCTTCTACTTATCGTTCAAAATCTTTTGAAGGCTCTAGTCAAGGTTCAAGATCTAGAGGCTCAAGTCAATGCTCAAGATTTAAAGGCCCAAGACGAAGCTCACGATCTAAAGGCTCAAGATTTTCTGAAGGTTCAAGAGACAGTTCTTCAGATTCTGAAGCTTCGACTTACGGTTCAAGATCTTCTGAAGGCTCAAGTCAAGGTTTTTCGGGTTCAGAATCAAGAAGTTTTCAGTCAGAATCAAAATCTCGCGATTCTTCACAGTCTAGTCAAGCTTCTGGAAGCGGTCGTTGGAACGATAAAAGACTTGGAAGGAAGAACCATGAAGGTAAACGTACTGGAAGCCGCCATGCTAAAGTTAAAAGACGGAGTAGAAAGCAAGATGAAAGCAGGCGCTCCAGAAGTCGTCAAGATAAAGTTGGAAGATCTAGTAGCCGACAAGATCATGGTCAACATTCTAGAAGTCGTCATTTTGAAGACAGACAATCCAGAAAGCGTCAACTTGACGGCAAGCGCTCTAGAAACCGTCCAGGTGAAGGTAGATCATTTAGAAGCCGTGCCAATGAGATTAGGCCTTCCAAAAACCGTTACGATGAATCTGAATCCTCATCAAGCCGCGACGAGCAAGCTAGTCGTTCTAGAAGCCGTCACGATGAAGCCGCACCATCTCGGCCAAAACTACCTCCAACAGCAAATCCAGAACCGACTCCAGCTGCAGCACCATCGGCTTCAAAAAGCCCAGCAATGGATAAGACGCAACTTAAAATGGTAGCAGCTCAAGACAAGATTCAAGCTGCCATGGCTCGTGCCAAACTTAAAATTGATGCAGCAATGCGTAAAGTGGCGGCTAAAACAGGTAAACTGGGTGCGAAGACGCCCGGTGGTACACCTGCTCCAGCTAGTGATGTTCAAACTGGTAATGGTGCATCTTCGGGTGGCAGTGGGACTTCTTCTCCTGACGGTGGTGCTGGTTCTACAGGTGGCAATGATAGTGATCTAAGTCATGATTCTGTGTCGCCTGGTGATGAAGATACGGACAGTGGTGATGGTAATCACAGTGAGAGACAACTTGGTTACCGTGAAAAACCAGGCAGTCGTCGAGAGAACCAAGTTGGTCGTCGTGAGCGTGAAACTGACCGTGAAACTAAAGGCAGACGTCGTGAGAGCCACGTTGGCCGCCGTGAAAGTTCAGCTCGTCGCCGTGAACGTCAAGGCAGTCGCCGTGATTATCCAATTAGCCGCCGTGAACGTAAAAATGCTCGTGAAAGTCAAGACAGTCAAAGTGAAAGTCAACGTGCTTACCGTGAAACTGAAAGTGGCCGTGATGAAAGCAGGAGACATCATAGACGTTATGAGGACAGCGATGATAAGCTCCACAGTCTAGCACGTGGTCTCGGTCATGAAAGACATGGTAGGAAACGTCGTAGGCCAAATCACTAATTTTGCCTTAAGAAGCAATAAAATCCTTCATTAAAGTTTCTTGACTATTTGATGTTGTGTATCTTAAACAAGTTCTTTATATACATTTGTCGTCGTTGAAAGAATCTGGAGTAATCTTCAAATGATGCAGAAACAATTATAGCCTTATATTTATCTTCTACTATAGATAATATATAGCAGAAAGTAAACGTAACAGGATGATAGTATAAACCGGATTAGAGAAAGGATATTATAATTGCTGGAAATTATGATAATATTTTTTATTTGAAACGAGATTTCAATATTAAAAAAAGTGAGTTTGTTTATAATATTAAGGTTTAAAAGTAAAGTAAATTTAATTAATAATGCAACACCAAATTAGGCTAAAAATATGTAAAATTTATTGCAAAATACCAGTAATACAACTTTATTATATGTGGAGATAAACAATACATGTTTTCTTAAAAAAGAAATGTGAGCAAGATATGTTTTAACTTTACAATGTAACTTTTATGTACACCTTTAGACCGATTTTTGGTTTAGGTCAAGCTTTTGTTTTAGCCAAGCCTTAGTTTGAGCAGGGCCTTGGCTTGGAGTAGGCCTTGGTTTGGACCTGGTCTTGGTTTAGGCTTGGCTTTGGTTTGGGCCTCGCCTTAGTTTGGGCCTGGCGTTGGTTTGGGCCTGGCCTTGGTATTGGCCTGGCCTTGGTATGGGCCTGGCCTTGGTATGGGCCTGGCCTTGGTATGGGCCTGGCCTTGGTATGGGCCTGGCCTTGGTATGGGCCTGGCCTTGGTATGGGCCTGGCCTTGGTATGGGCCTGGCCTTGGTATGGGCCTGGCCTTGGTATGGGCCTGGCCTTGGTATGGGCCTGGCCTTGGTATGGGCCTGGCCTTGGTATGGGCCTGGCCTTGGTATGGGCCTGGCCTTGGCTTGAACTGATCTTTGGTTTGAGCAGCATTTTGGTTTGAGCAGCATTTTGGTTTGAACATAGCATAGCCAACTTCTTTTTAAGTCTAGTCCAAACTAACAATCTTCTCCAACTCTGCACTCCACTGCTTCGTCCGCTCGGCCGCTCTCTGTTTCAGCACGATCTTATGCTGGGATTTCCTGGCTTCAATCTCGAAATCATCTTCATTCTCTGATCCATCTCCACTTTCAATGCTATCTCCTTTTCGACAACGTTGTTCTCGTATCCTTTCGTGGTAAATGTCCTTCTCCCATGCGACTCGAAACGTGTTATGTTGTACTATGAACGACCGGTCGGAGGTAAGGGTCTCTTTGGATCCATGCATGCTTGAGCGACTGGATGGGGTAAAGGCGCGACGGGTTATTAGGGGCGGAGTTCCGAGACTCCCACTAAAAATGGTGATTGGAAAAATGTTTTCTATACACTTTTTGACCTCCAAAAACTCAAATTTTTCAAAATTTTTAAAAAAACATACCAGTCGTCCAAAAACTCTCTTCTGGAGATATGTTGTACTATAGGAGCTTCAATTGGCATGGCTATTGAACTTTTTTGTTTTTGAAGAGGTTTCACATTGTTATTGTTCACATCTGCCGTTTTAAATGATCGTATCTGAAAGATATGATTTTAAAATTAAATTTTTATGTTTTGGAAAGAAAGTACTTGCGGTTTTAATTTTTTTTTGAAGTATTAAAGATTCTTATTTGTAAAGAAAGTTCCCGCGTTTATAAAACATTTTGTTGGAAAGAAAGTTACTGCGGATTAGCAAAAATAGTTTTGTAAAGAAAGTTCTTGCAGTTTACCATAATTTTGTGGAAAGAAAGTTCATGCAATTTAAAATTAAAAAAATTTTTTTTTAAATATTAGATTCTTCAAATAATTCTGTGCTCCCTAACTCCAATATTTTGTTTTTAGAAGGAGCTGAGTATTATTTGAACAACTTAATAATAAAATTTTTTTTGGAAAGAATGTTTTTGCAACTCCCAAAAAAAATTTTTTCAAAAAAAATTTTAAAAAAAGTCTAACCTCAGCCAACTTCTTATTGTAATCAAGTACACCATGTAGAAAGTTCTTTTTAATAGGCGCTGCCCGCACCGGCTTCTCTACTTCAATATCCATTATTTTCGGATTGTATTTCCGACTGCCATTTGAACTTGACGACAAGGTTGTTGTTGTAGTTGAGTTTGTGGCAGCATCATCAACCTCACTATACTCTTCATCTTGTCGTATCTGAGAGATTACTCGCTGTTCGATGAATTTACATTCGTCTTCGGTTGGTTGTCGACGAGTGTATGCTGATTGGTTTTTGAGGTATCCACACTGAAATTCATGATAAAATACAAATTCCATTCTTTTTGTTTTAAAAACAAAAAAAATTAATTTTCAACTGCCATTTTAGTTATTTAATATTATAAAAATACTTACTAATAGCATTTTGTTTCTTGGTTTTCGTCGTATCTTCCAAAAACTGCTTTCATTTCCATTTGTTTCTTCTGACCTTTCAACTATAGGGGTTCGGGTAACTAAAAGTTTTGTTATTATTTATAACTCTTATGTTTAATTTAATTTGAAACAAAAATGAAAATTCTATGGATAAAGTCAACGCAGAAGCTAGCAATGCAATTTTTTTAAACATTTCGGCCGTGCCTAATTTTATAGCTCCGTTCACGAGTGCTTCGGGCCCGGGTTTAGTGGGTCTATATTTATGTTTACTTTAGACCTGTCTTATACTACACTATAATAATTTTATTGATCTTCTTTAATTAAATTTTGAAGGTTAAAGTTTCGTATTTTATCAATCCATAAGCACCGTATTTATCCTAAAATTTTATTAAAATTAGAGAAAACACTTACTGTTCAAAGAAGGATTTGTCTGCCTTCTTGGCCATAAGACCTTATCTTTTTGATCTAATACTGAGCCAGACTGTATCCGACGTAATGGTGCTCTTGAATTCTGCTTCTGCATCATCATTGCCCTGGTTGTGGGTACGCTTGCACCACAACCCATGGTGCTGAAAAGTTTGATTAAAATTTTATTCAAATGGTCAAATAGGTAATGGCCGTAGTAAAATACTATCAAGTGATCCTAAGATAGATAGATCAAATATAAGCATTAATAAAGTACAGCTTAAGTTAGAATCAATCTTGTTATAGACAAATTCTTTCTATCATGTTTATATTCCACAAGTAATCTCGGCTCGACATTAATAATTTTACCTACAACAACTTTTTCCACGTGTAAACTTAGTTTTTGCAAAAACTACAATGTAAAACAAGGGTTATAGTATGTGTATAAGCGATATAATAGTATATATAGTCCTTAATCAAAGTAAAACAATATGATCCGCATAATAAATGATCGTCTAGTATATTAGTAATCATTGTCATTATATAGTCCAGTATTAAACACAGCATTAAGTGACCCTAGATTTGCACGATATACATTGTCTTCATATTATAGTACTTAATTATTATACTACAGTACCTAACTATGTACCTATTTTGTACTGTACAACATGACAATTCAAAAACTACGTGATGCATAAACAATATATTGTTGTAGTAAACACAATATACTACTATAATCTTCAATATATCACCCAAATTAAATTTGAAATGAACTTTTTTTGTTTTGCAAAAAAAAATTTTAAAAAACTTGAACCAACGTGCACTAGCACGTTCAGAACACACAGCACGTTTGCCAGCACGCTCAACGTAAAAACGTGACCGACGAGCTAACATACACTACATACATATGTATGTATACCTCATTACACGCAATAACCTTCAATTAAACGTCAAGAGGAAACCGGCCGTAACTACTGAGTCTGGCTGAGTATTATAGATGTATCTATCCATTAGGTGTTTTTTATCTCGTTCGGATTAAGTCGCTTCGTAAGCGCTGTCCAGAACTGTCTTAAGCTCTTTTTACTTGTCTGTGGGGTTACGTTTTAATGAGGAAAATTGTGAGGAATAAAGTCGTTTTGGTTAATTTTGTTATATCCCGTTTAAAACTTTGTTCAGGCTTAGCTCGTCCCAAATTTTTTACGTGAAAACAATCCGAGTTGGGTTTGAGCAACATTTTGATAGAAAGAGGTCTACTAGACCCAGTCTAAGTCGATGCTAAATTAAAAAAGTTGTTTTAACCTGATTTGGCCCCTTTACAGATCTATCTCCACCTAACAAAAAAATTTAATTATAATAACAAGTCACGTACGGTATGTAACATACGTCAACACATAAATAAACATAGATTTGCCTTTTATTTTCAAAAACTATTAATTATCTCAAAATTTTGCTATGTATTGTTTACCATTCCTTACATTACATATTTTTAATTTTATTATAATTTATACAAAAAGTTTGTTAAAGTCAAATTTTTAAATATCAAGGAAACACTGGCTTTCAAAGCTCTAGAAAGGCTGACACCTACCTCAATATCCTCTCCCCTCTCCTCTCAATTCCCCCAAAACTTCCGAAAATCAAATTTTTAAATGTTTTTCAAAATAAATCGTAAAGCAACAAGTCTTCAACGAAATACACATCCTACGATAAGCAACTAAAACATTTTAAAAGTGTAGTGTAGAAAATATTTGTGAGGCAGATTATCTTTTCGAAAAAACGTTAAACGACATTCATTATCTAAATTAGTAACTGGCATTGAAAAGAGCGAACACGAAGCCATTCAAGTGTTTTTTAAAAAGTGTACATCTTACTTTCAAACAATGGAAAAAAACTACAATGGGGTTGTAAAAATGTTAAGAGTACTATATATACTGTTTGTAGTTTTTTAAGTACAAACATTTTAAAAATTTTAAATTTGAGAGCAAGTGAAAGGTCAAAAACGTGAAATATGATAAAGTACGTTTAATTACAGTAGACTTGGGTAGAAAAACTACCCTACCCTACCCTACAATACCTCGTTCTAATTTATGTTTACCTAAATTGTCTTATCCTATCGCGATTCTTACCTTACAGCTTCTCTAACCTATTCCTACTCTTTTCTTACATACCCTACCATACTCTGCCGTACTCAATGTAACCTTTCTCTGACCTGCTCTAATACATCTCTGCTCTAACCTAACTTAATCTGTCTTGACCTATCTTGCCTTAATCTACTCATACTCTAAACTATCTCTATCCTAACCTGTTCCTACCTTAACCTACTTTTTCCTTAATGTCTGGCGACTAACTTAAATTTTAAACTTTAAGTTCTAAAAGTGCCAGTAAAGCGTAAAAATTGTAAAATTAAAATTACATTGTGAGGTATTATGTGGCATTATGGAAAAAACCTCTTGTCTTGTTAGCGAAGTTTAATCGCAACTTAATCCTTTGCTTTTCAAAGATCTATTAGTTGTAAGTTTCGAAAACTTCTTAACCAGACTTTTGTAAGGAGTTTATTTCATCACAATACCTAGTTGTTGTAGCATTCAGTTTAATTTGTCACAACATATATACCTATCATAATATAAAACGTTTTCATTATTTTCAAAGTAGTACATATTACTATAATACTATTAGAAGGTAGTACAATATCTATTTGGAAGTATTGCACTACCTCCCCATATCATCCTTCATAACATCGTAAAACTCGTCGAACATAGTAGTAAAGTTCTTAGGGTAAATGATACCTCCAAGCTTTTGTTGTCGTATCCTAACCGACTTGTTCGCTCCAAAATCTTCTCTTGGTATCTTCAATTCCAATAAGTTATACAAGTTCTGGCCCTTCAAAGAGTCATATATCTGTAGAACAATTGGATCTTCGTAGAAGATAACAAAGAAAGCGTAAAACGAAAAGCATAGTTTAATAAAAACTATGACGCCACAGTATAACACTGGTTGGTTTAGAGAGAAATGGTTGTGTTTCTTAGAGTTGGGGCTGAAAAGATTTTTATTTTTTTACAGTATTTAAGGTATACTGATTTTTCAAAAATGGTTTGTTTTAACAGTTTTTTCTCACTCTTGTTAAAGCTAGTCCTGACAGAAAGCCTATCACCTACCCTACCGCATCTTATCCTATTTTACCCTACCTAGTCGTTTAGAACTAAACCTAAAAGAAAGCCCCCTATGTAGGGTTGGACGCAGGGCAGGGCACGGGCCTTGACAGGGCATTTTTAAATTTTTTTGGCGCGTTTTTTTTAAATCTTTTTGGTTAGGCCTAAAAACGCAAAAATTTCTAGAAATGGGTTTTAAACAGTGTTAATCCATTTTACGTTGTTATTGTCTGATAACTATTACAGTTTTCAAGATATGAGTTTGGCGAAAAAACAAAATTCAAAAAAAAATGCTCTGTTGATATTTCCTGATCCAACCCTGCTCCTTTGTCTGTCCTGAGGCCAAGGACTGAGCTTAAATAAAGACCCTCTCCAATTTTAGTTAGAGACTTTTTGGTCCTTAGTGTACAGTAGACCTATAAAGTGGCCAAGGTAGGACAACGTAGGATTGAACCTAGTGGGTGTTCACGGTTAAAGCTCCAAGAAATTGATGTAAGCCTATGCCCTTTTTAAGTTTAGTGCTTATAGTCTAGTGACAAAGAAGAAAACAGTTCTTTTCTATATTTTTTTTTTCAAAAAAGTCGATCAGGTTCTTTAATTTTCATAACTCACCTTATCATACTGCCATAAACATCTCGTTCTTTCTACAAACTGCTCTTTTTGATACGCAACAAATAAAAATTTAATTTGCTAAGACTAACTGCTGTAAATAACTGCAAAAATACAAAAGAATATTAGTATACGAATAGATTGCTACCTCTACTATCAAATACTAAACTAATATGTGCAATAATTTTTTAAAAAGAAGAGGTTTTCAACATTAAGTAGTAGATACACGTTGCCTTCTGTCTACGACAAGGTAATTTGTAAATCTACAATGTCTGAGAAACCCCAACAGAAATCTCACTCCCTACAATAGCTTTTAATCTTTTTAAAAAATCAAAAAATTGTAAATCAAAGCAAAGAATCTGAATCCGAGGCGGGGACGGCGTATTGTCACTTCAAAAAACAAGGCGGCATTCTTTATTCAGAACAAGAATAGATATGAATCTGATGTTTAGCGTCACCGTTAAAATAATTGAGACGTTACGCAAAAAACCAAAATCAGTTCAGAATTTGGAATGACTGATTCGGAATAAAGGTATACATGACTCAGAATAGAGGAATACATGACACTGATTAGCAGAAAACATGACACTTACTAGGGAGACACATGACTCAGAATAGAGGAATACATGACACTGATTAGCAGAACACATGACACTTACTAGGGAGACACATGACTCAGAATAGAGGAATACATGACACTGATTAGAAGAACACATGACAATTACTAGGGAGACACATGACTGAGAATAGAGGAACACACAACACTTACTAGAGGAAAACCTGACTTAAATAAAAAACATGACACATAAAAAGAGAACACATGTCTCTAAATAAAGGAAAACATAAAACTTACTAGAAAAACACATGACACATACAGAAAGATACATAAAAAATTAAAAATTCTAAACAAACATGACATAAAAGTCACACATACGTAAGGAAACGTATCTTTGTCACTTCAAATGTAACATTCTTTCAAATCTTGTAGTTTGTAAACAAAAAATATTTTTTGAACATATAATGTAAAATAAAGTATATTTCTAATTGTTTGTGTAAAAATTTTAAAAATGAACTACGCTATACCTCCAAAAAACCGTTTTCGAGTAGCAGTTGGTAATCATCCTCCCGATGCCTATAACAGATGCCCTAGAGGTTTTCCCGCTGAAAAACCTACTATGCATTGTCCTCACATTGGGTTTACATTGGAAGTAAGTATTAAAATTTAATAGTATTAATACTAATACGAAAGTAAGGTAGAGTAGAGTACGGTAAGTTAGGGTGGAGTAGGGTGAGGTAGCGTAGGGTGGAGTAAAATAGAAATTTTAAACATAAGGTACGTTTTTAGATTGTTCAAATGATCGTGGAATACGCTGGCTATTACTTTGAGCCAGTTCTAATCCAATCAGCTGAAGGCAAAACTAATTGGTACAACGTGGTACGTTAAATGTTATTGAAGTCCATTAAATGTTATTGTATTTTACAAACGTTTTTAATTTTGACTATGTCCTAAAAAAGTTACAAAAGTTGAAAATGGTTTGTTTGATAATTTTTAAAAACGAATATTGCTTTTTCTTCTCTTAGATAAAAGCTTACCCACCTTCTACATATGTAAATGTTACAGTATTAAAAACAATTTTAAAAATCTTTGTAGCCGGCTCCGGCTTTGTCTTCAACTTTAATATAATAAAATAACGCTGGAGCTAAAAATTTTAAATTAAGAGGTTCAGAAATTAAAAATTTTGAGTTATAAGTAAAACTAAACGTTGCAGGACAAAACTAATGAAACCACAACGGGAGTAATCAATATGATTGAGAACTACAAAGTCGACACAGCTTGTATCTTGTTCCAAAGCAATTTACCACGCCAACAAAACTTTGATCTTTCGGATGTTGTAACATTTGTAAGTGGTTTTTAATCTTACATTACAGCTTCTAATTTATTCATTGAGTTTCTAGTAAACTTGCCTTTTTGGCCAGGTCTAACAGTTTAAGCACGGCTCGGTTTGCTTGAATTTTGCTTAAGCTAACAAGTAAGCACGGGAGCTAAAGATAGCTTCTACTCAATCCTCTGTAGATATTATGGTAAAACTTACTGTTTTAGGTAAACATGTTCTACATAACCAAGCCAAAGAAGAAGAACGTGGCTATGGCGTTATGGAACGCTTTTAAACCCTATCAGATGGCAGTTTGGAACTACTTGGGTATTGTTTTTGTAGCGCAATGCATGTTCGCTGTTGTTGTCGGCAAACTTGAGTGTATGTTAGGATGGTCAGCCAAGGTTCGGCCTTTTGAGGTAGGTTTAGCTTTACTTGTACTTCATATCTTAATAATACTGATCGTACTCATATCTATTTGATACTAAATGTACTCACATTTTTGGATAATACTGATAGGACTTACATATCTGAATGATAGTGATCGTACTTACAGATTTAAACGATACTGATAGTACTTACTCACATATCTAACTGACACTGATAGTACCCACACATTTTTTAATTTTTCAGCGTTGCTGGCAATACCTCCGTCTCCAAATCCGCCAATCAATGGACTATCACATTCCTTTCAAACTCAGCGCCGGCAACCTATCATTCGTGTTTTACTCAGTAATTCAAGCTACATTACTCACTAATCTCTACTCCGGCATTATCTTGTCAGTTCTGATGAGAGGTGAATCTCAAAAGCCATGGGAGTCATTCGATGACATGGTTAATCTAGTCAAGTCAAAGGAATACAAGTTTGTTATGGACAAGAATACCTATGAGAACTCATGGTTCTTTACTGATTTACAACATGCTGAAACTGAACACTTGAGAAAGTTGTTTAGTGCTTTGAGTACTACTCCGGTTAGTATTGTTGATACTGTTGAAGATGCTTTGAATATGTTGGACTTGGGAGGTTATATTATGGCAGTTCAGGAAGATAGCTATTCAATGTTTTCTTCGACTGAACGGTGTGGATATTACTATTATAGAGATGGTAGGTAGGGTAGGGTGGAGTAGGATAAGATAGAGTAGAATAAGACGGAATAAAGCTGAGTATTGTAAGGTGAGATAGGGTAGGATAGGTTATAATGATTTCAATGTTGCAGTAGAAGTCTCCAAGCCGGCCTTCTTTATGTTTGCCAAGAATAATCCTTTACTATCTGGCTTCAACCATGCTATACGAATGAATCAAAAGTTTATAGACAGAGCTTTCAGAAAGTACTTTGATGTGAATAAGAAAACTGGCAATATACCAAGATGTCCATTGACTGACGAAGATATTCCTGAAGCTGCTAAACAGTTGGGTAAGTTGTTATAAATAGGTTTCTATAGCCGAAAGTTAAGAGAATGGTAGAAGGGGGGGGAAAAAAATTTTTTTGATATTTTATAAGACGAGTTTATTTTACAGTATCCAAGTCTACTGTAAAATAAAAAAAATTATTTTTAGACTTTTTACTTACATCTTCTTTCCAGACATAACCGAGACATTTGGTATCTTCCTAGTCATCTTAATTGGCTGTGGTGCTTCGGGCATTGTTTGGGTTTTGGAAATTGTCTTTTGGTCTCTCTGTGAATGCTTCAAACGTCTACGAGATTCACATAGAAGACGACTGTTTGCTGAGCCGTGGCAATCGTTGGCAGCGGCCAAAAGCTTTTATATTGTACTTGATAAGGCGGTTGATGAAAAACCATTGGAAAATGGAAATATTGCGCCAAAACTAATGGTCGATTTGAAGAAAATAAATTGATTTTGAATTTTTTTTGTTTTTAGAAAGTTATTGAACCAGACTTTGTTATAGCTCTAGCTCTAGCTCTAGATCTAGCTTTAGCTATAGCGCTAGCTTTAACTCAAGCTTTAGCTATAGCTCTGATTTTAGACGTAGCCAACAGTGTTTTGCCGGACCCGTCCGGTCCGGACCGGACCAAAAAGAAAATAGAGCCGGACCGGACCGGACCGAAAAATTTTTTTTATTTTAATAACTGTTTTAAAAATTGCAAATAAAACATATTTTTTAAGAGTTTTTAAACGTAAAGAAAGCAGTTTGAGCGCTCCTGGCTCTTTTTTGAAAATAAAAAAAAATTTTCCGGACCGGGCCTGACCTTTTTGGTCCGGACCGGACCGAAAAAATTCTCATCCGGACCGGTCCGGCAAAACACTGGTAGCCAAGATAGTTTTTAAAAACGGTTTAATTCTACTTTGCTTACTTTACCTATAACTTTTTTAAAAAGTTTTTTATATTTTTTTTTTACACATCAGTGTTTTATGGAGTTCTATTGTGCAATATGATGTACAAATTCTAAACTTTAAATTGTCCTCTAGGGACCTATATTTGAAACATAGTTATGCTTGGAGAACAACTATTATTTTGCACTAAATAAGTCTTTTTTATACTTGCAAACGTAAGAAAAAAAAGTTTAAAAAGTCACAATAAAAGTCATTTTCAAACATTTAAATGTACATACAGTAACCTTTTGCTAATAAAGATGAGTTTTTTGAAATTTTTAATTTTAAAGGTAAAAATAAAAAACTTTTTCGAACCGATTAGTATTATGCAAAAAATGTTATCCTTTAGACATGAAAGAGATCGTACTATGCCCGGCCCCGGTTCGGAGCCTCCGGGTCGAAGGAACTTTTAAAGAGGCTAGACGAACCAAAAATAGGTCCGGTTTGGTCTTTTACAATTTAGTCACCCTCAGCTTTAAAAATCACTGTAACATAGTACTACACCAAAAACATGTTGTTGTCATTTTGAAAAATGCTTTGTGAACCTTAAAGATACAATAAATTTTGGTTCGTATTATTGGCGCTGGTCATTTGGGACTTGTCCTCGTTCATCATCCACTCGACCAGTTTTGTTTTGGCTCGTGCTACTTCACATGTCTTCTGATTTTGAAAAGCGATACGACAATACACATTTGGGTGGGGGTGAGGGTGGAATAGGGGTTGACATAGCAAGACATTCAAGGGTGAAGTGGAGGCAGATAAAATGTAGACTTTAACGGTAAAATAGGGGTTGATATACCGCGTTATTTAAAGGTGAATTAGCAGCCAATATACCGTAGAATTTAAAGGTAAACTAAGGATTGATAGGCCATGATATTTAAAAATTATTTTGGGATTTTTAACATTGTCGTTCGAAGCCAAAACATGACCTTTTGTAGTTTTTAAAAAAGTTTAAAAAACGGTTATTTCTATGCTTGTTCAACCATAAAACGAGTTTATTATGTCACAGGTGTACTTTTACATTTTATTATTCAAAACATCAGACTTTTAAAGTCTAAATTGGAGCTCCATAGTCTGTGTTTATAAAAAACCTTAAAAAGTTAGGTTTTGACGTTCAAAGTATGCATGTTTTGGCTATTCCTTGATTATAGGTAATAACGTGCTGGTTAAAAACGACTTAAAATTACAGTGATTTAAACTATAAGGCAACGTAGAGTAGTTAAAGATTAAGGTTTTTTTATTGTCATATTAAACGCACAGTACAAGCTTACAATTATAGTATGTTACTGCTTATAGTACTACTAAACTTAACATGTTACAGCCATTGAAGTATATTCAAAACCAAGTTCAAGAGCACGACTAATTTACGAATTCGTGTTGTTTTATCATTTGTCTTGAACGTTTCAAAGTTAATTTGAGGTCGTTGTTCCAAAAAGGCGTTTCGAGAACAAATGGCCGGAAAAAAACAATGCCGTTCCGGACCTTCCAAAATATAGTTCTTGGTCGTCTTTGGAACAGTTTTTTTACTTCCAAGATTATGGTTTAGACCAAAAGTTTTGCAAAAATTTAGGCTATGAGTAAAGCTTGAACTAAGGATTTGGGCTCATGGCTCTCTGGGCTAAGGCCTTTTGAATTAGGGTTCGATAATCTATGACTCTCTGGGCTAGTGCTCTAAGCTAGGGCTCCGGGCTAGGACTTTCTGGATTAGGTTTGTCTGGGCTAGGCTTCTCTGGGCTAAGGCTCTGGGTAGGGCACTGAGCTAGGGCTTTGGGCTAGGATTCTCTGGGCTTTTTCTAGTCATTGGGTTAACGCTGGGCTAGATTTTACAATGCGAAGATCACAATGCCAAGTAATTTTTTAACTTTTGCAAAACCTATAAAGCCGATAATTATACCCTAAGGGTTAATAATTGACCGCTAAATTGTAGTTGACGTCAACTTATAAAAGCATTAACTTTTGTTTTCTTTGGCGTGCTTGCAACATATTAGGCACCATATTTAGTTATGATGCTAATTTATAGAATCCGATTGATACGGTCTGTAATGTATAGTACATTGCTAGTACAAGGTTGGTGATTTTCTACTATAAAAAAAAAATAAAAAAAAAATTTTTTTATTTTTGAATTAGGGTTTTGTCTATGATGTAACACTAAACCATAGTAAAACATAACGTAAAAAATTATCGTTTAGAACACAACTGTTTGCGTAAACGTTCAATGGCCAGCTCATGGGAATTAGGGTTATTGCTTTGTTTTTAGCACGAAATGAGCACTATATAAGGAAATAGGATTGGTCCAATGACAAATCATTAGACAGTTATGGGTTTGGAGTGCTTGGTGTTTAGTACTGATATACATAATGCGGTATAGGTGATAAGATACGATTAATAATGACAAGACGTCATTTATGTCGGGATACTAGTTCTGGCAGTAGTTCTGAAAAAAGGCTGGGCTTCAACTTTACTGTATTTTGCTTACATTTTAATTTAGAAAATAAGCTTGTTTTGTCGTATTTTACCAAGCTGTAACCAAACCTTAAAGTATACCCCATCATAAACCTGCTACCTTTTGTTTGGCAACAGCTATAGTCATCAGTTCTCGCATTCCAAAGTAATTCCTCATTGTTTTGACAACTCGCCCCGAACCTTTTTATAATCTCAATTATTGGTTCGCGGCCACGAAAACCTTCTTAATAAACCCGTACTAGCCGCTGAAACTCTGCCGCCATAAATTTATTTATTACTTTCAGCTCATGAAATGTCTTGAATTTTATTTTAAAACTAGACTTGCAAATGGGCCGAGCCGTGGCCGAATTGGGGCTGACGGTGGCCGGACAGGGCATGGTAGGCTTTAGTCTTTCTAGTCCATTTATGTTAAAAATTTTTATTTTTTTGTGTTAAAAAGACATTTTAATGCATCAAAAATAAGAACTGTTACCTAAAATATAAATTTTTACTTTTTTAAATTTTTTTGAAATTTAATTTTAAAATTAAAGGCCTAAAGGTATTGGGCTAAAACTAAGGCTAGGGCTAAAGCTAGGATTAATTAAGGTTAAAGCTTTACTTTTTTTGCTAGAATCGCACAAGCAAAAAGTCTGGGCGTTTTTCAACGTGCAAAGCTACAGAGAATGACGACAAGACTTTTTAAATTTGAAAAAAACTAATTAAGCTTGCCTTGCAAGTACATTACGTACCTCTGGAGACAAGACAAAGCACTGACAATTTATTGTGCTTTTTCCTGCTTCTCCTGCTCGATACAGTTCTCTTTAGTTCTGTACTTTTTTCTCTGTTCAACCCTCACCTTATGCCATTTCTTGTTAAACTCAAAAACTCATTAAACTTTTTCCAAATTTAATAAGTATTTTGGAAGCGACATAAATGTTTTCACCTAATCATATTACTTTTTGTGTTTTTATACCTATTCAGTTTCGGCCGCCACGAGACTTTTCTCTCGTTTCACTGCGTTTGAACACGTACCTCGAGTTGGTTTTTAATAAAAAAGATAGCTTTATTTTATTGTAGATTATTTATTAGCTTTTCAGACAACAGTGATCGACGTATTTTACAAATTTTAAAGCGTATGAACTAGAATCTTTTTGGTTTGAAGTTATAAATTTTTATTCCAATTTTCTTATTTATTAATATTAACAATTTTGAAAAGCAGTGTTTTTAATATCATTGCCAAATAATCTTGTAGTAATGTTTAATCTTCCAGCTTAGACAAATTGAGTTTTTCTTGAAATGCCCTAAGGCGCGCCGTGCGAAAACCAAAAAAAATATGCTGGCTAGTAAATGTCTGCAGTACCATTATCTAAATTTAGAAAACGTTAGGACTAGAGCTACTAGGACTATAATATGACCACACTAGAGCTAGGATAAGTCTAGGAATAACAGTAATAGCGTCTTTTTTTCCGGTACTGCAGAGAAACCCCTTTAGTATGACTTTCAAAAGTATGGACCCACTTTATAATGCCAGCTTCTTGACCTTGTGTTTTATAACTCACATCAAAAAGTACTTGGTTATGACCCAGTTCTGTTGGGTCATACTAAAAAGATTTGTCTGTATTTTATTTTTAATGTTTTAGTACTATTAAAACGTTGAAAACTTGAGGTTTTGTTGTTTTTGACGGTGCTGATTTAAGAAAACTTGCGACAAGACTTTTTTTAATATCACACACTTCAAAAATTATATTGAATGCCTTTGTTTTAGCAAGAATATTATCTATCCTCATGTCAGCACCATATTATTTACACTTATTTCCTCATCATTTTCATATTTTCCAAACCTCCGCCTTGGAAAACGATACGCGTGTGACATTATAAATCTCCAAAACAAACATTCGGCCTAATTCTCCCTTTTCCTTCGCTAATTGTACGGATTTCGAGTCTAGTTATTTAAAGCTTGAGCCGGGGAAAAAACTTTGGTTTTAACTTATGTTTTTGTATCTAAAAAAGCTTTCTATATCTAATAGCATATCCAGAAAAAGTTATACTATATAGAAAAGGTGTTTGGTCGAAAACAAAGCAAAAACTGGCCAAATAGTAGCCTTTTTCATTTTCATTTTACTTTGTTTTTCATATAGTAAAAGTGCTTTTTATTAATGCATGGTTTAATAAAGTTAACAGGTTTTTACATTACTATTATGTAGGTTTTAAGTAAAAATTAACTTTGAAATTTCAGTTTTTTAAGTTAGCCTTAACCTAGCTTTTGTTTGACCCAGTCTAGCCTTAACGTAGCTTTAATTTGGCTTTAAATGTTTCCTAATTTAGTTTTTTACTATTAGCGCTACTCTAGATTTACCTTAGCTCTACTCTAGCCATAATATAGCTTTACTCTAACTTTACTCTAGGGCTACATTAGCCTTATCTTAACCCTATTTTAGCGTTATATTAGCCTTTTTGTAGACTTATCATTCCTAGCCTTATTGTAGCCGTGTTTTGTTTTACTCTAGCCTTACCTTAGGCATTGTTTGGCCTTAACTTAACTCTACTCTATCCTTCTTCTAGTCTTACTCTAGCCTTGGACTAGTCTTAGCCTTTTCTTATACTATCTTTTCTAGGCATGTCTTAGCTTTACTCTAGCCTTGACTTATAATTGTTAGCCTTCTTCTAGTTTATCCTAGTTCTATTTTAAAATTTTAAATTTGAGCCTATTCCAGAAAAAAAAATATACTCAAATGTTGTTCATGCTTGAACACCGTTTGATTACTTCGAACTTTTTCAATTTTCGGAACAATTTTCTTGCAAAAACCTTATAAAAAGAGCCTAAAAATGCCGTTTTTTTCAATTATCACACGCGAAACTAGGTCGTCGCGAAACATTAGTCAGTTCATTGAATTTCGGCCGCTTCCGGCTTTCGAACAGCCTCCCCCACTAAAGTTCGCATTAATCAAGCGCTCAAGCTGAAAGCTTACGAAGTCAGTGCTCACGGATTGTTAATGCTCTCGAACTCTTGAGGTTATTGCTTACAAACTGCTGAGTGTAATGCTCACGGACTGGCCAGTGCTAATGCTCAAGAAGAGACACTGCTAAGGCTCACGAACTGCCGAATGCTAATGCTCACGAACTGCCAATATTAATGCTCACAAACCGGCATGAACACCTGTTAAACGACGATGTTCACGCCTTCGTGCTCGAGGCCGCGTTGTTTGGCCGCCGCTTTTTTCGGCATGAAAAAGAGGAAAAAATGGGTTCTTTTGGGCTTTTTGGGCCGTCTTTCCTCCTCCCCTCTGGTCCCAAAAGACATTTTCGGAGGTTTTTGTGAAGCGCTTTTTCGTTAAAACAACTGAGTGTGGCAATCCCAAAATTTTATATTTTTAGTAAATGGAGGGCATTGCGACGTTAAATGGCGTATGAAAAGGGGCATTTTGTGATGTTTTATGTCATAGGGTGAGACATTTTTAAAATTTTTGTTTCGTTTGCTGGATCAACTCTTTCTTTAGAAAGAGTTGATTTACAATTTTTTTAATCAATTTATACGCTTTTAGTGGCTAGAGTAAAAGGCTAAAATAAGACTAGAGCAGAGCTTGGCTAAGGCTACAGCGGGGCTAGTTAAGGCTAGAGTAAGGCTAGGTTAAGATTAGAGTAAGGCTAGTTTAAGATTATTTAGAATAGGATTGGTTTTAAAGCTTGGGTGAAGCTAAGGTAAAGCTAGAAAAAGGCTAGTGTGAGGCTAGAGCAGGGCTAGCTTATGGGTACAGTAGTGCTAGATAAGACTATACCCTAATAAAACTAAAATTATTAGGCTCTTCAAATAATTGTGGGTTCTCTCTAAGCAAATTTTTGCGGTCAGGGGGCACAGAATTATTTGAACAACCTAATGTGTTATTAATTTTCTAATATTCTTTTTATTTTCTAGGCTTGTCAATTCCATTTTTTTAAATTTTATAGTAAAAAACCGAAATTTTAAGCCGAGTTACTGCGTTGCAAAATCGTGTACTTTTCCGCCCAAATTGGTTTTCAAAAGCACGATAATGTAATCGTACTTCTTTCGCTGTTTTTGTGCCTTTACTCACGTGCCATCCGATTTTTACTTTGGATTTTTTTTAATTTTAGGCTTGTTTTTAGATATTTTTTTTCTTATGATACTGGTTTAGGCCAGGGAAAAACAAAAAATTTTTTTTATAAAAATTTAAAATTTAAAAATTTTTTTTTTAAATCTGAAAAAAAATTCCACAGGAGGGGGGGGACCACGTTCAACTTTATTGATATCAACCTCACCATACTAATATCTATAACCCTTCGTGTCAAAACCTCAAAAACTTGTCATTTCTCTCTAAAACTCTAACAAGAATAGTCATTTCCAGGGCTTTTGTTGCACAAATTTTCAAAATTTGGGCCATTTTGGTGTAGGTTCGGGCCGGCATTGGGCCGGAAAATAACAAAACGAACGAAATGGACAATGACCTGCTTGGTCTTGGCCCAACATCGCCGACCAACGCGCTGAGCTTCAATTTGTGTCCGCCGCCGCGGAAGAACGAAAGTCGGGACGAGACCATCAAGTACGAATCCATTAACACACTGAAGCCGAAGCTGGACGAGAACTTGTTTAGCAATAGTAGGTTCTGCGAGTTGGGTTTTGTGTGTTTTGCATAGATAATATGTTGTTTTTTAGTTGGGCATGGTTTTTTAATTGAAGAATTTATTTTTTTGTATTATTAGGGTAGAGTAGAATACGATAGAGTAAAATAAGATACAGTAGGACAGAGTATAGTAAGGTAAGATAAAATAGAATAGGGCAGGGTAGGGTAGGGTCCACTTTACGTTAAAGTAGTGCACTATAGTGTCTTTTCTATCCATACTTTTTTATTTTAGACCTGGATTTCTCATTCGTACCATCAGGACCAAAGAAGTACTATGAGGGCTGTAGGGAGATCCATGAAGCAGACATTCGAAACTCACTACTGGTCGAAGCAAAACGACGCAAATATTGGGGAACAAAAGCTGTCGAAAAGATGGAATTTGAGGAAATTCAACATTCTTGTGTTTATCATGTAAGTACAACAATATGATTAGTTTAAAACAAAAGAACCATTTTTTACTTTGATTTATAATTTTATACATCAAAAGCATCTTATTTTAGTACATTCTGGAAAGTTTTACGGAAACTCGCTCTACGGCCGAAGCTACAGAGCCATATAATGCGAGTAGGTATGCGGAACAACATGGTACCGAATCTATTGTAACTTCACTTAACCCAGTATCTTCTACAACGCTTGGCAACACGTCGTACGCGCTTCAGAACCCGTGGGACTATGAAATTATGCCTCAAAGCGATTTTGTTGGACAGGTAAGAGTAGAGATTGTTGGATAGGGTAATGTAGGTAATCGGTCAGGGTAGGTTAGGAAATGTGAATACTGGGAATATTAAGATATGCTAGTGCCGGACATGGCAAACTATGTTAAGGTAGAGCGGAATACGTTATCTTGAGGAAGGGAATGTTATATCAAGGCAAAGCTGTGTGCAATATGGTAAGGCAAGGCAAGGGTAGGATATGTCAAAGCTTGAGTTCTTATCGTAGTGTAATTTATAATAGGATAAGTATAATGCTATTGCAGTAAGTAATGTAAGATTTTTAAAATTTATTACCTAAAATCCTCATTTTCAGACAAAAGTAATAGAGCTCCCATCAACCAGCAAGCTGATTTCTTGTCAGACTTGTAATGCTGAAGGTGTTGCTCACTGTTTCCATTGCCGTGGCTTTGGTACTGATAAGTGTGGGTATTGTCGGTAAGTTAAGCTTTTTTTTTTGTAAAATACGTTTGTACTATATATAAACTTAATATTGTTTATATATATATATATATTTAAGTGTATTGATGTTTATATTAACATTGTTTCAGTGGAACCGGAATGAAAGCCGGCGTGGCTCATCCAGCTGTATATACACATCCAATCGTCGGTACTTTTCCTAATGTAAGTTGGTTAAACAAGCGTTACATGTGATATTATACATGATATCTTACTCTCAATGATGTTGTCTAGTCAAGCTCAAAAAAGATATCATATCTTTACCATCCCCTTTCCCTCCCAATCACTATAATATTTCAGCAAGACAACCGTGGCTACCCCGTAGCCGGCTCCTCGATAGTCCGCCCTCCAAACTTTAGTGGAAACAAGCCTTATGCAGTTGGGACACCAGTTCATTTCATGGCCAAAGCCGGTCTACCACCTCCAGGAATTGGCCATCATGATCTGTGCTTGTTCTGTCAAGGCAGGGGTATTAAAGATTGTCATCATTGCAAGGGTCAGGGCAAGAAAACTTGCAGTTACTGTGGTGGACATGGCAGTGTTAGGCAGTACACCAAGTTGAAGGTGTTTTTGTAAGTTTTTTTGCGTAGCTATTATTAGGTTATAGGTGGATAATTTACTATTACGTTGTATAACAAATAATGAGCTATGTCTCTCATAGCGATATAAAGTTCAGTAGCTCATTACTTTTTATACAACTTAATAAATACGGTTAATGGTTACAGAAAATGTTCGCTTTTGTTCAAAATGTATTAAAAATTGGTTTTTTTTTGGAATAATATCAAAAATCAACCGTCTTTGGCATAAAAAATCCGTTTCTAATAGATAACGTCTAAAAACCGTATGAAAAATCAACTTTTTTGTCATTTTCAAAGAAATTATGATAGAAAAAAAGACAAAATCAGTATAAAAGCCTTTATTTTCAGCGCGGTAGAGAGATCAGACTACTTTACCCACAGCGAAGTGCCAGAAATATTGATGACCCAGGCCAGCGGCGAGGTTAGTCTAATGGAAACTCAAGGATATGTAAGTTAAAACAAATTTCTATACCTATAAAATGTTAATCTGCCTATAGATATATAGGTAAGTCTATAGTTGTATACGTAAGCCTATGAGTATACAGGTAAGCCCATAGGTACGTAGGTATTGGAAATCAACAAAGATTAGCCTAAAGCCTTACCACACCTAGTTGAATATCTAACAGATCAACCAGAAGCTCTAGTTTCCCTAGCTGATCATTGTAAGCCTAAAGAAAAAACTTTGGTTTAAGCCTAGACAAACCTTATAACCAATCTTTATTTGCCTCCCCAAGACCCTACCATTTCAGCTAATGCCAATCAAGAAGTTCCCAATCAACGACATCAACGAGATCAGTAAAAAGTTGTTGGCCCAACATATGCAAAAGTCCCTGGGGGCATGTCGTGTGATAAAACAACGTCAAACGGTGGAGGCCGTGCCTGTAGCCAAAGTGCATTGGAAGCTGGGTAAAAAATCTGGTATCTTCTACGTGTTTGGGCAAGAAAAACTGTGTTACATACCCAAAAGTCCCACCAAGTGCTCTGTGATGTAAAATAATATAACTCTAGCTGGTGTAATATCGCTTTAAGGACTTGTTCATACCTATTGTTTTATATATTTTTTTTGAAAATATTGTGTCTAATCTGTATATTTTTATACTTTGTACAACAATAACTCTATTTTAGGTCCTGAAAAACCTTTAAAACTTCAAAAATTTATAAAAATTCACAAAAAATGGTAAAAAATCAAGTATTTTGGTCAAAAAATTGAACAAAATCGTATGTTTAAACATCATTTTTCATTATTTGTTACTCAGTATTGATCAAAACTATTTTTAAAACACTTTTAATCAATATATCCAGCTATAACACACTTTAACCCATCCAAATACCCCCTTCTCGAGTCATATTCACCTTGCAGTATGTCAACATTGCCTATATTCTTTCAAACTTCAGGTGTCACCCGGTTTTGCATTATCTTCTAGTCACAAACAGCTACTTTAACATTATTTTATTAATAATGGTATTATAATTTCAGTATTATTCTATGTAATTTTTGTACTATCCTATATAATGTTAGTACTATTCTAACTATATTTTACTAGTATTGTTCTATTTAATTTTACTCTTCCCTATATAATGCCAGTATTGAATCCAACCTACCCATCACAAGCTTAATATTTGTTGTAAATCAGGCCATAATTACCAGGAATCAGTCGATATTTAAGAAAATTGTTATTGTAAATAAACAACTAATAAAACATTGGTAAAGAATTATATTTTTGGGTTGAATATAGATTAGGTAATCTGAAAATAAAAACAAACATTTCAAAAAATAACGAAAATCGCGAAAATTCGACTTGTATTCCATACATCGCGTAAATTGTTAGGTCCCGCAACGAAAACAAAAGCGTCATTCCTAGCGGCAATCTTTCTGGCAAATCGTTCAATGCAGAATAAAATTTTGAAATCTTGAACTTTTAGTTGTGTTTAGCGACTTCTAAATCAAAGTTTAAGGTTGAATCATGAAAAGTTTTAATTGGAAAATACGGTGAAACTTCTACATTCATTTTATCCTAATCAATATCTATTTGAAAGAATAATGCAGAACCACCGATTTGCTCCCACTGTAAATGTCAAGCGCTTTAAAGCAATGGATAGGCTGATATAGTTGATCTATAAGGCACAAGATGTCTTTTCAAACGTTTAATTCGCGCCGAAGGGGTGTATCTGCCTTACGTTGTTGTTGTTAGAGGACAGGTAAACATTTTCAAACTTGTGATAGTAAAGGCAGTATTATATGACTGAAATGGTGTTTATGAGTCTACGTGGCAACCAATTGGTCAATAAATTTATGACTTTTCTGACATTGTATTTTACGTTCTTAAAAAACAAACTTATTATCAAATTTCAAAATGTATATGATCTGTTTTATTTGGAGTTTTACTGGGTAAATGCCTTTTACCGCCTTCTCTCAAAGTGATACAAGTATAAACGCCCTTTGTTATATTATGGTAGATTTACAAAGTGTTGAAACGCCCTTTATTATTTTGTTTCGACAGGTTTGTATTTGGCATAATAATTAGAAGCAGCTCTACGCGCTTAATCATTATACACTTAGCCATTTCGAAAACAAGATAGTTAGTGAGGGAAAGCCAATATCTGATAATTGCTCAGTGACGTGCACGATAAGTTGTACGTTTATATGTATGTTTGTATTTATATTATTGTATAATTGCAGTTGTAAAGTTGTCGTTTTGTAGCTGAACACATATACTTTTTCGGGTACTGAGTCTGTTTGTACAGTGCTAATTAGGAAACTTGCTATATTGTTGTAGGCAGGGTTCTATATTATTGTAGGCAACACTACTAATGATATTTACTATTTAAACAATTACTAACACGAATTTTGTTGTAAACCTCTTCTTTTTCGAAACTAGAGCTACATATGTTAAATATTAGAAGAATAGGTATCTAAGATCAATATTATTGGAAGAATAAGTATATAAAATCGCTGTTTCAGGTATATTTGATAAAGATTGACAACGGCATCATGATAAAAATAACCGAATATGATTTGGACTTCATTGCTACTTTTCTAATGATATGTGAAAGCATATGTAGCTTAATGATGATTATAATCAACTGCATCTATTTGAGAACGTTTTGGAAACTAAAAACGTATAATGCTTCTTTTCGACAAACTTTTGTGAGTTTTGTCATGGATAATACAAGGTTTTAAGGTTTCAGAAAGTTTTGTCGACTTTCAACGTAAAAACCTTAACATGATATTTCAGATTGGAGTCAACCTAATACTCGGCGCATCCTCAATATTCCATCCACTCTCTGAAGTTTTGGATTATTTCACTAAAAACGGAAACTTTCCAAAGTATTACTTTCATTTGATGGCTGTAAAATACTTTTCATTTTATGTTGATCATGTTGGCGTGGTGTTTCTTCATTTCAAATTTTTCATTTTTGCATTTGAACGATGGTACGCTATCAACAAGAAAGGAAGGGGATCTGACAGTAAGAATGTTGCTATGGCTATTCTGATTGGATTGGTAAGGGTTATATAGTGATTGATAGGACAGCTGATGCCTTACACCTTAACATTTTGGTATTGGTTTGACAAACATGGCTTTGGAAATGTAATTAAACTTTAAAGGCGACCTACTAGGCCCGGGCTGAAGCAAACCTGAAGAATTCTGGGCTGAATCGTACGGGATTGAGGGCCGGGCCTAAATGATGGCTCTGGGAGGCCGCGCTGATTTTTCAGTTTGGCCCGTTAAATTTTGTTTGGCTTTGGCCCAATTTTCTATTATTGGGACCCCCGTTGGTCTGGTTTTCTATTATTTCAAAGTCCGGTTTTTGGGTTTACGTTAGAGGGTCTGATATAGCCTCTTTCAAACTTGTGTCGGCCCAGGCAGGGCTTAACGGACCCTATTTTAGGTCATTGGAAAACTTTAAAAATGACGTTTCAGTCTTTTTTTTATAAATTTTTGTGCATAAAACAAAATTTATTAACATCACCTTTTCAGTGCACGTTCATATCAATTGAAGTAGTTATAAAAACCTGGTTGTTTGTCACCTTTGATACCGCCGATTCTTATGAGCTTCGATTGGAAAAAGGTCTAGCTAGCTGTTGGTCGATCAGCCGTATTCGTTGGAGGTTCTTACATTGTTTTCGGATTCTCTTTGACTGTTGGAGTTTTGGTACGTATTTTAGTTAATGTTGTAGACAAAAAACGTAATTAATTCTGAAAATTAAGCTTAATTATGTTTTGGCTAGCTTTGAAAGGTTTATCCTTTGATAGAACATCAATTATATGTATTTCAAGGTATGTAAACTACTTTTTGTTATTAATTAGGTATTAGGCCTGGCAAAATTACTGTATTTTAACGTGTAGTAAGAGGCAATAAAATTAAACTTTTTTGATTTTTTAAATTTTTGAAGTTATGATGAAATTTAGCTTTAAATTTTACTTTTTTAGTTACTAAAGTACACCAAAGGCTACATTAAAAAGCTCCGGCTTCAAAGCCAAAGCCTGGCTGAGAGTTTTGAGCTGAGCCAAGCTAATCGAATTGCTGATGCCCTGAAGCCAATGATAATATTGTACATTGTTTGTGCTGTGCTGATTGCTCCAGGCGGAGTATTTTGTTTTTATTTGCTTTTTATTGAGGATACGCCATACTCCAACAAACTTTACTTTGTTGGAATGAGGGTAAGTTGGTTTTACTAAACTTTGTATATATCATCATGGTAGGATATTACTGTGTTGTACTATCAGGATTTTCAAATAATTATGTGCACCATGTGAAAAAAAAATTTTGGAGGTACGGGCACAGAATTATTTGAACAACCTAATAGGACAATACTGTGTTTTAGTAACCGGTTTAATATGACTGTGTTAAAGTAACTCACTCTACAGTAAAAACCCATTTTTTGATGTTACACTGAAAATTGAAAGTAATTTATAGCTAAACTACTTTGGCTTGTCACTATACACTCTCTTATCACTAATTTCTGCCATGTATAAGTTTGGAATGCTTACAAAACGTGTTACTGATTTTACACCATCGGTTATTCAGATGGCCGAAGAACAAGACGGTCATTTTAGCTACCTAACAGACTCATGGAAGATGGCTGAAGCTAAAGGTCAAAAAAGTCGTGTCACGAGTCCTACTGCTAAATACTTCGTTCAGTAAGAAGGGTTGTAGTACAGTGCCAAAACTCTGGTGGTATATTATAGTAAATGATAACTACTGTAGTATTTAGAAGTTGTATGGATGGCAGTACAGAAATTTCAACTAACAGTAAGTATAAAGCATTGTTTTATGCGTTTTTTATTGTTACATAGTACTATTTACCAAGAAAGTGTCGGATATACCTCGCTCTGTTTGACTTCAAACTTTTTATAAAGAAAAACTATTTTAATATAAGCCTTTATTTTTTAATTTGTAAGCGTAGCTTGTCTGGAAAGTCAAAAAAGTGCTTCAAACACAATGCCAAATTGCAATATTGGTGGGAATTCCAAAAAATTACAAATTTAAAATTCAAAAACGCGAGCTAAAATTTTTTATGGGTAACATTACATTGGTGGTACAAAGACTTCATATAAAAATTTTGAGCTGGTTCTGTTCTGAAAGTGGCAGGCATTGTACGTTCTTTTTAAGACTTTGTTTTAGTGTTTGTAAACGTATATGTAGTTATACGTACTAATATTGTACTAAGCCATCAAAGTCCTCATCTCTAAAGTCTGCTTATTACAATACTTGCTTGCATTTTTATATTAAGCACAACGTTGTTGTAGTAAAAAATTTGGAAATGATATGCAGTGAATGAAGTGAGCTCTTATACAACGTAAAAGTATTCGAGTTTTTGAGCAAAAAATGTAAAAATGGTAATACGTGTAATATACTTGAGTTAATTAGCAAAACAACACCCAATTTTAGTCATTATACTACAAACATGAGTGCGGTGGGATGTCATAATTACACTTTTTTAAATTTTAACTTTCTTCTACTCGATTGTCACGATATATCGCGTTTTTATCGTCGGAAGTTGGCAGTAATTTTTTGCTTTGGCACTTGATTTGTTTAGTGCAGTTAACTTGAGTTATTGTTTGTTATATAAAGTACATATCAGTTAATACTGGTTGGCTAACATTATTTAAAACTATTTTTACTTTGCTTTTTGGTATAATATTTTAAAAGATTTTATTACCTATTTCTTTGTAACAACATTTTCATAGATTACTAGCAAGTTTTGGCAATTCATTAACTTGCAAATCAATCTCACAGCATTATATAGTATTGACTCCTAATTTTACTACAAAGTCATACTACAAATTACCATTACATGTTGAACGCCAGTGATCGTACGTTGATTGTCATTGGCAACTACTTTTTGGCAGCTGAATGTGTTTGCAGTTTGATTCAGTTAACTTTGAACATGGTGTATTTAAATCGATTTTGGAATATGAAATCGTATAATGCTTCTTTTCGACAGACTTTTGTGAGTTTAGGATAGTAATGGACAAGGTAGAGTTGTGTAAGATACGGTAGTCTAGCTAGTGTAGTATACGTTAATATAAGGACAGGGTTATGAAAGGCAGGGTTGGGTATGGTAGTGCAAGGTAAAGCAGCGTTGAGTAAGGTAGGATAGAATAGGGTAAAGCAAGGTAGGGTAAAATAGGGTTGGGTAGGGTAGTGTAGGGTATGATAAGCTGTAGTAGAGTATGATGAGGTAGGAAGGGGTTAGGTAAAGTAAGATAATATAAGTTAAGGTAGATTAACTTAAAGCTAGTTTAAAAAAAGTTAATACTAATTGTTTCAGATAGGAATAAACTTAATCATGAGTATGTCCTCAGTGTTTCACCCTTTGGGGGAAGTTTTGATTATATGATAAAAAAGGATTACTTTAACCACTTTCATATGACACTAACTGCTTTAAAATAAACCTCATATGTGATTGATCATGTAGCCGTTGTATTTTTACATTTTAAATTCTTTATCTTTGCCCTTGAACGATGGTACGCCATTAACAAGAAGGGGAAGGCTTCTGACAATGGTTTTTTGGCTGTTTCTATTCTTGGGGGATTGGTAAGGTTTATATGTATTTATATGTATTACTATAGTATAGTAAATGAATATTTTGAGGTGTAGTCTTAGGTTGTTCAAATAATTCTGTGCTCCTGACAAAGCAAATTTTTTGGAGTTAGAGGCACAGAATTAGTTGAAGAACCTAATATATGAATTATATTTGATTAAAAACCCTTGTAACAGAACATTTGGCGCACACTGTACAGTGCTTAAGTTTACAATTTCAGGCAATTTTCATAAAAATGGAGGTATTTTTTAAAACATGGCTATTTTGGAAGTTTGATACGAATGATCCAGTTGATATTCGACTGGATAAAGGCTTAGGTGCGGGTAAATCCCCTGTCTTTTTGGGTCTTTCTTACTTTATTTTTGGATTTTCTCTCGCTGTTGGCATGTTGGTAAGTAAAAGGCTTCATTCTTTGTTAAAATAAAGGTTGGGTGGGTTATTTTGGCCTAGGGGAAAGCCAAAAAAAATTTTTTGATGGGTTTTAAAAAATAAATATTTTTTTTTTAAATTTTGAAATTTGACGTTTAGTTAGTTGGGCTATTGTGGCTTAGGGGGGGGGGGGAAATCCACAAATTTTTTTAAAAAGTTTTTTTTAAATGTTGACCGACTTTTACAAAGTTTTAAACAGAAATTTTCGCTTTTTAAAATAAAATTTTAGTTATTCAAATACACCAAAGGCTACATCAAAAAACTTCGGCTTCAAAGCCAAAGCCTAGCTGAAAGTTTCGAACTAAGCCAGTCTAATCGAATAGCTGCCGCTCTCCGACCAATGATTATATTGTACATTGGCTGTGGAGTGGCTTGTGTTCCAACTGGAATTTTGTGTTTTATTTTGAGTTTTTTTGAAAACACACCGTTTTTGAAAAAACTCTATTTTATGGGTATTCGTGTAAGTCGAATCAATTAAGGTTGTATGTTGTATCGTGTAAGTCGCATCAAATAAGGTTGAATGTTGTAATTACTGTTTTCGTCTGGCTTTTGTTTTTATGACGTTGAGCGAGGCACGTAGATTAAAAATTTATCGTATTTTGGCTTTTTTTTGTAGTTTTCATAGTATGTTACAGTACAGGATGATACCGCAATTAGCTGTGCTAGGGGCGAGGGGTAGGGTTTGGTTTGAGGGAAAAGGCAGGCTGAGAGAGAGATAAAAAATTGGTAAGTACGAGAAAATCCAAAAAAAGTTTTTTTGCAAAAATTAACAAATGTTGAGGCTGAGGCTCAACCTTTTCAAAAAAAAATTTGTGGGTACCGGGTTCTGGTTCTTTTCAATTTTTTCTCAGCACGGTCCGACCCTCCCAAAGTTTTTTACTAAAATTTAATTCCAATAAACATAAAATGACCTTCTGAAAATTTTAGGTAAATTACTTCAACTTTTCATGTTACATCTTACTATCCTTGATTACTGCCTTATATAAGTTTGGTATAGTTGTAAACAGAGTCATACCTGAAACTCCAGTTATGAAAATATCGGAAGAACAAGAAAATCACTTCAATTACCTGACTGACTCATGGAAAGTGGGTGTATAAGCTCTGGTTTGTGGTATCACACTACATGACACTGTCAAATAATATTAAGAACATTATAAATGGAAAAACATAGTTATGAATGACATTATGAAATGAAGTTAAGTATGGAAACATGGAAAATTAAATTATTTACTGTAAACTAATAAACACTACTTTGTTTGGAGTGACAATTTAGAGCTTATTTTTTGTAGGATTGGGAAGGGTAGATAATGGACGGCAAACTTTTGTAAATTTTTTTAGTTAGCATAGAAGTAGTAGTGTGAAGCTAGAAAAAACGCAAAAACACGAGCTTCAGAGAAACGTCAGATTTAGTTTTTTGGGTTTCAATTGAGTTTCATACTGTATTTTAAGCAGTGTTTTTGTTTTTTTTTTGTTTTGACCCCCCGTGTAACTTTGGTTTGTGTTGTTACTTTGTTATACAAGGGTAATATATAAAAAATAATAAACAATAAAGAGCGTTTAACTGAGTTTCATTGTATATTATAGTCGCTTACTGTTTCTAGTATGAAATAAAGTTAAATAAGGTTTTTTTTTTCAATTGGATTATGTTTTACTTCCAATTTTTTTTCAACTACGGCTAGTCTAACCTTCATAATGTTTTTTAATTATGCACATCTAATCTTACTTGCTATAGAATTGTAAAAAGTATTACTTTTTCGTCTAATTACTCACGCACAAAAAATTGACAAAATGAATTTTTCAGCAAAAATGCTAAATGCTAAAAAAATTTTTTAAATTAAAGTTTTTGGTGTAATAAATAGCTAAAGACACATAGATAGCATACTTTTATTTTGGTTGATTTTTTCAATAATAAAACAGATTTCTCTTTTACTGTCAATTTAAGTAAAACAAAATGGCAATTATAATAACATTTTTTGTTCAACTTGTCACGCCTCTTTGTTTAATGTTAATCTAGATTTTAATCAAAATTTGCGTCAATTTACTATATACAGCTCTAACTTTACAATTGTTAATAATTTCGTTGAAAGAACAGACAGGGGTACATTGTTTAATTAGGGGAGCATAGTAGTATAATTGTTGGTTTTAGCATTAAACAGTATTGTCAAAGGCTGGTGCTAAGCTGTGACAATAAAGTATTTACAACTTAATTTTGTTCAGCCGGCATTGTTAGGGTTTTTTGGGGATGGTGGCTGTGTGTAGTAGAACTGTAAAGACGCAATCTTTTTTTGGGGGTGGGGGCTATCTTTTTTAGACCTGTAAAGAAACCAGGATTTGGTTTAAAACTTATTGTTGGATGGCAGTACTAGAAGTTCAAGTAATAGCTTTAAAAATAGAGATGTTTTACTTCGGAATTCAAATCTTTCCTTGCGGGACCTAACTTAAACTCCTGGTGCCTTCATTTAGGCCCGGCTCTCAGACCCACATATTCTCAGCCTTACTATCGAGTAGGACTAGACATGAGAAACTGGCCGGGCCGGGCTTGTGCAAGATTTCGATTAGGCCGGGCCTGAAAATTAGGCCCGGCCCGTTTTTCATGTCTAAGTAGGACTGAATTGACTTAGAACTAAAGTTGAAATAAGCTGGGTCTAAAAGCTGGGCTTACATTTTAAGCCCGGTCCGCAGCTTGAAAGGTTTATAAAAAATTTAAAAATTTTTTTGTTTCAATGGGTTAGTCATGATCCATTGTTTTCTCAACGTAACCGGCCCGGACTTTTTGACCAATCCTGGCCGGTTCGGGTTGAGAAAATAAAATAAAATGTGCCGGGATTAAACGTTGGTCCACGGACGGATTGCTTCTCTTTTCGGCCGTACTAAGGCTATCTAGTAGGCCTCTTTTTAGGTTTAATCTGTCGCTATATTAAAATTGGTTAGCATGTATGCTGTTTTTCTTTTTTCAAAACTCATTTTTAAGTTTGTAAGAGGTGCAAGACTACTTTGACTATTAATAAACTTTTGAAATGCATAATTTAGCCTTTGTATGACATAATATTAAGAAATTTTTAATTATTACTTATCAATTATAGTATTAAGAATTGTGAGTTTTAGTAGTAAAACTATGATTATAAGCTAGTTTAATTACTAAAGTTCGGGTTTTTAGATTGGCAGTTAGAAACTAGAATATTATATAATAGAATGAAGAAAAGTTTTTATTAAACTGTCATTAAACGTAGTGCTGTAGTACATTAACTATTATATCATTTATTTCACAGATTTAGGTGCTAAAAGCTGTCAATTAGAACGATAGCTTTTACTACTAAAGATCATTCTTGTCTTCAACGATACTTCCTTCTTTGAATTCGATGCTTAACATAAGTGAAGAGACGTTGCAAATTACTGGCGACTACTTCTTGGCAGGTGAATGTATTTGTGCGTTATTGCAGATACTACTTAATGCTGCGTATTTGAATAGATTTTGGAATATGAAATCTTATAATACTTCTTTTCGACAGACTTTTGTAAGTTTTGTTATTTGGTAGGTAAGGCTACAATAGGTTTGGAGAGTAAAATAGATCAGGGTAATATAAAGCAGAGTAAAATAGGGTAAATAGAATAGGGTACGGTAGGTAATGGTTAGCTGATTTTTAGAGTTTTTGTTATTTGCCAGTTACAACCACACTAAGGAATTAAGGTAGGGTATCAAAGCAGGGCAAGGCAAGATAAAAGGGTAAAGTAGGAAATATAGTAAGGTAGGGTAGGATAGGATAGGATAGGATAGGTAGAGTAGGGTAGGGTAGGGTAGGGTCAGAATGATTTTTTATGACATTTTTTGTAGATTGGCGTAAACCTCATAATGAGCAGTTCTTCTATTCTTCACCCTATAACTGAAGGTTTGGAGTATCTAATAAAACAAGGGTATGATCATAAAGTTCAAGTAGCGTTAGTAGCATTCAAATTTGCATGTTACCTTGTCGACCACGTGGCTGTTGTATTTTTACATTTTAAATTCTTTATCTTTGCTGTTGAACGATGGTACGCTATTAACAAGAAGGGGAAGGCTTCTGACAACAGTGTTGTTGCTCTGTCAATTCTGGGCGGATTGGTAAGTAATATATATTGTAAAGCCTAGGTGTTGAGGGCAATATAGACTTTTTATAATTTATTAAAATTAAAAAAAAAATTTTTAGTAAAAGTAAAATACGCAAGAGACAATATTGTTTACAATTTTTATTGTTTTAGATCACATTCATATCGTTAGAAGTATTGTTGAAAGCGTGGTTGTTTTGGAAGTTTGACACTGTCGATCAAGTCGGTGTTCGACTGAAAAAAGGATTCGCTGTAACTGCATCAGCTTCATTTCTTGGTGCTTCTTACATTGTTTTTAGTTTTTCTTTGGCAGTTGGGATATTGGTAAAAATTTAATTAGAAAAATATAATACGGTGAAACTTCTGTACAATGAATCACTCACAAATTTTAAAAGCTATTCGTTATAAAGGAGTTTTGGTGTACAGGAGTTTTAAATTCACTATGTATTATTAGAGAAAGCTTTAAAAACTGTTTATTACACAAAATTTTCGTTGCAGAGGAAAAGAGTTCGTTATACAGAAGTTCCACTGCAAAGAAAAAAACTTGTGTCAAAAATATTTATTCTGTCTAGACCTGAAAAGACGCTTACTAGGTTCAGCTTGCCGGCCTGGCCTCGGGCTGAGTCGGGCCAAAGCAAATATTATATAAAAAGGGCTGGGCCAGGTTTTTATATTTGTGCTTATAGGCCGTGAAAAAAGATTGAGCTTGTATTTTTAATTGTTCAATCAGTGCGGGGTGCACTATTCTAACCTAGGAGGAAACAAAAAATTTTTTTTTCAAATTTTGAAATTCGACGATATTTACAAAATTTTCAAATTAAAAAACAAAATGAGAAAATTTCAGTTATTCAAATACACAAAAGGCTACATCAAAAAACTTCGACTTCAAAGCCAGAGCCTAGCTGAGAGTTTTGAATTGAGCCAGAGTAATCGAATAGCTGATGCTCTTCAACCTATGATAATACTGTATCTTGCATGTGGACTAGCATGTGGTCCAACTGGAGTATTATGCTTTATCTTGAGCTTTTTTGAAAACACCCCTTATTTGAAACATCTTTATGACGTTGGAGTAAAGGTAGGTTTTGTATAAATATGATACTGTAACGACATTTATCACGATATACACGCTGATTTACTGTAGTTTTTAAATTTAAACTTTACTTTTCAAAATTTTTTAAATTTTTACTCAGGTCAACTACTTTAACTTTGCTGCATATACGTTAATTTCTTTGGTTGTGGCTTTGTACAGGTTTGGTGTTATTACAAAGCGTGTGTTACCAATGACACCTGTTATGATGATGGTAGATGAACAGAAAAACCATTTTGACTACTTGGCCAGCTCATGGGAAGCCAAAAAAGGCTAATTTTAAGCTTTTATTGTTGATAGTTTTAAGTTTTGGTTGTTTTATTAGGTCGTTCACTTAATTCTGCGCCCTATAAGTTCAGAAATTTGTTTTAAAAAACCGCAGAATTAAGTGAACGACCTTAAAAATTGAAATGAATAAAAGTTTTTTTTAATTTTTGGTAGTTTATTATAGTACTATGTCAAAAAACAAGGTTGTAATAATCTTTTAGTTAGGTTATAAATAAATTCATTGTTCTTGTTCAAAGTTGTTACCTAGCGGTTTATGACCAGGGATTAGGACTAGGCAGGGCAAAGAACTGAAACGTCATGTACAGGGCAGGGCACAGAAAGTAGTAAAAGCTAAGCCCTGTGATTAGCCTGTTCATGTCCCTTAAAAACAATAATTTCTGCTATTTCTAACTACAGACTAATTAGAACTTTGGTATATAATAGTGATTTGTATAGTAATAATCATGCGCATAAACATTAAGCCTTACATAAATCTTGTCATAACAATGCTTTTTTTTAATTTACCCATTGTCAATAGTTTGTATAACAAAGGTTTTTGTTTTACTGTATCTGACGTACGTATTTACATATACGTGGCTTTCATACCTTATAAAAGAGTTTCGCGTTTTAAATGCACTATATATTGTTAAAGAGGATTTAAAAGTTGCTCATTATACAAAAAATTTAGATACAGAAGAACGTAGGTGATAAGGTTTGTTACACAAAAGTTTCCCTGTACGTTTTATATAAACTACTATTGTACATAATGACATATGTCACATCCTTTATACAAAACTAAAGTATATAAGAATAAGGAAAACGTCAGAGTTCTGAAAATCCAAAGAGCCTAGTGTCTAGTACATATAGTAATAATATACTACAACCTTAAGTTAGGAAAGTACTTGTGTATTATGTGATGAAAGTTGCTAATGGCTAGGTAGAATATTTCATAAAAAACTTGATGTGCTAAGCCGGAAAGGCATTACACACCTAGTTATCTATCTAAATAATTACATCAGGTTAGTAATATATAGTTCTAACAACAAACGTTATTTTTATGGCTAGTCATTAAAAAGGTGAAAAACTGTTTTTGTTTTCCTATATTACTAAGTGATACAAGTTCATTATGATTGACGTTGATGAAGGTACGATAAAAGTTGCTGGCGAGTACTTGATGATAGCTGAATTTATGTTTGGACTAGTTCAAATAATGGTGAATTTCATTTATTTGAAAAGATTTTGGAACCTAAAGGCTTATAATACTTCTTTCAGGCAGACTTTTGTAAGTTAATATTATACATAAAAAAAGTGTTTACTAAACGTATTTCTTTCAGATAGGAGTTAATGTCATAGTAAGCAGTGCCTCCATTCTTCATCCAGCCTCGGAAGCTTTAGAAGTCTTTATAAAACGTAGTTGTAAAGAAAACAAATGTAATATATTACTTATGGTAGACTATTGCATGTTCTTTGCTGATCATGTAGTCAATTTATTTCTTCATTTAAAGTTTTTCATTATTGCATTCGAACGATGGTACACCATCAACAAAAGGGGAAAAGCAGTTGAAAATGGTGTTATTACACGTTGGATTCTTGGAAGTTTGGTAAGTTATGGCAGTAGTAAGACACAACAGTAATTCGCAAGTGTAATTTGGTTAGAAAGAAGAAGGAAGAGGGCTAGTCTGTCTATACAAAAATAAAATATATAAAAGTTTTACAGTTTTTTACACTTTTTATGTATAGACTTAAGAGGAAGTCTATTAGGCCAGACGGCCCAGTCAAAGCAAACATGAAACGTGACAAGCCGGCACGTTTGGTTTCAAAAACGGATAAACTAAAGTCCCAGGAACTCAGTTTATGTCCCGCTACAAAAAATTTTACTATTCTACCTTACTCTACATTAGGATGGCCCCAACTTCTTCACACGTCTAATTATGTAACACAAACTCTATTTTTCAGGGTTTATTTGCATGTTCTGAAGTGTTAATTAAAACATATCTATTTTGGAAGTTCAACACTTCAGTGCCAGTAGAAATACGCTTGAAAAAAGGTCTGACTTGTACTAGATCTATTGGCTTTATAGCTGCTTCATACATTATCTTTACCTTTTCGCTAACTGCAGGCATTTTGGTAAGTTGTTTTATAGAAGCGTAGAGTAATCATTTTCATATATTCAAATACACAAAAGGCTATATCAAAAAACTGCGGCTGCAAAGCCAGAGCTTGGCAGAGAGTTTTGAATTGAGCCAAAGTAATAAGATTGTTGATGCTCTTCGCCCTATGGTAATACTGTACATCGTATTTGGGCTGTCATGTGGTCCAACTGGCATTTTGTGTTTTGCACTGGCTTTTCAACACCCTAGTCCTTATTTAAGAGCATGGTATGACTTGGGTATTAAAGTACGTTTTAATTCTTAATTTTGTTACTGGGGAACTTTTGTATAACAAATCTTCTTTACAACGAAAATAGTTAAAACTCGAACAATTCGTTATATATTATAGAAGTTTGTCGTACAACAGTTTCAATAAATTTAAATTTTTCCAAAATTAAAATCATTTTTTAAATTAAAATTTAAACTTTTAGGTTAATTACTTCAATGTATCTATTTATACATTGACATCACTCATCGTAGCTTTGCACAAATTTGGAGTTGTGGCACCACGTATAACTCCAGTAAGACCAGTCCTTCAAATGGCGGATGAACAAGAAAATCATTTTGAATATTTAACAAATTCGTGGGAAAAGTTCAAAATTTGATAGTAAACCATGGCAACTTGGTTGACCTACACAAACTTCTAACTACAGCCTGAAGTCATGAAGAGCACCTCATCACGACTTAGTATCTTGAGTAACAAGACTACTTGGATAGGACTAAATTAGAAACAGCTATAATGGATGGCTCTGACGGTCTTCAAGATATTCTTTATCATCTCCCTCTCGTTTAAAGTCAATCAGGTTGAGATTGTTAAGTTAAGGCTAAATTAGAAAAAAAAGGTAAAAAAATTTACCAACAAATGGCTAACCTATAATAAGAGTTCGGTTTTTTAATTTACTAAATTTTACAAGATACATATAAATAAATATTGGTACTTTCCTTTTTAATTTTTGAAAAAAAGTTGTCAATATCTTGCAAACAGTGTCTGTGTCGGGAGCATAACTTTTGTCTGGGGATAATCGTTGATCTTTTTTTACAATAATTAATAAAAGACAGCTTTTAATTGCACCAGCTAAAATAACAGAAAGCGTTTATCCAATTGACCTCTTCACACGCTTCGAAAGGAGTATTTACACGGTAATTAAAGCAAATGTTATCACGTTAGTGTTTTGGTGTACAGCGCTTTGTCTGCCATCAACACTTACACAATTCGCCCGTTATATATTTACAATTGTCTTTGTGAAACGTGTTATAGTAAGATAGACTTGAAATATGTCAGTTGTTAATTAAACGATGACAAATTACCTTTATTTCTCTTTTTGATTTAAACTGAAACATATCATATATACATATATATATATTATTGTATTAAGCTTGGCACTACCTTTACTTTCTTTATCTTTGACGAAGACCAGTTAGATGTTATTGGCACTAATCTAATGGCAGTTGAATTTATCTTTGGTGTGATTCAAGTGGCCTTAAGTATCACGTACTTCAACAGTTTCTGGAAGATGAAGGTTTATAACACTGCTTTTAGACAGACTTTTGTAAGTTTTATTATTCGGTAAGGCTACACGAAGCAGGGGGTAGGGCGGGGTAAGCTAGAATATGGCAGCATGATTAAACGCAGATTAAGGACGAGTAGGTAGTCCAGAATATAAACTTTTATGTATATACTTTTCATTCTTACTCCAAAACATTTAATTGTTGTCCACAAAAAAATCTCTCATAATTTTGTGTGGTCTTTCTTTTTGTCTGATTGCCGTCGGCATTAGAGAAAAACTAGAGAACGCACAAAATTATCAAAGATTTTTCGTGGACAAGAATTCAAGGTTTTCGTCTGAAGTAAGAATGAAAAGTGAATACGTCAAAAGTTATATGCTAATCTAGTGCATGGTAGAATAGGATAGGGTAGAGTAATTTCAGACATAGTAGGGTATGGTAAAGCAGGGTAGGGTATAAAAGTTGTCTTAAAAAAAGTTTTAGATAACCTTAAATATAATTATGAGTAGTTCTTCAATTATGCATCCGTTAGCTGAAAGTCTTGATTATTTGATAACTAACGGCTATTGTCAAGGTATGGAAAGAGAAGCTAATATGACAAAATATGTTTTCTTCTTCTTTGATCATATAGCGGTAGCTTTTATAGAGCTAAAGTTTTTTATTTTTGCGTTGGAACGATGGTACGCTATCAAAAATAAAGGAAAGGAACAGCACAAAGGCAGCGTCGCTTTTACTATTCTTGGAGGTTTGGTAAGAAAATGTTACGTAGAAAAATGTTGATAGTATACTACTGTTTTCAAAAAATTTATTTTTTCGTTTAATTGAGAAAGGTCGTTTTAAAAATTTCACTTAAATTTTTATACTAATTAATTTAGGCTTTATTGGTGTCAATCGAAATTTTTTTCAAAACCTGGTTGTTTTGGCAGTTTGACACTTCTGAACCAATTGAACATCGCCTGAAAAAAGGATTGACAGTTACTACATCAGTCGGTTTTCTAGCTGCTTCTTATATACTCTACATTGGCTCAGTCGTCGCTGGGGTTTTGGTTGGTTTTAATTTTTTTTCGAAACTTGTTTTTGTTTTTAATTGGTCTTTAAAGTTTAAAGAAACAAGCTAAAAGTATGAACAGCAACATTTAAAAAAACTTTTTCAGCTATTAAAATACACCAAAGGCTACATCAAAAAGCTTCGTCTTCAAAGCGAAAGCCTGGCTGAAAGCTTTGAGTTAAGTCAAAGCAATCGAATTGCTGATGCTCTTAGACCAATGATCATATTATATGTTGGTTGTGGATTAGCATGTGCTCCTACTTGTGTGCTGTGTTATATCATGGTGTTTTGCGATAACACTCCTTACCTTAAAAAACTGTTCTTTGTGGCCGGACGGGTAAGCGAGTAACCTACTAACACTTCCGTTATTCTCTACCCTACCGTACCCTACCCTGCCCTACCTTACCCTATTTTACCTACCCTTCTCTACCCTACCTTACTAAACACACTACGTCAAGTGTTATACCGTAGGCTTGACGTACTGTAATTAGTAATGCATACACACGATTTTCAAAAATTAACTCTACACCATTTAGCTAGACTACTTTAACCTGTCGTTATACTCATTACTGTCGTTGGTTGTTGGTTTGAATAAGTTTGGAATTATTTCGAAAAATGTTGTTCTACCAACCACAGATGTAATATATAATGCTGATTCGCATATCAATCACTTTGACCTATTGGCTGATATGTGGGATGTAACTAAACATTAAAATGTTTGTCAGCTGTGTAAGACAATATATATGAAATTCTATTTTGCAATACATGATTTAAAAAGGTTTACCTTTATTCCACCGTCTCCCCTATCCCAGCGACGTTCTTGGGTATGATAAAAAGTTAAAATACGTAAAGAAAGCTTAGAAAAAAGTGTATTTTTGTATTATATGCTACATCTTCAAAACGACACAATACAATCTTTTTGAAGTATATTTTGAATCTATAGTATCTTTTTATGGTACTAATTAGTACGTGCAATATTGTCTAGGTCTTAAGCTGTCTGGGCATCATTAAAAATTACTGATAATTTTATTGTTACCAAAAAATTTATAAAGAATCCAGGAATTCATGAGGATAATTGTGCTTTTTTGCTTACGTTAGGCTTAAGAGAGAGAGAGAGTTGCCGATATGTATAAGTTTTAAGCGGTTCGTTCATAGTCAAGGTAGATAACAAAACATCTTTGATACTTGTCCTATACGTTCAAAAATCAACATTGTTACATACACAACAACTACAAAGCATCGCTCTTTTTCTTGCATAACCGCAATATAGAACATCACAAGGTATAATTTTGACGTTATTGAATGACTTTGTTTATGTCCTTCAAACTTCAAATTATGAGACAAATGATATTTTTTTAATACAAACAATACCACAACGTCCTTTTTATTAAGACGAACTTGTATATAAACTAAGTTTTGGTTAATACAAAGTTGTACATAAGACACATTTTATTAATACAAATTAGAGGCGGCTTATCACAGAATAGAAGGCCTGTACTGTACTATAACTATAAGAAACAAGTGTAACTTATTACGCTATTTCAAAGTCTAAGTAACAGTTACGCGTAATCTAATAACCAATAACAAAAATTGCGCTTAAAATTGTGTATAAAGATCAGAAAAGTTTTCTAATCTAATAAGGGCTAGACCAAACTTTGTAGGATTTGATTAAATTTCTTTTGACATTGTTAGTAGGTGGGTACAAAGTGTGTTTGACACTGGCTGTATATCTTGCATAAGGTTAGTGCTATTATATTATATACTTATAAGAATGATATGTATATTATACTAGGCATTGTCTTTAAATACGCTTGTTACTATCTACATTTACTACATAAATTGATTGTTGATGGTTTATATAATCTTTCTACTTCCTATATACGTTTATAAATACATCTATGATATTGTTGTGCTAACCGGATAATACTCTATATATCAAGACTATATACTTAAACGCTTAGTTTACCTAAAATATACTTGAATACACGATATACTTATATCTTTTATAGCATTCCGTTAATACCAACTACGTAATAGGTTACGTTACTTTGAAAATTGATGTTACCCTAATTGACAGCTTTAATACGACAATGAACTGTCAATAACAACTTTTGTCATAGCATTAGTAATATTTACGGTATTTCGTATATATAGTAAGTTTTTTTTGCATCGTGTCTTTCTTCTCTATTATCAGTCTGTATTATATACGAGCAAACTAATAAGCAGGTTTAGGTTAATGACAGCTTTGAAGTGTCATATTGAGTAGTATAACTATATAGGTTATTACAGTGCCACTATTCGTTATTTGGCATTACAAAACTATTATTGAATTTTATTACTACTGTCATTATTAACATTACTACAACCATCTACCAAATATATTATCTATTACAAGGGAAAACTAAATTTTATATTCCAGCAAGGTCATTTTCTATGTTTAACACAAGCGAAGAAATAATAATAAAGGTTGGTCGATATTTTTTGGGCGGCGAAGTTGTCTGTGGTGCAGTTCAGATCATTCTCAATTATGTGTATTTGAGAAGGTTTTGGAACATGAAGTCATATAACACGTCTTTTCGACAAACTTTTGTAAGTTTTGATGTAGTATTGGTATTGTACAAACCCTAGTTCGTGAATTTTAAATTTCTAACTCCGGCTTTGGGGTGATCGGGGAATACCCTCTCCCCCCCCCCCCCCCCTTCAAAGAAAAAAAAACTTCGAAAAAAGTTGAACGTAGTCCCCCCTGTGGATTTTTGGAAAAATTTTACGCAAAAAATCAGCGCCTGTGCCGATTTTTTCGACACCCGCCCCCAGACCAAAAGTCCCCGCCCGGCCTATAGCCATAAAGCTGAAAAGTCCCTATCAATTTAAAATTTTACTTTGTCTAAAACAATCTTTCAGATAGGAGTAAACCTAATAATAAGTTGTTCATCCATGCTACACCCCTTGTCAGAACTATTCGAATATGTTGTGGAACAAGGCTATTGTGAAGAGTTTCATATCAAGTTGATAGTGTTAAACTACGTTTTCTTCTTTGTTGACCATGTAGCAGTTGTGTTTTTACATTTCAAGTTTTTCATATTTGCCTTCGAACGATGGTACGCCATTAACAAGAAAGGGAAAGCACCAGAAGATGGTGTGTTCGCTATTAAGCTTCTTGGGGGATTGGTAAGGTTGTTTTTAACAAAAGTCTTCCAAAACAGTCTCTCCTGAAGCCTCAAAAGTAAAAAAATTTGACGACAAGACTTTTTTAGTAGTCTCATATATATCCTTTTTTCAGGCCATGTTCATATCACTAGAAGTGCTCTTCAAAACCATCTTGTTTTGGATGTTTGACACTGCAGATTCAGTGCATGTTCGATTGAAAAAAGGCTTAACAGTGACTGGTTCAGCCGAATTCGAAGGTGTTTGTTATTTTATCTTTGGGTTTTCACTAGTTGTTGGCGTTTTGGTAAGATTTAGCTTTTATTACAAGATGCACAATGCATTCGCCGTATTTTACATATTTTTTACAAGGAAAGTACTCTACCAGCCTCGCTCAGAAATAGCTCGAAAGCTTCAATATCATGCTACAACAAAATATTAAAACTACCTTTTTCAGCTCTACAAATACACAAATGGCTACATTAGGAAGCTTCGATTGAAAAGCGAAAGCTTGGCTGAGAGTTTTGAGCTGAGTCAGAGTAATCGAATCGCCAATGTTCTAAAGCCAATGATAATATTGTACCTTGCATTTGGAATAGCATGTGGGCCTACTTTGGTTTTGTGTTTCTTCATGACTTTTTGTGAGAATACCTCTTACTTGAAGAATCTTTACTTGGCTGGTGTTAGGGTAGGTTTTAAAAACTTTTGTCGCTATTCACAATGTAAATGTATGCAAAATTACGACAAGCCTTTTATTTAAATAAACCAACAACTTAAAGGATATAAAATAATCGTATGTTATCTTTGAATTTTCAGGTAAACTATTTCAACTTATCAATTTACACTCTTCTGTCGTTAGTTGTGGCATTATATAAGTTTGGGTTGATAACTAAGCGTGTCATTCCATCGATGCCCATGATGAAGATGAGAGATGAGCAAGATAATCATTTTGATTACTTAACCAGCTCTTGGGAAGCTAGAAGAGCTAAATTTTAAAATTTTCAATTTTTTAAAATTCTTGTGGTATTCTGTTTTAAAAAAAGTCTCGTCGTGAAATTCCATTCTTTTGCAACCACAAATCAAGACTTTTTTGCCACTCTCAAACCTCTAATAATGTAATACAAATATAACTATTGGAGATACAGGTCCTAAAATTGTACTACAATAAATATGCCATTTCTTTCCAACAGAATGTTGATTTTAATTAAAATTCTATGAAAAGTAGAATAAGTGTTTACTGTCGACAAAGTTGTAAATAACAATGAAAAATATTTCTATTTTATATTATGCATTCGTTTACTAATTCCATTAAAAAGTTGCTTTCTTCGCTTCGGGCTGACGCATTTCAAGCCGAGTGAACGCCTGAATATTCGATATTATAGTAGGTATATGAACCTGGCATTATTCGATATTATAGTGGATGTATTAGCTATTGTAATAGATGTATTAGATATTGTAGTAGATGATTAGACAGTGTATTAGATGTATTAGATATTGTAGTAAATGTATTAGATATTGTAGTAGATGTATTAGACATTATAGTAGAAATACGTCTTTTGCAAAAACTTAAATTTAAAAAAAATGTTTCATGACATCATGTACTTCAAAAATAATTTTTTATGTCATAACTTTTCTCAAAAAATTTACTGTAAAACCTCGCTAATAGGACTCCGCTTACAACAAAACGGTTATAGCAAATTCTTTCAAATCCTCTAAAAAAATAAAGAAATGAGTATGACTTACTTCCGAAGCGGTAGGATGAATGGTCAACAGCTGATCAAAGTCCTTTCTTTTGGCGTTCAACTTTAAACACATTGCGAACCCGGTGCAAATCTCTGATGCATTTGGAGCCAACACTTGGAAACCAACCAAACGTTCCTGGAAATTTAAAATTTGTAAAATACGACAATTACGGACATGCAAAAAGACCTATTTTACATTACTTACCTCCTTTACAATTAGACCTGAAAGAAGAACCTAGCCAGACCGGCAAATGTACGGCCGACCAAAGCTCAAACCAAAGTCCTAAGGACCAGCTTAAGTTCCGCAATGAAAGACTTGAAATTGAAAAACGCTTTACAGATCTACGAACACTAAATTAACAAATTACCCCAAAAAACCAAAATTTTTAACTTACATTTTCAGTTTTGAAGAAGACAGCCTTACAGAAGGCGTATTTCTGCCAATCACCGGGTACTGTAGCGTCTACTGTAGTGATTGGGGCTGTGTATATACTGATGTTCTCGGTACCAAATTGATGGCCAGCCTCTTTTTCCGACAGTCCACAAGAACAGTACTCTAGAGGTGTAAGAACTGAGGTTAAAACACGTTCATAGTCGGTTCGTTCCATTGATCCCTGTAGTAATATTAGTTTTATTGGTGGTCGTTTTTTGATCTATCCGTGCCATTTCAAACAAAATTTTATTATAATTGCCATGCTGATCACTAGGTAATACTCAAATCCATATTCTAATTATTGTAGACTACTGTACCATATCCTACTTTGCTCTACCCTATTCCGCTCCACTCAACCGCGCCTTACCCTACCCTACCATGTCATACCCTACTCTACCCCGTCATATCCTACCTTACTCTCATCCACCTGACCCCTACCCTTACCAAATACAGTCGTCGCATCAGAAGCTTAGCAGAATGTGTAGAAACCGGTGAAAACTCCATCGCTCCTTCCAACACATCCCCTACCGTATAAACGTGTGGAGCTGTCTGTGATTGCTCATGTCGTCCCAATACTTTACCCGAGGTCGATAACTTAATGTTTGGCTTTTGGAAATTCAAATTGGCTGTTCGTGGCTCTCGTTGCGCTGCTGATACTACCTAAAATAAGGCTTTTAAAGTAAAATACGACCTGAAATATTACCCAAAACTACCTTTCTTTTATAAAATAGTACCTAAATTAATGTTTTCAGTTTAAAATAATACCTAAAATAACATTTTTTCATTAAAAAAAAACTTTTTTCAATAATTTCGATGAAATTTTAAAGTTACCGTGTTAAAATCAATCGTAAATTCTTCCGTAGCACCATCAGAAAGAGATTGTTCTCCTGTTACTGTCACAACTCCTGGGCTTTCCTCCGATTTAGCTTCTTTTCTTTCCAGTTTTGTAGGTATACCTCTGAAACAAAGTAGTTTTTAAAGGTCTCCACAGCATTTTATTAAAAAAAACAAATTTAGGCAACTAACAGAGTTTACAGCTATAGTTATCAAACATTCAATAAGAAATTTAATTAAAACTTAAAGAATTCCTCAAGTTTTGGCCAAAAACCTCTACAAAAACGCCCAAAATTTGTGTTTATTTTCATATTTTTAAAAACTTTTCAAAGATTTTGTGAACTCACGTCATGAATTTAACGCCACAACTCTCCATGTGCCTCTGGATCTTCTCTGCAACCTCTTCATCAAATCCCCTGATCAGGCTTGATCTTAACAGCACAGTAACATCATTTCCCAACGCATTCAAGAATCCAGCAATTTCCAGCGAAACAAACGAATCTCCAATACACAGCGTCTTTCCTGGATTCTGAGTTTGTGCAAATAGCTCATCAGCTCCAATACAACAGTCTACGGCATTCTTGAGATGTGGCAATTTGGATTTTAACCCAACGGCTAACATGAAACGATCGGCTGACAGAGTTTTGTTATCTTGTAATAGGACTTGATGGGTTCCGTTGAAGATTCCGTGCTCGTTTAGGTATGTTACCTAAATTATGGTTAGGTTATGATGAGGATTAATCAAAATGATTTTGTTGTTACCTAATTTAATGTTTTGGGCCTACAAAACCAAAAACTGGAAGAAATCTCCTTTGGAAGACTTTCAGGCTTGTTCAGCTCTTAATTTTGCTAAATAAATTTAATTTCGCTAAATAACTAAATTTTAGGTAACAAACTTACTTTGGCATCGTTAAGAGAAGCTTCATTGTCTTTGTTAAACTGTGATACGTGTTCCTGGAGGAGTTTCTGGAGTGTGTTCCAAGTGAATTTTGCCTTTTCTTCCGCTTCCTCAATTTTCCATCCGAATTTCTCCGCGTTGTCTAAAAAATCAGTCATAATTACGTTATTATAATTCTAAAATAAGTTGAAAACTCGTCTCGTAAGTTGTTTTTTATATTATATTTTTGTTGTATTAGGCAAATAATACAAAGGATTCGAGTCTTTTCGTTTCTTTTGAGCATTCTTTAGTTTTGATACTGTTCAAGAGTTTTTTAGGTAATAGTTCGAAAATTTAACGTATTTCGGGCCCAAAAAAGGAAGAATCAATAGTCATAAGATTAAGACAACATATATCTTTAATATTTCAACATAATCAGTTAGAATATTACCCTAAAACTTACGAACTATATTCCCAATGACAGCAGCTTGTTGAACAATCTTTTTCGGAATTCGATCGATATTGATCAAGCTCGCCGATGGGGCTGGAGTGCCATTCTCCTGTCCTGGTATGTAATTCAAACATGCCACCCTTTTCCCTAGACTAGCCGCTTCTTTAGCCGCTGCCAATCCTCCAGCACCTCCACCCAGCACGATCAGGTCGTAATCATGTGGAGTGAGAGCTTCTGCCAGATATCCTGAACGGTGTAGTGCTCTCATCTCATTGATTCCACCCACACAATCTCCATTGATGAATACTAATGGCAAGCCAGGTCTTTGTACTGCATCCAGGACCTCGGCTCCAGTCTGTTGATCTACAGTAAGGTAAGTGGCTTCTGTGTTGGCATCACGGCCGAGGCGGTCCAACAGTGATGTGACATGGTTATCAACATGTGATCCAAACTTCCTCACCACACAGATCCTCTTCTGTGCGATCACAGCGAACGTCTCTAGCGCTGCTTCCTTTGCCGTGCCGGGTCGATGTTCCACAACGTTTTGAACGTACTGAACGGAAGCCGATGAAGCACGTTGTCGGCCCAAAGCTCCTGAATAAGGGTATTCTGTGCGTGGTGAAGATTGACGTGAGGATGACCAGTAGCCGGAGGATGTTGAGGATGGGGTAGCGCCGTTGTTATTTACATTATTGTTGTTTAAAGTGGAGTTGAAGCCATTGGTGTAGGGTTGGTTTAGGCGTTCTTTCGAGCCGGAGAAGAGGGAACCCAAGAACGACTGACGCCGTTGGGGTCTGGAAACGAGGGTTTTTAAATTTAAAAAATTTTTTTAAAAAAATTATGGAGGGGAGGGGGGGGGGGAACGGTGAGGAATTTTTACTAAAGTAAAAAAAATTGGCCAGAGTAGTTTTTTACGGGTAAGAGTAGGAGAAGGTAGTTAAAAAACAATTTTACTTTGTAGCATTCCCGTTATACGACGCCGTGGTTGCTGAATGCACCGAAGTCGGTGAATTGAATCCGTTTGTTACTGTAGTTGGACTTGAGGGGTAGGTACCTAAAATATTGCCATTAGTACGTTATATTTTGCCCTTATAGTATTCTTTTCTTATCAGTTTCTGATTATAATAACACATAAACGAAACGAACATAACAGTAAACACAACAAAAAAAAACAAAAAATAACAAAAAAATAGAAAAGCAAGCTCAAAAACAATAACAACTAAAACAAAAATAGAAAAATTACATTCTCAACACCAATTTTAATCTAAAAAAACCTTAAAATACCCAAAAATTAAACCAAAAATCACAAAAAAAGTACAAGAAACCAGCAAAAAGTGCACGCCATAGTATCGTATCTAATCGGAAATTAATAATTAGTCAATAACAAGGTGCATTGTACATATTTTAAAGTTCACACGTTTGCACGTCACTAATTAAAGATTTTAAACCTATTTACAAACTGGTATCACATTTTCCCAGAGAACCGTATTTACTGTTTGTTACCGATGTTGTCGATACAATAAATAAGGTTTTGTGACTACAAAAAGTAATATTGTGTACTCGAAAGGTGGTAATTGGGTTTATTTTTAGCAAAAAATTAAAAATGGCTTTAAAATATCGTTTTTTTTGAGCCAATGTGTTTAATAGAATTTTGAATTTTTAAAAGATCTAAAAAATGTTTAGAAAAAAGTTGAGATTTTAAAAGTTACATAAATCTACTGTGAAGTGTCAGACTAAAAAAAAAGAAGTTACACTGGGTTATTAGATTTTCATGTTCTTGAGAAAAAAGAGACAAAATAACAAAACTTGAATGACAATAAGAGTTAGTTTCCGTTTAAAGTGCTATTTTAATTTTTTACATTGTAAATGCCTAGGATTGCCAGGACTATCAGCAAGTCCAGTGATAATAAAAAAATATTTTTTACTCCTTTCTTACACAACAGTTCCTTGACTGTGGTCTTGGTAAAAGATTGCTTAGAACTCATGTTGAACAGTGCTTTGCCCGGGCCGGTCCGGAGCGTTTTTCATCAGTGCGGTCCAGCGATTTTCGGTCCGGGTCCGTAGGTTTTTAGATCCGTCCGGCCTAGCAAAACACTGCTGTTGAACGAATGATTTGAGAAATATAGCTTTATTAGATATACGTCGTTATACAGAAGTTCCACAGAAATTTGAAAATTTTTAAAAGCCAAAACTTGATTACCAAAAATAGTTTCCTAACTAAAATTATCTTATACTATAATATTTAGTAATCGAACCCCCTCCAAACAAAAACAAATCCAAAACAAATAAAAAACCGAAATTAACCGTGGATTCATTTGGCTTCACGAACAGCAATTACTAGAATAATCTCATGGAGAGAAATTTTAAAGCGCTTACAGCCGGCTTTTTTATAATTTTGTCAGGATTTGTTTAGTCAAGAGAACTGCGCAAACACAAATTTTGTTTCGGATTGTTAAGGAGACACCTTAAAACTTTGCTAAATCCTTCGAAAGCTCGAGTTTTTTTGCTGTGGATCAGCGTGCACGGAAATTGAAATAGTGTGGGAGAGTGAAGAGAACGCATAGGGTGGAGAGAAGATAAAAGTAACTGTAAAGTATCGGCAAGAATGAAGATAAACAAACAAGATGACTATAAGGGTTAAAGTTGGAGTGAGATTGAGATATGTGATCAGTAGAAAAAGTTTCTGTCTGATCTGATAAAATTAATTTTTTTCAAAAATGTCTTAACTACATATCATATAAAACTACCCTACTCTTGAGTTCCTTTGCCTTGCGGTTTCTTGCCTTGCCTTGCCCTGCCCTGCCCTCCCAAGTACCACTGTAAAAAGACCAAACCAGGCCCAAAATTTCAGCCAGGCCCTTCTCCCAAACTTTCAGCCCGGCTCTTCTCTCTTGCTTCGGACTAGGCTGTGCCTTGTGAGCCCCTTTTCAAATCTACTCCTTACAAATTAAACGCATTTAATAACGTGTTCAAATATTAAAACTTCTCATACCACCAATTGAACTAACTCAATTTCGCCCATTACCCAAATCAAATTAAGCCTTGAATCGAGAGAAAATTAAATAAATTTGGTCGAAATTTTATGAAAAAGAGATAAATGCCATTCTTACACTTTCTCTACATATTTTTGGGACTAAACATGAAATTTGGTTTTATAATGTAATCAAAACAGCATTCTCGTGCTGAATATGTTATGCCAAACATAACTGAACATAGGAGTGTAACTTTTGGTCTGTTTCTCGCGGATTTAAATTTAGGGCTTAAAAAGAATTTCTAATTCAAAAATACCTTACCCTACCCTAACCGACCCTGCTGTGCCTACTTTGTCTTACTCTGCGTACTAGCTCAAGCCGTGCTGTTGCCTAAGGCATAAGCCTAGCTTTAGCATTAGTCGAAGCACTAGTATAATATTTAAATTACAAAATCTTTCAAAAATCCGTTTTTAATGTTAAAACAAAAAAAATTGACAGCAAATTTTATACTTACCTTCCTCTACTACAATGTCACTTTTAGCCGCCCTTAGACTAAACCACTTCATATCCTAGGCCAACCTTCACTTTTTTCCTCAATAATGTTAGTTTAAAACGACAGCTTCTGAAAATTCCTTGCTAGCGTGATGTGAATGTTTTAAAAAGCTGGATCGTTAAGCTTCTGTAGCCAAAAGCCGCCGTTCTAGTAGGTCAAATAAACTTAAATATATTTAACTCAACGTGAGTATCAAGCTCAAAGTGAATATCTACCTCAACTTAAAGATCAATGTACTTAAAAAATGTCCACAGCTTAGCGTCTAGCACACCCTCAAAACCTTTTTTGTAACTTAACGTAATGTGCTATTCCATGACGTCCTAAGCCCTTTTGTGCGTGATTCTCCCCCCTATTTTTGCAGAACACTTGAAAAAAAGCAGAAGTACAAACATAATAACCGTTCGTAACACTTTTTAATAACAAAATCTAATTTTCGAAAAAAAATTTTGAGGCTTTTGAAGTTGTTTTTTCAAAAAATGAGGTTTTCAGATAAAATTTTTTAAAAAACTGTAAAATATTAGATTTTAATTTTTTTATAAGTTTTTAACTAATTAAATTTAATAACAAAAAAAGCAAGAAAAATTTAAAAAGTCTTAATATTGAAAGTTTGTCAAAAAAAAACCGGCTCAAATTTCATGTTTTGTCAACTTTAAGGAAGTTTTGTGTTGACAAGAAGACACGTTTAGGTATATATCATAATTAAAAGAAAGATAATTATAAAGATGTTCTAATTATAAGAAAGGCAATTATAGGATGAAGGTAACAAGATTAAGAGAGTTTGTAACTTCTTATAACTAGTGTTACTTTTTTTAAGTTTTTAAGACATGATAGTGCAGAAAATGAACCAAGCAAAAGCATTTAGAGCATGTCAAGTTAAGAAGTTTTTTTTTCAAAAAAAAGTTTTAAAAATTAAAATTTTTATAACTTCTTACAACAGTATTTTTGAAAAATTCAAGAAATTCGGAAAGAGGACCAACGTTGGCATTCTTTTGCAAACCTGTGCCGATTTTTTGCAAAAAATGAAGTTCCAATAAATCTTTTTTTTTCCTCAAATAATGTGAGTGTTCAATCTCAATTTAAATTTACCAATAATTTACCCATTTGGGACCAAGCTCCCCAGGTTTTTTTAGCGAAAAAAGAATACTGAATTTGCCTGATTTTTGACACAGACACAGAATGCCCACATTTTGCAAGGAAGTTTCGTGATTCTTTAAATAAGAGACACTTTTACATTAAACCTACTGTTTTTAAAGCTGGTGGTCTAGACAAAGCCCTTAGAAACACAAACAACATATAATAAACAGACATGACAAGTCACAAGCTTTAAATTATAACCCATTAAAATCAAATAGCTTCAAAATTAAAAAACACTAAGCTAAAAAACCATAAAAATTAAAAACATTAAACCATCGAGCATGATTTACACAACTAAATTCGACAGAGATGTTGTAAACACTACGAATAACTAGAACCAAGCCTCAGAGCAGCTAAAAATCCTTAGAAATAAAAAAAAACTAATCAAAGCCTATTGAAGTTAACATACAGTTTTCAAAACAAAAAATCATGAATTCAAAAACGAAAACTAAAGAAAAAACACCTACAACTAAAGCAACAAACCAAATCACAAAGTCCTAACACCACAAAATCAACAAAAATCCCAATGCCAAACTAGTACCGTTTTCCTGAACTTGTACGAAGTGAGGCGAGGACTTGGAGTGGGGCGCGAACGGGTTCTCCAACAACTGGGAGTTGCGACGCGACAAGCGCCGCGAACTCTTGGCCGACATCAGGATGCGGCGATAGAGACGATCGAGTTGGGCCTGCAACGGGTCCTCCACCTCGGCCGGCTCCGCGTGGGCGGCGTTGTCGCGGGTGGGGCTGGGGCTGGTCCGTCGGCCCCACCACCACTCATTCGCTCCGCCCCCTTTTATGCGCACGTCCACGCTTTTGCTGCGCATTCCACGGCTAATTAGCCGCTAATTAGGCGAAAATGAGAAGGATTTGTTGTGTTCGGATGGATGTGTTGGGGTTGTGTTGACACTGTAATGAATATGGGTTGGGGTTAGTCATGCTCAGTTCAAAGATTTTGGGATTTGAAGGGAATTTTAGATGTACTGGGTCAAGTAGATCAAACCCGTGAATTAGTAGTGTTTTTGAATTTTAAATTTATTTCTTTTACCTTATTTTAGGTTTCAAATACTATACTTTTAAGTACTATTTAGATTGAAAACCTTAAGTTTTGCAGTTAGGTTTACCTCCTAAAACAGGCATTCAATCGGATTCAAAATCCTCAAAGAGAAGTAAATATAATAGTACACTTCTTTTTAGGTATTCAGCATTCTCCTATGTTGCTAGGTACATTTACCCTTTAGCAATATATGGTTCCACGAAAAGTTTTTTGAACCCTGTGTTCATTCAGGTTTCAAAAAAAGGCTAACTACAACTTTTAAACTTGGACCTTTAGTTTTCGGTACGGGAAATAGCCCTCTCTTTTAAAAATTTGAAAGACTCGGGAGTACCGTCGTATTATAAAAAATTTTACTTATGTATCATTAAGAAAAAATTTACAGTAATACATGCCTAAAAAAAATTTTTTTGCAATTTTTCTCATTCTTCGGCTCAAAGTTCACGTGCTTTGATTTAGCCTTTCCTATAGACCCTCTCTTATCCACATCCTTCTTCAAAGCTGACTTTAACTTACAATGTTTGCTGCGCAGGGTCAAAGCTTTGAGAACACTAACGCATTTATTGTTCTAACCACCCCCGCAAGAACGCTGAAAAGAAGAACGACAAGTACGAGAAAGAACGCGTGAACAAATCTCGAAATGTTAGCTTTGAAATGGCAGATATTACACATAAAAATTATTACATACGAGTTAAAAATAAGAGTAATAGTAAAATTACCCTATCCTATGGGTTTTTACCTTGCCCTACCCGACCCTACTCTCTCTTACTTTACCCTTCCAAAGTGGTTAACATAGGTAGCAATAGTAAAATAAGTAAAAAAAAGTGTTGTCGGCAATTGGTAAGTCTCTGTGCTTTCAAAAACGACAATATTTTTCAAATCATATCACAGTGAAAACGACATAAAAATAAACGCAAAAATACCCGTTATTGCTAAAGTAGTATAATATGTACATGCATAATAGTCGTATTCAAAATTAATCAGACTTTTCAAACTTTTTAGACGTCAAATTTAATAAGAACATTGTGTGTAAACTAAGAAAGCACGCCATGTTTAAAAAAAGTCAAGGTACTTTGAAAGTTAAGTAGGTATAAAGAAGTTACAGTAAAATCAATGTGATATAGTTAATTCAGTAAGGCTTAAAAAGAGCCTCAGCCCTGGCTGTGTCTCTGGCCCTAAGTTTAGCCCTAGCCCTATCCCTATCCTTAGCTTTAGCCCTATCCATAGCCCTGACTCTAGACCTATCTCTACCCTTGGCTCTAACCCAAGCCATACCCTTACAAAAAATGTCACAAGAACCAAAGGCTTCAGAAATTTAGCAAAAGATGCTACTCAAACACTTAATTCTACCTAATACTACATAGTAAACAGAAACGCATGGGATTAACAATATAAGACCCACACTGATGACATTTAAATACAATGTTATACGTGCTATTTACTATGTTGTCTTTTAAGAATTGAAAAGAAAAAATCTTCTCAAAGAAGTGTTTTTTTTGTAAAATATGAGAATCAAAAGTTAAAATGTCCTAGGCTTCATCAGAAAACTACCGCCAGTTTATACAGTTTCTAAAATGAAAGAGGAACATAAAGGTTTTCTAGCAATGAGTAGTGTAAAAGGTTAGCGTGCAGAAACCTTGTAAATACTTGATTTAAAAATAGATCCATAACTTGGCAAAAAAACAAAAAAAATTTTTTTATAATTTACCAGTCAAAAAATCAAAATCTTAAAAACTTCAAAGTACGTCTTACCAATTTTTACATTTTTTACCCAAAGTTCTTTTCAAAACAAACTATGATAGCTTAAAAACAAAATACACCTATCATTGTCTCAAGAAGAACATATGTAATTAACACCAAATAATTAATTTCTCTCATATACACAATATTGTTTATTTACATCAATTGTAATTCTTTGGTTTTTGATCAATCGTACATTAATTTTACATGGTAGCCAAGTTATTGAAAAGGCCCTACTTTACCCTATCCAATCGTGCCCTGTTCTGCATTGCGCTACCTAACCCTACCCTATGCGAGTTTACTACGTAGTCAAAAATTTCTCAAATTTCAATAAAATTTCAAAAATTTTAATTGTGAAAAAAGTGTCTGTCAAAGGTCTATTTCCTGGTCTATACCTAATTAACTGTCTTACAATTTCAAATCCACGAATTTCAAATGACAAAACAAACAGAATTCCTATAATATTTACAAAATTCTCATTGTAACACATTTAGATTACCTTCCTACTCTCATGTAACACATTACATTACCCTCCTACTCTCATGTAACATATTTACATCCCTTTCTCTCCTCTTATGCACTTTACTTCTAGCTATAGCTGTAAGATTTCATTTCCGAAAATCAGGCCTAAAAATATGAGAAAACAAAAAGTAAATAAAATAAAGTTTCGTGAGATATCCAATAAAGATAACAATGTAAAGATGACCGTTTTATTGAGATGTAAAGGCAAAAAGAACATCATGTCAAGTTTGTCATAAAAAACTTGAAATTTTTCATTTTTTAATAATATGTTAAACTTAAAATCCTTTTTTTTAATTTCTTTAGTCTCATAATGTGCTAAGGCTATGAATAAAGCTAAGGCTAAGACTAGGACTACTGTTAGAGTTAGGGCTACAACAGCGCAAACGCTAATCCTTGGGAAGTGATACGGTTCGAGCTAAAGCTTGTACTTTTGGTTAGGGCTGTAGACTAGGGCTCTGAGCTAGGGCTCTGAGCTGGAGCTCTGGGCTAAGGCTCTAAGCTAGAGCTAGGGCTCTGGGCTATAGGCTAGGGCTCTGGGCTAGGGCTCTAGGCTATGGCTCTGGGCTAGCGCTCTGGGCTAGAGCTTTGGGCTAGTGCTCTAGCCAAGAGAGAAGCAGTAAGTACATTTTCACTTCATAAAACAATAAGAATTGCTATCAATGTGAATTTTGTTATATCTTAAGCCACAATACACGTTTCATCGTATAAAACGTCACCATTTTGCAACTTTGCCAATAAAAGCGCAATTTTTGCAAATTTTGAATAATTGATAAGTAGGCAACTCGAAACCTCTTCACGAACGTCTCAAGTCCAAGCACGCCAACAGAAAAAAAAACCGTCTCCAAATTGGCCAAGTGTCCACTTTAAACCGATTTTGCCCTCCGGGAATCCAAAACCCGAGGATTTAAAGAGGAAAATAAACGAAAAAGTAGCTGGGGTAGTTCAAGTGAAAAGAACACCGGAAATAGGATACGACCGTTTAAGAATTGTATTGCGATATAAACTCTTCGAAAAACAGTATCCAATATAACAAAAGGGTTTGGAGGGAGAGGACAAGAAAAGGTGGAGAGGGAGAGAGGGGATTAAAAATATGATTTTTGAGTAAAATACGAGCTAAAAATTATTTTAATAAAAATTTTGAAATTTAAAAAAAAACTTTTTTCTTTGTCCTTCCCCTCCCCCCCCTTTCCCTCCGCCTCGTTACACTTCTCCCACCACCACGTCTTCAAAACTAAAATCCCCCTCCCGACCCAGGACGTCACATCCATAAAGTAACAAGCCTTTTACAAAAAAGGTTTTTAAAAACGTTCAAAACTTTTCAAACTGTGTACAAACAAATGATTAGTTACAAGAAAACAATAAGTATTGTCATGGCAGCAAACTTACAAAACTAGGCCAAAGAATGATTTCTCAAGACGAAAACAGGACACTAATTAGCTTGACAGGTTTCTTAATAGTTAGAGATTATTTTCTTTACTCTACCCTATCTTATCATACCTTGTCTTGCCCTGCCTGGACTTGCCGTCCGTGCCTTTCTTTGCCTTGGCTTGCCTTGCGTTGGCTTGCCTTGCCTTGCCCTGACTTACCCTGCTTTACCGTATCCTAGTCCGCCCTGAATTGACCTACCCTAACCTACTGAACCCAGCCCAGCTTTGCCCTCCACTGTCCTGTTCTCTTCCGTCCTATCATATCCTACTCTACACTACCCAACCTTATATAATATTCTGTTCCCCCACCGACCACTACCTACTATACTCTACCCTATCCTACTCTCTCCCCCATCCACTACTACCTACTACAATATCCTAACAGATTAAAGATTGTCGTAAAAACCATTCACAAATTCCAAATGAATAAATACAAAGTATTTTGTCAACATAAAAGCCGTAAAATTGTGTCTGCCAAAGCCTCGAATATGTCAAATCAAGCGAAGGTAAACAAGATGTATTAACACCATACCTAAAAAAATGGCATGAATATTTAGAAAGGACGTACTTCATTATGCCTTTTCTTATGTTTTTCTTTCTCTTACCTTGTAAAAATTTAAAAATTTGGCAAAAAATGGCTTCACAAGTACTAGAAGATACAGTAGATGTTTGCAATTGTATACAGTGACTTATATAGTCATAAAAGCGTTGCAAAAGTAGCCAGTTTTCTTACTGTGACAATAATTCCCTACAAAGAATAAGATAAACTTCTTACTTCCTTATAAAACTGCCTTCATAATAACTGCTGCAAGTTATCCTTACATATGTTATGTTCGCCATAACAAAGAAAACATATAGCCATGTATATATATGTCTAATGACGTTCGTACGGTTGTTTGCACGAAGCACTATGTAAAAGACTATTATAGTTAAGTAAACGAAAGGTTGAAACAACGTGTGACAAAACTGTTTGGAAAGTAGATTCGTGAACAATATCCAAACTACAAGTATAATATGTTTGAAACAAGGGCTTGTTACAGGTTCGAAAGGTTATATACGTCGTGTGTTTTGGGTTCATATGGGTTGAAAGTCGCAGATTTACTTAAAGTAAAACGGAACGTACATTACACAATGCTACCTTGCTTTGTCTTGCTTAGCCTTGCCTTGCCCTGCCCTGCTCTGCTCTGCTCTGCCTTGCCTTGCGCTGCCCTGCTCTGCCACTATCCTACCTTGTCTTGCCTTGCTTTGCAAACCCTGTCTTACCTTGCCCTGGTCTACCATAGCATATTATGTTTACACTCAATAAAAAACATTCTTTCAATACCACATCACCTACTATAACATTATATATCAAAAGCATATAAAAACCTAACCAGAGAACACAAAAAAACTTTGTGAAACGTTTACCTACAAATGTGAAATTGGGAAAAAGAGCACAAGATCTTTCAATAATGGTCTCAAATTACTTTTTTGGCAAACTTTTGCCCAGACATTTGTGACATTACTCGTGAGAAGACTCTACAATTAATATAATGGCAAAACAATTCATTGGAATTGTAAACATAATATTCGTCTTGCCATATTTTTATTGTGTCATTTAAAATTACATTTTGCAATATTTTTGTTCAAATTAAAAATTGTGCTCACATTACTGTATATAGCATATTAAAATTGTTTTTGACTTGCAGTTTAATAGCTCATTACTTTTTGAACAACCAAATACTTTCAGATCGAAATCACGTTAAAAATATTTTTAAAATCAGGGGTAGGGCTAAGAAAAAAGTCAATTTTAACAACAGCTCCAGAGCACTTGTCCTACCTTAACCCGTCTCCAAAGACATACTGTAACAAACGTTCATCACAAAACTCCAAAACCTTCCCAAAACCAATAGACCACACATTATCATCGTATATCCCAAAATGCCTCAACGTAATATTTGCCTATCATTTTCAGAAATCAGTCGATTTTTCGTGAAAAGCAAAGTAAACAGTCTTGAAAGATTCAATAAGATTCGTCTAATAAATGCGTCATCGGCCAATTATTACCAAACGGCTATATGCAAACAAGGTCAAGGTGTATAAAATGCATTGAAATCTAAGTTTTGGCTGTACGGTTGTGTGTTAGTACGGAAGATACTGATTTAAAAGTCCTAGTGCAGGATGAAATCTACTGTAGTAGTTTTGTTGGTCGTTGGCTTTGTCGCTATTGAGGTGTGTGACTTTTTTTAATTATTGTATGTGAAGGCTGAAGCCAAAGCTGGAATTAAGCCTGGAGCTAAAACTGAATCTAAGGCTAGTATGTGACAAAATAGGCCCAACTAATAAGCCAAAATTAAATTTTAATACTCTTATATCATATAAAGTTAAGTTTGTTACCTATTTTTTCAAAATTAACTTCTAGGCATGCTCCCCCTCCTCCAGTACCACCACCTCCACAACCACTACAACAACTCCAGCTCCAGGACGTAAACGTCGTTCCGTTGAGCCAGTTGAAGTCGTTCTTCACTCCAACGTTCCAGTAGCTCAAAGTCAACAACTGATTCAGAAGCTCAAGAACACGGCCGCTTCTTTGAACTTGGACGCGCAAAAGTTTGGAAATGTTGCACAAGAGGTTGGAACGGACAACAACGGTAATGTAGAGCTGTATCACACTTTAGATGGTGATGTTGATTGTGCTGAAGTTCGTCAGGTGACAAAGAGGATTATCAAGAATGTCACTGAAGTCAACAAGGCCACTATTGATTGCCAGGGGGAGAAGTTTAGAGTTTAAAACATTTTTTGAACTTTTAAGGCTTTGATGGCAAAAAGGAGGTTTTGTGATCCGTATTAGATTACGCAATTTCCGTGCCCGTATTTTACATAATAATAATTTTACAAAGGTGCGGTAATATAGTAATATATTTTACGTTTTATGTAACACCACACCTTGACCAATATTGTCAAAGCTGTAATGTCAATATGCCAATGACTCACAAGTGAATAAATCTTTTTAATTTAAATAATCTCTTTTTTTAACATTGATTTTATATTATAATCAATACGTGAGAATAACGTAAATGAGTCTGAGACAAACATTTAAAAGTCAAATATCAAAAACGTAAATTAAGCTTTTCTTGTGCAATCGCCAAAATATTATAAAAAGCTAAAAATATTCAGGAATTTGTCAGTATTTAGCTATTGATTTTGGTGGAAAGACCTATTATTTTTTATTAGGTCTAGTCATCATGCACACGCTAAAAGTTGTTGTGATTGTCATTGCTGTAGGCATTGTATTAGCAAATACGGTAGGTTTACAAGAAGTAATTACTAAAAGAGCTTACTTCTAGGTTAAAGATAACACAAAAGTTAGAGTTAATGCTATGGTTTGGGCTAATGCAAGAACTGCGGTTAGAACAAAAGTTTGCGCTAAAGCTAGAGATAAGGCTAATGCTGAGCCTAAGGCTAAAGCCAGGGCTGAAGCTAGCGCTGAAGCTAGAGCAAGATAAAGTTATGCTAAAGCTAGGGCTAAAGCTGAAACTAAGTTTAGGACTAATGCTGACCCAAAGGCTAAGAGATGAAGCTAGACCTAAAGCTAAGACAAGCGCTAACCTATATTCACAGCTTTTCAATTTTACGTCTAAAACACTAACTTTTCAGCCAGACCCAGATGTAATCAAAGTAGAGATAACAACCAGAGTACCACCTAGTCTAAAAGACAAACTTCTTCGTAAACTGACTGTACTATACAAAGCTGTCAACGCAAATGAACAAAACTATAACAACGTTGAAGAAACAGTAGAAACCAACAAACAAGGATACCTAGTTGTGCATCATAATATCGTACATTACAAAGATTGTTCTGAAGTTGTCGTGAGCACAAAGAAAATTATGAAAATTACAATGTTGATCACTGCAGCTTCAGTTACTTGTCAAAATCAACGGTTTAAACTGTGAATTGTGACCCTTGTCTTTGTCAGTCGAATATTTTTTTTTCTTTTTAAATACTTATACTATATTTTTTTTATTTCTGCCCCCTATAATATTGCAAGTGATAAAACTGAACTTTTTTAAAAAAAATTAAATTATTGACCCTATTACACAACGTATACTTAGCTCAACAAATTTAATCCCGAGTTTTAAGTAATTTTCAAAAATAACTTACCTAAGCCAAACGACCACAAGTAGTTCTGCGACCTGCCGGCTAGAAAAATTGTAAAACATCTTGATGGAGATCATAAACAACATTGTTGATCCTCGAACTGACCCTAAATCTACAAAATGGAATCAAATTTAGACTCAACTTATGTTTTCTTGAATCAAATTCGTTTACATGCCAGAAAGTTAGAATGACAAGCAAAAAGACGAAAAACCTTGATGAAGACCATAAACAACATCATCGAGCCTCTAAACTTAAACCAACAACAAACAATCAAAAATTAACTTACTTTCCAACATAACCGACAAAAAACCATGTTTACACCAATTCATCCATCCCAAACAGTTTTGAATACTGAACAATGACCATGACCTTCAACATTCTCCATCAAAATTGGCTGATCAGTCGATGAACTTCAACGCTATTCACTTGACTTTTGTTGAAAATTAAACTTAAGCAATCTAGAGCAATATTATACCTTAATCTGATAGTTTAGATCAAATAAACATTGTTTATTGAGCAATAACATCAATTATTTCACAGTTTTCTGCCGGAAATAATAAAAAACTGAAAAAGAACGAAGTGTCAAAAGATCAGAAATTTTCAGTCAATAGTAGAGTTTCGTCGGCAACCTTTTATCGGTGTTTCAGCAATCGTTCGTCCAATTCTGTTACGGGCTTTTCACTTACAATTTTTTATATTTCTTTTTTGAAATTAAAAAATATTTTATTTTTTTAATTATTCTTTGTAGACATGAGCAACGGGCCGGGCCCAATTTTCAAGCCCGGCCCGCGGGCCGGGCCTAACTTTTAGGCCCGGCCCGTTTTTGATTTTGGTCAGGCCCGGCCCGGCCCGATCAGAAAATTTTTAGGCCCGGCCCGGCCCGTTTTAAAAAAAATTTTTAAAAAATTTTAAAACTTAAAAACTAAACGGAAATTTGGCTTTAAATTGTTTTTTTAGGTCATTTATGGATCATAGAATCCAATAAAATCGAAAAACATAAACGGGAATTAAAATAAAAAATTTTAAAAAAATTTAAAAATTTTTTTTTCGGGCTTGGGCCCCATTTTCAAGCCCGGCCCGTTTTCGATTTTGCTCAGGCCCGGCCCGTTGCTCATGTCTAATTCTTTGAAGACTTTTGAAATTTTCATTTACCTTGAGGTAAAACAACATTACTCTTGACGATTTTCAAAAATATTAATAATCTTGTAAAGAGAGGACAAGTCAAATCAATACCAAAGTATTCATACTTATCTTTATTATACCGACGTCATGCCGACATCAAAAAACGGTCATAAAATTTCGAATGAAGGTAACAATAAGACACTTTTATGTTCTTGTTAATTAGAATATATTTATATAAAATTTGGCCGAATTTTTGTAACGAATTCAAGTTAGAGTGTAAGTTTTGAGAGACAACATATAGAAATTAATGAACCCATTTGTCTATTGAAAAATAACAATCAAGTTGACGTTTAGTTTTGAGATTTTTAGTGTTTGTAACGAGTTTTGGGCGGGGTAAATTGGTTTTGGGGTGTAAAACAGCTCATTTTTCTAAAAACACCTAAAATACAGCCACAAAACGCCGTTACAAACAAAAATCATATTGAGAATGAACAAGATTAGATACGAAACAACTAACAAAGCCTCACAGACCCAGATTCTCGGCTACAGCAGCACATAACGCAGCTCCTTTCACACTGCCCTCATCGGCCGGTACCAGTTCCCAGTTGATGTGCAATGGGGCCAAATTGTTCAACTGAGCCTCCAGCAGTTGATGGTATGTTGGGTGGAATTGGATTAGAGCACCGCCGACGCCCACCTTCGTGGATGGTCGGTTGATGTGGCGGAGGAGGGCGGATATCGCTGAAAACGGAAAGGTTAGTTGGTTTTTGTTTGGGCTTTGTAAAATACGATCTGTGTTTATAAGTGGAATAAACAGCAAAGTTTTTTTCTTGAAAGTTTACAACAAGATCTCCTTGAACCTCCTAGTCTAATTAGAAGTAATAAACGGGCCGGGCGCAAATTTAAGGCCCGACCAAGGCCTGGGACTTAACGTTTAGGCCCGGCTCGTTTCTCATCCCTACAGCCTAATAACATTTTTCCCTCCCCCTCCCACCTATCTTACCAATATAACCAATTACTTACCCGCAGCAACAATAGAAGCAGATCTCTGCGACACAATATGGCATACACGTCGCATGATCTCGTAGTCGTCAGTACCATGGTTGGGAACTTCGATTTCATCGCAGATTCTTCGACACGACTTGTAGCTGCCTTCTTCTTCGCTCAGAATCTCGGAAATGTATTTAGTTGGGAATCCATCAGCTTGGTCGAGGGCTTCTACTGGAGCACCATTGAATAGGATTCGGTCGACTGAAAGTTGGGCCAAGATACGACGTACGAGATCGCCGAGGTATAGGGCTCCAGTCAGCTTGTCGATCCTGAAATCTTTGATTTTTTAAAAATGCAAAATTTGAAAAAAAAATTTTTTAAAGTTGTTCACATAATTCTGTGCTGTCAAAGCAAATTTTCGAAGTTAGAGGCACAAAATCATTTGAACCACCTAATATAAGCTACTACAACACAACCTACAATTGTTTTCCCTTGTGAACCGAAGCGTCATCAACTTCTTTGTCGAAAGATGTCAAAATGTCCTCAATTTCACCATTATTTCCAAACTCTTCCCATTCTGTCACCACAACCATCTTCTCGTGTTTATATTCGGCTTCTTTGGCGTTGAACTTTGTTATCCTACTGGTGTCCTCAAGGTAAGACGAATTACACCCGTAGCCAATTACGACAGCCGCTACACAATCTTCACCGTATTTGTAAGCGGCAGCAGCTAGTTGACCTACTGTATCGTTCATTACTGCGTTGATCTTGGCTTTGGTCGACTGGAAAATTAGGATTTCAGGGAATATGGTTGATAAAATATTATTTTTTGTTTTAGGAATTAAAATTAGTAGAATTTAAAGTTTAGGTAACAAATTGATGTAAATTTGAAAATTTAGGTGACAAAATCACAAAAATACAATTTTTTCATTTTTAGATAACAAAATCCCAAAAACGTACCAAATTCATTTCCAGAGCATCCTGCAAAAGCTGTACCACATCTTGTTGTAGACAATCCTTAATATCAAAGCCTTTAGTCCACCACAACAGTCTGGCTGATCGAATGGATAACAGTTCGCATGGGTATGAAAAGACAAATCCGATTGGAAGATTGGCAGATTCCAAGTTGAATTCCTTCAAAAACTTCTGAAGACAGTTGACGATGAAGTTGAAGAGTTGTTCTCCAGTGCCCTTCATGATCGAGTTTGACACAATGTAGTTGTTTACTGTGACTTGAGGCTCTTTTCCTTTACCTTCGGCGACTAGAAGCAGGATACGGAGGTTTTTACCGCTTAAGTCGATAGCTACGTATTTGCCGGATTCTGAAAAATTAAATTTGTGAAGCTTTTGTTGTATTGATACTCAACATTATTCAAAATTTAGTACGAACACCGTACAGCCCAGTACGAACTCTCTACTACACAGTACCCAGTATCCCTAAAATCCAAAACTCAAAAAAACGTACCATCTCCAGTAGGTAAAGCAGGGACATACGACGGCAACATAGGAATAGAAGTGCCCTTCTTTCCTTGTAAACCAGCCTGAAGCTCATTCTCAATATCCTCTGACAACTTGACCAAACGTTCTCTTGAAATCACGAACTGATTCAACAGTTTGTGCACCTCCTCTGGCAAAGCTACACCGTTCTCCGTCATGGTGGTGGGGTAGCAAGTTTGTGGTTGGCGGCTGGAAGCAGATATTATTTTAATGAAAAATTGATGACTAAAAAGATCATTTGACACGGTGAATACGTGGAGATGCATATATCGTGTATTACATCAACAAAAACTTCAAAAAATGTTATAGTAAATCCAAAAAAAAGAATAATTTATGTTATTAGGTTGTTTAAATAATTCTGTGCCCCTAAACCCAAAAAATTGCTTTTTGAAGAAGCACAGAATCATTTGAACAATGTAATAGCAGTTTATCCTCGTCCTTATCTTACGCTTAGATGGGCATATATTTAAAACCATAACAGTAATAATAATGTTGTCTTCAAAACCAAATTATAGGTATCAAACTCAGAGTAAATTTCAAAACTTTAAAACATTTTAATTTTACAAACCCTACATGTATGTCTTATATCACATATAGTTTTAAACCATACAATTAAAATTAATTATTATGTTAATAAAGTCATAATATAATAGTTTTTAAACTAAAACATATTTGTTTTTATATCGTTCGCACAAAAGTTGAAATAAAACTTCAAAAATTTTGTAAAAACGGGTATCCAAATCTTAAATATAGTTACCAAAACTATAACAAACAAATTTAAAATACCAATCAATTCATTATACAGCAATCCCACTGTAATACCATTGCCCTAACTTTCTAATCCAACCCCATCATAATTCGAATCGAAAATGTCATAAGATCCCCCCTCCGTTTCTCGTACTATGTACTTTCGCCAGCCATTTTGTTATTATATTGACTTACGAGTAAATATAATAGTTGTCAGCAAATGAGAGGGACTCTTGACCTTTACTATCAACGTGATTAGGTAAGACCCAAACCAATTTGATAACATAAATTTCTCCTTTTCTTTTCCAAAAACAAAACCTTTCGAAAGAACGTTCTGGTCGCTTTGCGTTGGATTGTAACTTTTGGATGGGTAGGAGTGTTTTGAGTAGGTAGGGTAGAAGAGTTAAATAAAAAAATGATAAATAAATTGATTTTGGATTTTTGAGGAAGGGTAGTTATAAAAAATGTCATATGTTTTTAAAAAAGTACTGTAACATTGCTAGTTTAATCATCAAATACCCAAAAAAACTTTAAAACATAAAAATTTCAATTATGTAAAAAAACGTAAAAATTGAAAAAGAAAGAAGAAATACGCTTGTCAGATTACTGCCGGACTCAACGTGCTTTCTGGACGTTCATTGTGAACGTTTTCAAAAATAAAAAACATATGGAACGGGCCAAGAACGTTCCAATAAATATTTGAAACGGCAATTTTTTGACATCTTAGATGTTATATTCCAGTCAACCTTAATTCTACCCTACCCTACCCTATCAACCCTACTATACGCGACCCTACCCTACTATACCCTGCCCTATCTTGTCCTACTCTACCCTATCATCCTCTCACCAAGCCCACTCCTGTAAAACAATGAAAAATACCTTGAGCAGTACTTTGGTCAAGGAACTATAACGTTTTGTATATCAAACAACCTTTTGTCCTCATGACCACGTGGAATAACAGTAACACGTTTTGTACATTTTCCGTTGCTAAAATTAGAAATAAACCAAAATTTTGTATACAAAAGAGTCATTTCCTAACACCTACACCAACTACAAGGTTGGTTGTACCATTCTGACTCTATACCTAAAATTCCAAGAATCCCCTTCTATTCCACCCCCCCCCCTGTCCTTCCCAACTCTTCTACCGCTTACCCTTACTCTCTATGACATAACGTAACCAATACTACAACTACAACTTTACAGTTTAATTCAATTAAATGCACTTGAAAACATGTCTTGGCACGCTCTTAAATGCAAAAAATAAATTCTACAATTTGTGTAAATATTGTACATTGTTTACTACTATAATATGACACGCTGTAAACGTTTGTACGTCACAATTTACTGACATCAAGTTTCTCAAATTTGTAGCCGTTTCGAGTAAAACATGGTTTTTGATGTTTTGTAGACAATTTTGGAAATCCCTGTCCCCAACCTTAGTCTTAGCTTCAGCCTTACTTCCAACCTTTGCCTTATATTCAGCCATACCTACCTTAAAACTTTGTTTTACAAGACTGTATTTGAACAAAAAAGCATAAAATACACCGTTTAGAACCAAAACTCAACACTAAAATTTAAAGATTTTTTGAATCTCAAATGCAAAAATTTAAATAATCTCGTCAAAGAACGAAGATTCACATTGGAAAACAAGTCAAAATGAACGAAAAAACCACTAAAAGCAGCCGAAGACGTTCCCGAAGAAATATTGAAAAAGCTCGAAATTACAAGAGTTTTTGCGTATATGCACGTTTGGCCAACGATTTTTAGAGTTTTATAACTTATATTGACATAGAATTAAGTAGAATATTATAAATAAAAAATTTTGACCCACCCCACATAAATATAAAATTATTCTGCCCTTACAACATAATTTCAATATAGAGAGATTATACCTTCACTAGACCCAGAACTTCGCCAGGAGGGTAGGTGAGCGAAGTTAAATCCATCAATAAACACTTTTTAACCCTACCCAACCAAAAAATACCAATCCCCCATTACAATCCGAGAATCCAGAAGTTGAAAGCTGTTTTTTGGCCAAACATTAAAGTTCACAATTCCCAAAGCACACGTATCGTCAAAGTAGTGTTGTCTTACTTCCTTATTTTTTTACAATTCGAACCCAATGTGCCATTTTTAAACGAAGAAAACATTTGTTAATCACAAAATTATATTGGCATTGTCAAGTTACGAGCCATACCCTATCTTTGCCGTTGTACCCTACCTTTCCTTACTCAACCCTACACTACCCTACCACGCTCTATCATGCACTGATTCAACCCTGCCCTACTTTTTTGCTTTTAATATTAAAATTTCCGCTTGAAATTAGATGACTTTGACAATAGGTAAACGGAAACAAAACGTGTTAAACCCCACAATACTCTATCTTTTCTACCGTTCTCATTGTCCATTTAACGTGAGGAAAACAAACATTAATGCAGATTATACGTACAGATGATCCTAGTACTTAACATATACGTATAAACAAAGGTATTGCCTACATTAAAATAGAGATATTACTCTACCCTACATTATATTACACACATAAGTTTATATATGTATTACACATAGGTTTTAAAAGACATTACTTGACGAAAACACAAGGATATCGTTTTATTTGGCCCTCTGAAGCCGAAGAAAGCCCAAGCAATAACTTTATATTGTCCTAAAGGCTTTAAAATTGCGTCACTCTCCCTCTTTTTTACCTTTTTTAACTAAACCATATAGCTACATGCTTCTAAATAAACTCCTAATACAATCATACTCTTTATACGTCTTAAGTTCTACCCGTTCTTCCGCCTCAAAACCTACTACAATATAACATTTAATATCGCAAAACCCCATGCAAATTTGCCCCAAAAACTGAACGAAAATTTTATTCTAAAAAAGCGAAAAATTGGCCCACGACATGGCCGAGAAAACATTTTAAAGAGAGAAAAGTCCCTTTTCTCTGGCGGCCTACCGCTTCGGCATGGTCTCTCGCCAATAAGCTTGTTTCAACAAAGTCGGCCACAGGGAGAAAAACTCTTTTAAAAGGTCAATTTTGCATTTTCATTTGAAAAACAAGATTGTTAGGCTTTGGTCTATAAATTTGTTGATATTTCTAGGCTTGGGTTAATAAATTTGAATATATTTTTTAATTTTAAAATTTGCTAAATTTTAAAACCGTTTTTAAAAAATATACCCAAAACTACCTCTGGCATTTGCCTGAGGCTTAGTCTTAGTCATAGCTCTAACTCTAAACCTAGTCCTATTCTTAACCTTAGGCTTAGCTCTAGCCTGAGCCCTAGCCTGAGCCCCAGCCTGAAACCTAGCCAGAGCCATTACCCTAACTTTAGTTTTAGTCCTAGTCCTAACTCAAGTTCAAGCTCTAGCCTTAGTCCTAGACTCAACCCTAGCCTCAGCCCTAGTCCTAACCCAAACCCTACCCCAGCTCCACCATAGCCGAACATTTATAATACATACTTAAGCTAAACAAAGATTTTAAAAGTACAAGTTATTTATAATTCAATGAAAATGATAAAAAATGCCATTCTGTTTGTATTCAACGACACAAAATTAATAATACAAAACAAAAACAGTTTTCGAATTTCGCAAGATTTCAAACACCAAGAAACATGCCACACACAAACACGTTTATTCTTGTGATTCATCTCAAGATTCTCTCAAGAAAAACGGCCTTTAAACTTTCAAGTTTAGCTGAATGCTTTAGGTCTAAAAATTACCAAAAAAGAACCATTAAGCAATCACAACTACTTCTAGTGTAATATTAGCTTCCTTTAGCACTGACTTTAAAGTTATACTACAAAAAAATCTCTTTAGTACGACCCTCTATATTATGACACTCTCTTTATAAGAATAGCTTTCTGACCGGCGTTTGTAATAGAATTTCTATCAGAAATTACCTGTATAGTATGACACCCTGCTTATGAAGCCAAATTTGCTCCTGTCCGTTGAGTTTCATACTAAAGAGGTTTGAATTTATTACTATCCCTTATTATGGGTTTAAATTCCAACTATGTGAAAATTACTGAACACACGGTAAAATATAAAACACAAGGCCCTAAACCGTGACATACATAACACAAAACCCATAGTAAGATAAAGCAAGGTTTTTTGAAGTGCTAACCTATAAACTTTCAAAACGAGAAAAAAAAACTGTTTGATACACTGACAAAAACGATAAAAACAACAGATTTAGCCACGTGTTGTGATCATTATGACGGAAAAAAGAACAAACTCGTAGCTTCAAACTAAATAACTTTTAAATAATACCTTTTAAAAGTACTAATTTTTGTTAAAATAACTGCGCTACAACAACCTCTTGTATAAGAAGCACTGCTATAACAAAACTCTTGTATAATATAACGAACTCCTGTATCACAAAACTCTTTATAAGAAACAAAGTTAAAATTCCCGAGCGATTCTACCCTACCCTACCATATATAAGTTCCACTGTACAAACAGCCTCATAATTAAGTGAACAACCTAATACTACTAAATGTTCGTCCTTCATCTAATTTTAACCCTGAATAAAGTTAAAATCAAAACAGTAACCTCGTCATTAATCTACCCCATTTGAAGTTTCAAAAATTATCAGAAAAAGCTCAGAAATCAAAATCAATTTAAAATTTCCGTAAAGTCAAAATAAAACGGTTTCTTAAAATAACAAGCGAAATAACAAAAGTATCAGCTGATAATCTTGTACCTGTCTTTTTAATAACTATTTGATTTCCTTTGTTATATATAAAAAACACAGAAATCACAAGGCGATGAGAAACCGAAAGTTATCACATCGAAACGCTTATGTCATCGTTTTTACTTTGATATGCGATAGTTACAGAACGTAACTTGATTGTATCCTTGATCAGTTATTAAAAGAGTACTTTGTTCTAGTTTTACATTAACCTTAGTGAGCCTTTTTTCCTCTCCTATAGACATGAAAATCGGGCCGAGCCTGAATGTTAAGCCCGGCCCGACCTGAGTTTTTTTCAGGGCCGGCCCGCTCAAATTTTTTTTACTGAAAACCGACCTGGTTTTTTCGGAAATTCCAGGCACAGACCGACCTCAATTTTGCTCAGGCCCGGCCCGTTCCCCATGTCTACTTCCCCAGCCTAGACTTGACTTGCCCTTCCCTGTCTTGGCTTGCAATGCCCTGTTTTAGCGTAGCCTGCTCTGGCATACCAAGCCATGCCCTGCCCTACCCAACAATACTATGGCATTCCTTAATGTACCCTACTTTTCGATATTGCCTTAATATGGAAGTAACTAGTAACTAAAATAGCCTTGTTTACAAAGCGAACACTAAAAAAGTCATTAAATAAAAAATGAATTTTCAGCAACGTCAAATCACTCGATATGACAACGTCAGGTTTTTTTGACTGATAGTAAAATTGAAAGTTAAAAAATAGAAAAATCACGCTAGTGATAAGAGAAGAGCACAAAGAACAGTTTAAAATTATGATCAAGCTGTTGTTTACGCTTCGAATCCGGATATTTGCAAAAGATATGGTTGTTAGCCGTTATTTGTAATCAATTATGGTCAAAAATCAATTTAAATATAAGGTTTTTAAATTTAACACGTTTTGAAATTCGAAAAATGTTAAATTTAACCTTAGAATTTATTGAAGAAAGACAAATTTAACCTTATTTTAGCTTAGAATCAACTTTCAACAGCTAATTAACCTCATGGCGGTCTCTACAAACCTCACAAAACCACAAAGAAGACACTGTAAAGTTGCAACTTCGAATACAAAAGAAAAAATGAGGTAAGCGGTGATGTAAAACTACAATTTTTATCGCTTTGAACGGCTGAGACTTAAGTTAACATTAAGAGAACTCTCTCAGCTCTAAGCGCCTAAATTAAAAGCACATGTTCGTTAAAGTTGAACTTGAAGAACGGGAGTTGCTAATAACAACTTTTTTGAAAAGTTAAAATTAGAAAAAAAATCTAAAAATTCTTGTTTTTTCAAATAATTTTGTGCCCCCTCTTAGCACATTTTCGGGGTTATACGGCACAGAATTAGGTTGATAACCTAATAGAAAAGATCCATTTTAATCAATAGATAGTCCTACGTCAAGCTTGTCTTAAAGCTAACAAGCAACGCCCTACTTGACTCTACTGTACCCTACATTCCCCTTCTCTACCCTACTCTACCTTACCACACCCTACAATACCCTACCCTACCACAACATCTTAGCCCAAATTATTTATATGAAGACATTCCATTACTTTTACCATCTAAATTCATATTTTGAACATCATGTACAATATCAAACAATATCTCTTCAAATACAACAAAACTTATTGTACAAATATAATTCAAAAACAATGTTGTTTAGCCTCAAAGCCAAGTCATATAAAAACCCAATACAAACCTAATGCCATTCCTTTTTTTACCTCGTATTTCAACCAAGATTACCGCGTACTTTGCCCCTTAAAACCGAACCTACAATCATATTGAAGTGAATAACTCTAATAAACAACCGCAATCGTGTGCCTGCTATCTCTCCGCTTAATGAACGTCTTCACCCTTAGTGAAGGTCAGAGCGAGAAAGACCGTGCCCGATCTGATAAAAGTCAGAAAAGCAATCGAAACCCTCGCTTTCAATTACCACAACAATCACAAACGCGCTGTTTATTTTGGCATTTGTGGGTTGGGAAAGAGGTGGGTTTGATTCGGAATAACATAACTTTAGGTATTCATAACAGTTGAGATACAAAACGAAATACTCTGAAACACCTGTATAGCAAACTCTGTTATAACAAAACTCGTCTAACGAAGAACTTTTAAATCTTCGGCCAACGCTACAAAGTGCTTTAAAACACTGATTTTTATGGCACTTTGGTCCAGTCCCTTGAGTGTCATACCAGAGTTTGACCGTAACACCTGCCGAGATGAACACAAAAATTCCCTAAGCCAATTTTTACCAGCATAAGTAAAAAATGCATTCAGCCATTTTTGTATTAAAAAATAAGCGACAAACCCAAAAAATGACGCTTCCTAACCCATAATATCAAAAAAATATTAACTATAATCACCACATAATGCAAAATACATCTTACTAGAATACATAAACCATACACAACACATCCACCACACAAAACCCACCATATACAGCACATTCATCACACTAGATACACAATGATCATGTACAACTACTACATACCCTGAACCACCCCCAAAATTAATTTAAAATTTTATTAAAATTCAGTTTTCATACAAGTACAATATAAAGCGAGTTTTCTTTGATTAAAGTGAGAATCGGGAAAGTGGCGACCGGAATACAAAATATTTTACAGTGGTTTAGACCTGTCCGGTAGTGCCATTCAAAAAGACGTGGGATTCGACTCCACCGTGTCCGTAGCCGCGAGGACCGAATAAAGCGCCATAGCAGCGGTTACAGTAGGGCTTGCCTTCGTGCTGAAAGTAGTGATAAGTTGTAACGTAGGCAAAAATTGTTTTACGTAAATTTTGATTCAATTTTAAAACTAATAAAATATATAAAGCTAACATAAGATCAATTTTTGTAGGAAAATTATTTTAAAAACAATTTTATAGTCATCGACCAGATTTTCAAAATTCAAAACTTTTTATTAGGCTGTTCAAATATTCTTTGCCCCTAACCGCAAAGACACGGTTTGAGAAGGAGCACATAATTATCTAAACACCCTAAAAAGAAAGTCAACCCCATCTAAAATACCAGACTTACCTCAGAATGACTTCCAGCACTCAACGTCTTCTTACAAGCAGAGTTCTCACACCTCAAACAAGGTCTGTGCCAGTCCTTGCCAATAGAAACAACTCTTTCGGCTGAAAAATAACTTATTATATTACTGTTTCCATCTGCTAATTTATGACAAGAAATTGATTTAAAGTATGTAAAGTAAGAACCTTGATTTTACACAACGTTCCAATGCGAGTCGTATTTTACCAACCTTATATTTTTTTACCAATCTCAAAGAAATCAATTTAAAACAAGATTCTTGTCGCTTCGACCACTATTTTAGATATAAATTAACGCCAAGACTTTTTTGTTACCACAACGTACATGTCCTTACAAAAAAGTAAGCTTTTTATAAAAAAAAACGCTATTAAATGTACAATAACATACCAAAGTAGACTGGCTTTTCGCAACGTGGACAGTTTGGCATCTTCAAGTTGTAAAGGTCGGGCTTCAAAATTAATCTGAAATTTTAAAATTGTTATTGTTCTGCAGTACAATTCAGTACGGCACAAAACATCGTTATCACGGAATATAGATTGAATTACAGCCAGGAGTATCGCTACAGGTTTTTTCTAAAGAAAGCAAAAGACAAAATAATTTTTTCGTCCACAGGTGATTCCAGTAAAACTATATTAACATTAAAAAAAGTGTGATAAAAGAAGAACTTGCTACAATAAATCCAAAATGTTCATCCTTTATGTTCATTAAGAAGACACTACTTTATATCGCAAATCAAACCAGACAACACAAACAACCTGTAAAAGTGTACATTTAGTTTTACTCCTCTTATTACATTACAATACAAATTAAACCGCTTAAGATAATCCAAACAGGCCTAATTACTTATTATTACAACACCTCCCCCCCCTATACAATGTATATTACGCACACAATGAATATTACAATAAATGCCTTCGTAACACAACTGACATTACAATATTATAAACGGAGAGACGACAATTCCACGATTACTCCGCTTTCATAAAAGGTAGTTTTTATAATCCATCACACGAAAGCAAAGGAAAGAGATAACTTTTTGTATTTTCCGTTCATTTTATGGGCTTTTATTTCAATTCATGGATGTGAACTGATAAGCAATATCGAGAAAACAGTAGTTATAAAAAAGAACTTAGTTTTTTTAGATGGTTTTGTAAACTTCTACATATATATTTTACTGTAAACACTTTTTATAAGCAAAGACAGTCACAACAGAAGTCCTAAAGTTCAAAAAAAATAACGAAACCAGCTATCTCCTACAACATTATTAAAACCAGCCCCTACTAAAGCATCACCTCGTTGTGTAGCTCTTCTAAATTACAAACCACAAAGCCTTGAACTTTTAAAGCCTTCTCCGACATCCCTTTCAATCCGCCGATAATTACAACCCTCACCGTATACGACCATCTCAACGCCTTCATTACACTGAAACAACTAGAATCCAGTATAGAAGACATAATATTATCCACAAATCGGTTTTCAGAGCAACAGTATTATCCTTATTTAGCGTTTGAAACGTCAGTTTGATTCAGAGATTAGTTTTAAAAGTTAAAATCGATCCAGAAGAGCCAGATTATCTGTTTCAAAAGCTCTTGAAGTTAGATCACAGTGTTTCAAATTAAAAGCTGTACCTAAACTAACGTTTAACCAAGCAGAAGATCTACGAACAACCACAAGATGACATTAAACCTATGATAACATAAACCTAAAGCTCTACAATGTCATCCCCAATCACAGACTAACCTTCAAATCCTTATAGAGCATCTTCAAACTTCTGACCACTAAATAGAATAACTACAAGCCCATCAAGTTCAAGAAACTACAATATAATCCATCTCGAACATTAGCAATGAATTCCAAAAACTCTTTTGGAATCCCGCCCTCAAACAACATTGTAATCTCAAAAATCTTATCTGCCGAACGTGAAACACAAAAAGAGGATCCAGAAGCCTCCATTAGCGTATACAAACATCAGTCATTCTAATTAAAAACCTCAAGTTACCAAAATTACTATGTTTTCTCTCTAATTATCAAATTTAACAAATTTTTTACCTAATCTACAATCTTTGACAACTTTTTCACTTCATCATGTTACAATACTTCCAAATCAAGTTACAATGTATCAAAATTTAATACTTTCAATAAGATTTAAAACCACACATCTTCATCATCCTCTCCAACCCTTTAGAGCTCAAACAAACTGATTATAAATTTTACAGCCGGCTTTTTCTATTCCCATATCACCATAAAAAGCCCTTTTTTGACATATCAAACCGTTTTTTATAAAGATTCTTCGAGAAAACACTAAAATTTAGATATCAAACACACAAAACATCAAATTCTAGATATCAAACAGGTAAAAACTTCAAAGTTTGGCTATAAACTAACCATAAAACAGCAAGATTTCATATTAAAATTGTAGAAAACACGAAAATTACAGAAAGTACACACGAAATGTAAAAAATTAAGGTATCGGACACGCAAAACATCAATTTTTATACATGAAACAGGTAGAACTTCCAACCTTTGAATACAAAACAGACAAAAACTCCCAAATTTCACTATAAAACACATAGAAAACATAAAAATGTAGCCAAAAAACACGCCAAACGTTATCATTTTACATCTGAAACATAGCAAACATTTAAATTAAAAATGTCAAACCCAAAAAACATCAAAATCTTCCTCCAAAACATCCATCCTCCAAAAATATAATTGAATGTCAACATAAAAAAAGTCAAACAACAAAACTCCGCCAGATAAATAACTTCCCACTCTTATTGGATTACCAGCAAGCCCCATACTCTCAACAGAATTCTTAATCAGCGTGAAAAACCTCGATTTTCACGCGATTCTGAATCCAAACAAAATAAAAACATGAACCAGAAGACGGCAAATGCCCATAACAATGTTCACAGACGCGCAGGAACATTAAAGCTTCCTCGAAATTATTTCAAAACAAATTTCGAACCACTTTTACTTTCGAAACCACACAATGGCCGCCAAAATATTTCTGGAAATGGGGCGCGGCTTGCGAAAGGAAGTTTGGGTTTGCGCAGCCTGCGACAAAGTAATTTTTTTATAAATTTCAAAACGCTTAATTTATTATCAATTCTTATATATACGTTCTAGCATATATTGACGTAAATCAGAAATTCTGAACGCCCTAAAATTCCATTTAAAATTTGCTAAGGATTTGATATTATTATAGGCAAACAAACACGAACCGTCATAATCATCAAGAAGAAATAACATAAAAATTTGAATGATAAGCATGGAATTCATAGAGGCTTTTGTTTGGAATTCAAGTGGGTAAATAATATAATTGGAATGCATTCTACGCTATATATAATAGCATTATTATATGTTTTTGATGATACGATCGAGGGTGAAGATCAAAATACATTAAATATAATGATCCAGATATTTTATTTAATGTACATTCATGTACATATTAAGTACCTACATCACATAGAATATAATTTTTTTATAAAAATTATTTGGAAATAGTTATGTTATGGTATATAAGCACTGTTATACGTCTGTTTCAACATTGCTTTATATAGAAGTACACATAGAAAAAATGTTGTAAAACGGGCTTATAATACCTAAAAAAACGTTGTGGCAAACAATGACTAAATTGTAGTTTAAACATCCCACAAAATATTTCATTACTCTGTTACAATACTAATGCTGCACTTTGAAGTTCAAAAGCACAGTATGCAAATACAATAAAAATTACTGTAACTCCCTCCCCCCCCCCAGGGCTTTTTTCCATTTTCCCTCAAAACCAACATTGCCATAAACATTTGACATTTAAAGTTTATGGAAACAAAAGCTGTCAAAAAGGATAAACACTTTGTTCGTCACGTAAAAAAAACAACCAAACTAGCTACAACAAGCTATGTATGTTGTGTTTAATATTATTTGGATACGATGACCTTGAATCTTATTGAATAATACCAAACAAAACTACAGGAAAGACATTTAGGAGTTTGATGACATAAAGCTGGTTTGTAAAAGTAAAAACAGGAAACAAACTTTTTATATAGTGTTGCCAGTACCAAAAATACTGCTATAAGAACAATTTTTAAAAACTCCTAAAAGCAACGGTAAAAAATTTGAAATTTTGAAATTGAAAAGCACATATTCATCATGATCTTCAAGTTCGTAGGGCTCAAACAAACTAATTATAAGTTTTACAGGCTTTTTCTATTTCCATACAACCTAAGTTAACTTTCAAAAAACTTTCTGAACCAAAACTCTTCGCCAAACTTCACAATACTTTTTACTGCCGTAAAATTCGAATTCAAAACGACACATTCAAACGCGTCAAGCCTTTGAATCGCCATTAGAACCACCTCTGACTTCAAAACAGATTTAACCTCTTCAAATCAAACCTCAAACCTTGAATTAAAGAAACAAATTGTAACCTTGAAGCTGTTTGAAAAAAAACTTTTTGACTTTGAGTATAAAAAGTAAGAAAATTAGTGAGTAACAATGTGAAACAGTGTTTCATATTTATAAACTTTGTAAAAACATTAAAAATAGAAGTTATTGGACAATATAAAGTCTTATAACAAATATCCTGTATAACGAAGACGCTGTATGACAAAAAACTATCTTTACTTTACTTTACTTTACTTTACTTTACTTTATTTAACTAAAATCAACCATAAGAAACAATTCTCACAACTAATCCATAAGTATTATACATATAATTCTGCTTTGATCACTTCGGTGTAGTTCTGTAAGGCTTCTGTCCATCTTCCATCTTCAGCATCTCTCCAATCTTCCCCAATATTCTTTCTAAGTTCATCTTCCCATCTGGTTCTAGGTCTTCCTACTGGTCTCTTTCCTTCAGGGGTCCACGTCAGAATTCTTCTTTCCCAGCATAAAAAAGTACTGCACTTTAAGGTCGTTTTAATTGCGTGAATAGTAAGTTCATGAACTAGGTAATTACTTGCCGATAAAAGGTTTTTAAAAAACAATTTTAAAAAATTCAGCTATAAAAGGACTTGAATGAAAAAACACAAACAAATATTTTTAATGAAATTATTAAATGGGTTTAATTTTAAAACTATTGTATAACAAATCGTTGTGAAATTTTAATTTTTTTGTTATAGAAGAGTTTCGACATGAAAGGGTTTTAATATTGAAAAACTAAAAGGTTTGTTAAACAGTGTTTTAGTTACTGTAAATTTTATGTGTTTTTAAAGTGACATAGTCCTTAATACAAATATAGAATGACAAAAGCAAAGATGATTGAAATCAATAATATACAAATTGCAATCAACGCGCGTTTTAAACCTCTCACTCAGAAAGCTAAACGACAAATGTTAACTTAGGCTATTAAGACGCCACAATTGAGAGCTAGACATTTAATAATTTAATTAGGTTTTTTTGCTTATCTAAATATTGTTATATATTATTGGTCGAAAATGGCTAACCAATGCAACACTTCTAACGTGATTTCCAGAACGGTAAGTTTTCTTTATTGACGTTCCGTGTTAAAAGAATTTCGTTTACAAAAATGCTGTTATTAAATCGTAAAATATAAATTTTTAAAGTTAAAAAGGTTCTATTGTGTTTTTTTTTGGTTTGACAATAATATTTTAGTGTTGGTATCAAATTATCGACAACATCCAAGATGCTAAAAGTATATTTATGCTGTCAAAAGTTAACAGGTTCTTTCATCGAATACTGCAAGAACAACGAGAGAACATATACAAAGTTTACTGTTACAAGGCTCGGATTTACAAACGCCTAAACGAAACTTGGGAAGCTGCTTTTTTGGAGTAAGTACTAACTAAAAAAGTTAAGAAACCTATTATATTTTAGTAAAATTAACTACTATTTTTTTATTTGTGGGTTTTTATAGTTGAAGTCTATTTTAACCTGTAAATAACTTGTAACCTAAATGCTATTTTCAGCCTACCAAATCGTATTATCCATGAAGGCAAAGAATATACTTCAAGGTTGAAGGTTAAAGGTTTTACAACCTACCAAAAGTTTCATGTAATTTTTGGCAATGAGTACATGTCCAGGTACATAGGGCTTGTCTACAGTGATAGAGTAGTAGTCACTTCATTGGACATCGAAGATAAAATGCACTACGTGATCAACATTGACTTCAGCCCCGGATTTTTAGACGAAGTGGCGTTGATTAACAGTGGAGAAACCTTGACTGTTTACGTAAGTTTATACTAGTAACAAGCGCCTGAAGGGCTAATATGTATGAAAAAAGTATAATAACAAGAAACCTTATGTCCATTATTACAGAATCACAACGAATCATCGTACATAATGCACGACGTCAAATCCGGCTTGAGCAGCCGCAAAATTACTTTTGCTGGTACAACATCATGTTTATCTGGTACCGTTTTCCATCGACAATCATTGTTTCATGGAGTTGACCAAGTGCCGCATTCGTTCCGGGAAGACTTTGACTACTTAGAACATGTGTTTTACAGTAATGACAGGAATCACAGTTTTACTATGAAAAACGAAAATGCATGTCGTATCTTTAACAGTAGAAACAGAAAGTTCACAGATGTCACAGTAGCTAACGGAAGTTTCTCCGTTCGGTCATTGAAGTATTCGAATTCACTGTTGGTTAAACATTGTAAGTTTGATTTTTATTTACTTTTTAATGTTTTTAATTACTTTACTGTAAGCATTTATTAACTTTATGACCGATTATTTTATTTTTATTAAAAAATCTGTGTTTAGATGACAAAAACGAAGCCTTCTTGTACAATATTCCTTCAAGAAGCCTTGAGTACGATTTTGATGAAGAATCCTTTTCTTCAGTTGTTATCAATGATTTCATTATTGCTAAAACAACCTACTCAAACAAATACGAAACCCAATGTTTCGAATTATTTGACACAGCAAACAACACATGGAATGAACAGTACGTCAACTTCAAAGATGTACCAGGTTCAATCTTTGGCTACAGTTTCTACAGTAACTCGCCTAACGTCATGTACTTCAGAAACAAGGAAGGTTATTTAGACTGGCTCTTTGTGACATATTACAATGGTCAATTTAACTATAGAGTGTTTGCCAATCAAGCTGAAATTGCTATTAGTGCAAGGTTATTGGCATTGGATCAAAGCTTGTTTTTGTATAAAAATGGTGACAAAGATGCGACTAGCCAAATGCTCAACGAAATGAATGATTGGCTCAACATTTAGAATTTTTTATAGTTTTATTAGTTTTTAATTATATTGTTATAAAGTAAATAAACATAGGCATTACAATAGCCGTTTTTATAAGGTACACATCACCATAGCCATTTTTATAACATCGTCCTTTTACTTTCATAACTTCCTTTGTAAACTTTATAATTTATGCAAATGAATAGTATAGAACGTAGAAAACTGACCTGTTTCTCATGTTAATCGGCCTAAAAACTATCTGAATTTAAGTCTTTTGTATAAGAACACAAAAACGTATTGTAAGCTATACGGATTTTGTTTGTAACATGAATTTCACGGTTATGGCTGTTTACTTTCATGGTTTGTACTTTTGCTTTGGTTTGAATTTGGTGTCTATATAAGTATGTATTGTGTGCTTCTAAGAGTTGTTTAGATACTATTAGATCGTTCAAATAATTCTGTGCCCCAACCCTGAAACTGTACTTTAAGAGGGTGCACAGAATTAGTTGTACAACTTAATAAAAAGCTTTCTTTGAAAAAATGAGTTTACATTAGGTTGTTATAATTAAGAGCAAAGCGATATCTTTACTATATTGAGGATATCTCTACTGTTTTAAGGAAATCTTCACTATATCTTTACTGTATTGAGGCAAAAATAAAAAATGAATTTTTCGACTTTCAAAGCCAATAAACTTACAAGGGAAGTGTCTCACCTCATTCCGGAGATATGAAACGGGACTAGGCTCATTTGAAAGCCTACTTGAATACAAATTTAACAAAAAAAATTTAGCTGCCGAATAAGCCCCTAAGGCAAGTTATGACGGTTAAAATTTGCAGTGCTTTTCTTGGTTTGAGTTTGAAAACGATTGGGAGCGAGAAAGAAAACAAGGGGAACCAATGATTCGGTAGTTCAGTGGTTAGGTGTTGGGTTTAGGGGTGAAAGGAGAAGGGTTCGATCCCTGCCAATTCGTTTTGCTTTAACAGCTTCCAAAAAAAATTTTTTTGTTTTTTGTACTATATAGCATTGAATAGAGTAGTTTTAATCAGTTAAATACAAAAATTAAGCAATTTGACAAATTATTAAACTTTAAAACTTTTTGGAAATTTTTCGAATATGTATATTGAGTAGACGCACCAATGGTGATTGGTTTGACATATTCCAGACTGATGACATTTATCACTTCCCTGATTACCAGCTGTCTTACAACGACGCCGAAGCTGTTAAATTTTCTGAAAGTAGGGAAAATAAAGTTACTTTTGCTGTTGGTTCCGTTATTCCAGGTGATAGGTTGCTCAACTTTTTTCCAGAACATAAAAATTTTTCAAAAAATTTTAAAGTTTAATAATTTGTCAAATTGCTTAATTTTTGTATTCAAATGATTAAAACTAGTCTATTGACTGTTGTATAGTATAAAAAACAAAAAAAAATTTTTTTAGAAGCTGTTAAAGCAAAACGAATTGGCAGGGATCGAACCCTTCTCCTTTCACCCCTAAACCCAACACCTAACCACTGAACTACCGAATCATTGGTTCCCCTTGTTTTCTTTCCCGCTCCCAATCGTTTTCAAACTCAAACCAAGAAAAGCACTGCAAATTTTTAAACCGTCATAACTTGCCTTAGGGGCTTATTCGGCAGCTAAATTTTTTTTTGTTAAATTTGTATTCAAGTAGGCTTTCAAATGAGCTTAGTCCCGTTTCATATCTCCGGAATGAGGTGAGACACTTCCCTTGTTAATGTAGTCAAAAGTCCGGGCGTACAACTCTGCACTTGTTCAAACACGCTCATTTCAAAACCAAGAGAACTCTAGACTTTTTCGACTGAACATTGTGTCGAGCACGCCTTGTGAAGGTCGTGAAAATGTTGTTTTTTTCCGTTCGATATTGTTTTTGTTTTTTTTGTAATTTATCGTTTTGTTGTTTCATATAAACGAGATTCTTTTTTGAAAACTCAAGCCACAGAAGCTACTGTAAAGTTTTGGGGTTCTTGCAAAGTAATCTTTGGTGGCTTATGTTACATCAATGGGTTTGTTTGTCCTTGGGTGTCAAAGAAGTTTTGTCGTTTTTTAACTAGGTTTTGCAGGTTTTAGAGCGACAAGACTTTTTTCACAGGGTTCGCCGAAAGTTCTGTTACACAGTTTTTTCAAATATTCCTTAAATTTTTTTTTGTCTTTTTAAACGACAAATCTAATTGCTAGCAATAATTTAAATGACAAATATTATTGATATTCAAAGATAAAGTTCAACATTTTTTTTTAAATTTCATAATGTTGAAATTTCAAACTTCAACTTGCTTACAAAAAAGTAATGTCTGGATCAAAAATAGTAACAGAAATACCCATACCCCTTACGGCTTTTTGAAATCCAAAGGCGTTCAAGTGATTAACCACCGACCTCACGAGGTTGTTTTGAAAGAAACGCGCAACTTGAAAGAGGTAAAATGTCGAAATTTCTTGTTTTTTCACGGATTTTTGTGTCGAAATAGGTGTTTTTGGGATTGAAATGGGATTTCTTTGAGGAATTTTGTTATTTTTTCATTTTCAATTTTATATTTTGGGGTTTTTAAAAATTTTGTTTAGAAGATTTTGGGCTAGTCTCCTTAAAGTTTATTTTTTTGGCTTCTGAAGGCTTTGTTTGAGACTTTGAAGAACTTTAGTGTTGGCTTTTTTGTCTTTATCTTTCTTGGTAATAACTATTTTTTTGATTTTCCAAGGACTTTTCAACCTTTTTGTCAATTTTTTTTTAACTTTTCAACTCTTTTCAAAACTTTTCACTTTTCAAATTGCTGTTTCTTTTTTTCCGCGTGAACGTTGTAAAAGGAGAACATAGTAAAAAGAACGGAGTAGAGAGGAACGAGGGAGACGAATTTTTCGAAAAAAGTGAGCCAAGGGAGGGGACGCTCAGCTGTCCTCAAGAATCGACTAATCTTTTACGTCAAGCTTTTTTTCTTTTGATTAGAAATGTTAAATTTAGCCAAAAGTTTTGAAAAACTAATGGAAAACGAAAAGAACTTTACGAATTATATTGAAGTTTTTGACGAAATTTTGGAAAATTGATTTTGAAGTAATTCGTTGCCATGTAACATTTTTTTTGGCGTTGTTACTTGTGTTGGGTGGACTAATTTTTATTTGGAGGGAAAAAATTGAAAGGGGTGTGATGCAAAAATTTTTCTGTTTTTACAGTTATGAAGAACTAACAGAGAGAATACTTTCAAATAATAAAAACGCTTTTAAAGGTCATGTTAGTGTAAAATACGAAGCTTTCAACATCTTGTTCTGTATTAATTTCTTAAAACTTTTTTTATAAATTTAAACTTGATGTTTTGACATCTCAAACCATCCAAGACCTCTAAAACACTATATTTTTTACCAAAATCGTATATTTTTATGAGAAAACCCTAAAGTATTATAATTTTGAGCAGTAAAATTTATGGCATTTGCAATGATTTACATTTGTCTAGACTTTGTTATTCAAAACTCTTCTTTTTTTTTCACTTCTTTTTTTTCTTTTTTTTTATTAATTTGACTTGAAAGAAAACTGTTTTTATATGTTATTTTGTTACTTTTAATTTGTCAAAAGTTTTTATTACTTTGACTGGTTTGGGAGGTCATGAGGGATAGCTCATGAGAAGCCTGGTACAGGAAAGGTTTATACAGCATTATAGGTTATGTTAAAGTAGGGTATTCAAACAATCATGTAGGTAGGCTATTAGTCAATGGTATGTGATTATCTGTTTTGGTGCTTCCTGTGTATGACAAGTTGGTAGAAGTAAGGTAAGGTAAGGTAAGGGAAGGCAAGGCAAGGCAAGGCAAGGCAAGGCAAGGCAAGGCAAGGCAAGGCAAGGCAAGGCAAGGCAAGGCAAGGCAAGGCAAGGCAAGGCAAGGCAAGGCAAGGCAAGGCAAGGCAAGGCAAGGCAAAGCAAAGCAAGGCAAGGCAAGGCAAGGCAAGGCAAGGCAAGGCAAGGCAAGGCAAGGCAAGGCAAGACAAGACAAGGCAAGGGCATTCTAGCTTTATCTTTTTTGTGCTAATGACTTCTAAACTGGTTATCAATTGCAAAAATATTTTACCCAAAATATTACAATAAAATGCGAGCTTTTTGTTCCTTATCAGTTGGTAGCTAGTGTAATAAATATTACTAGAACTTCTTTGTTAAAATATGATGGCGTGTTTTAAATTCTGTTGGTTTAAAAACGTCATTCTACTTACTTCAGTGTTTTGTTACAGGCGGGTTAAAAAAATTTTTTAAAGCTTGGGCGTTAAAAGGGGGGGAGGTACAGTACCAGAATAAAAAAAAATTTTACTTGTATTTTCTTTACGAAGGGTTACTGTAATTTTCAAAAAAAAAGTTACAATAACTTGTTAATTTCAAAAAAAGTTACAGTAACCCCTTTAATTTTAGCTTTTAATACTTTTTACCACCCTTTTACTCTCTACTCTCCCCCCCCCCTCTAAACCAGTTAATCTTTTGCGAATTACAAGAGTTTAATTGAGGTTTACCACGCATTACTCTTGCAGCAATTTGGTCGCTTTTTGTATAAGATGGTATTGTCTTTGGCTGATAAAGAGAAGTTCGTATAAAAGTCGGTCTGTTCGGTCGTAAAATTGGTCACAGCTTTCGAAGTTTGTAGAAAAAGCGGTAAATTTGGGCGAAAATAATTGATTATGTCGCTAATAAAGTTCAAAATGGTGTAGATCTACCGCCGATGTTAGACGGAAATGGAGGTAGAGGTGTAACGCCGAGAGGAACGGGGTTATTTAATGTGCTAGGGGGTTTATAAGGCTGCTGTGGGGTGGACAATTGAATAAAATTTGGTTTTGGCTTGGGTTGGAGTGAATGGTGAAGAAAGGGGGGGGGAATAAAAAAATCTTTTTATTTTTATATAACATAATTTTGGGTGGGGTAGACTGAAGTAGGGTACAGTAGACTAGGTGGAAAGAAATTTCTTGCGTTTTTACGTTTGTAGCCAAGCATTTATATGTTATTCCTACCCTACTTTACCCTACGCTAACTTACCCTACTCCACTGTAAGCCTAAGTATTAACAGGGGAGGGGCTCATGTAATTTTAAAAAAAAACTCCCCTCTCTCCCCCCAAAGAATGCCATACGTGTTGAAACTACGAAAAAGCGAAACCTTAGCGAATGTGAGATAGATCACATAGATCATTATCGTCGGGAGCCGCGAAACCGTTGATTAGACGGCATAATCTCCTGACAGTTTCGTCGCGGAATCATAAAACTCTCGTTTCGAAAGTGACCATTATTTTTGTTTACTGATTTTAATTTTACACTTCAATATCCGATTAGAGTTGCGACTGTTTGGGGTTTGTACTGGGCTTGGTTTGGGTTGTTTTTGGAAAGCTTTAGGCTATTTTTGTCTATTTTTGGCCATTTTTAGGCTATTTTGGAGCTTTTGTTATAGATTATTAGATTGTTCAAATAATTCTGTGCTTACTAACCTTACAAATTTGTTTTGAAAGGGGACACAAAATTATATGAACAATCCAATATTTGTTATATGAAGGGCCTAATAGCTAGTATACAGACTTCTACTATAGGCGATAGGTACGTTTTGTCACCTTTTGTTAGAGACTTTATACTATTAGGTTGTTCACATAATTTTGAGCCTAGTAATCTCAAAACTTTCTTTTGACAGGGGGCACAGAATTATTTGAACAATCTAACTCTAAATCTTCTCAAATTTTTGTATTTTTTCTGTAATTACCGGTAATCCACTTAACCTTTCTAACGATTAGAACATAGACAAATAAGGAAGTTTGTTTTTGTCTACGATAACTTGAATTAAATGACCATTGTTGAAGTGATGGAAAACACACTTTAAACATTAGAAAATTGCTTTCAGACATGTATTTATACATAAATAGAGTGTCAGGGTGTATATAAAGGTCGTTTTAATGAAAGTGTGAAAACTTCTTGGTGAGGTTGTTAACGAGTCTCTCGGGCTTATTATGCATGGGGATATTAGGGTAAATGTTTTTGGTATATATGTGTTCTTATATTTTTGTTACGGACTTGTAGGTAGGCTGGCTGCTAATGGTATCTGGTAATCAGTTTTTGAGCGGGAGGAGTAGGGTAGGGTTATGTAGGGGAGGGTAGAATATGCCATACAAAGGACGGTTTGAAACTAGCAGGTCAGGGTAGGGTAGGGTAAGGTAAGGTAGGGTAGGGTAGGGTAGGGTAGGGTAGGGTAGGGTAGGGTAGGGTAGGGTAGGGTAGGGTAGGGGTGAATAATATTTTTGAGCTTCATCTGAATCTCTATTTTTTTAAATGATCACTCAAGTTTGACATAACTAATAGCAAGGATAAATTACATCGTAGAATATCATGTATCCGGCTGTTGCGTAACAATTTTATCGCGTGATCCCTTTTTTTTGAAGAAGTTTTTCATTAGAGACGCTTCTGTAGACTTGTTTTCACGTTCCGTAGCTATTATGCGACAAAAATTAAGTCGATTTCTAATGGGCAATGTTGAGATGTTTTATTGAGTAGGTATTAGAGGTTTTATAGTGTGGATATGATTGGGTAATTTGGTGGAGCAGCTACATTTATTGAAGCGTTTGGGAGGATTTTCATAGGTTTGTGAGGCTGTTTATCACTAGAATATAGCTTCGACACAAACTTTTTTACAATTTTTTTTCATTTAAAATTTTGATTTCTGCGAAATGATATACGTAAAATAACGATCTGTTTTAAACCTGCACTTTATAGGGTTTAACCTTGATAGTAACTTTACCAGACACTTTTGAAGTCTATCACATTCTAAATGTTTTTGAAAAGTCAAGAAGCATTCAGTTTAGTTTTTAACTATTTTTACACTTTTAGGGTCATTTTAAGACTGTCTTTCTACTTTTTGTCATTTTGTTTTGCTTGTTGATTTGATTAAACTCTGGTAAATTAAAAAAAATAGATGTGTAAGATAGGGTAGAGTAACGTAAGGTAGGGTAGGGTATAACACACTATACTAAAACAAAAAAAATTAAATAGAAAATTGAAGGCAAGGTAAAAAAGTAGAAGATAAAAAACTAGAGTAAATGTTTGATCAAATTAGTATTGGTCTTTTGCTTTTGACTGTTTTTTGAAGCGAATTATAGGTTTTTTATCATGACAGTCACATTGATACATAGCAGCAACGTTTTAGCGGTTTTACTGATAACAGTGTACTACAACGTTTCATTGGTTTTTAACGTTTTCGGACGATTAAGCTTGGGTCTACTGTCTTTAGTGATAAAAAAATATTAAAATCTTTAAAAATTAAAATAAGTTTTTTTTGGGTTTTTTAAAATTATTTTTAATTTTAAAAATATTAGTTTTAAAGCTGGATTTGCCTGTGGGCCGAAGCCGGCTCTGCAGCCCTTGTTCACTCTAATTTTAAGCATAAAAATTTAATTTTGATCCAAATAATCCTAATGAACAAGCAAAAAATCTAAAAAATGCCTTTATAACGCATATTATAGCACTGATAACCCAAAAATATGGTCTGTTATCACAACTTTTTTATTACAATGAAACAACGAGTATAAAATTGTTTTGCTTTTTTTACTTTTCGTGACTTTCATTAGGGTTTTCTGCTAACACAAAAGAAGTGGGACGGGCTGTTCTACAACATTACTATTAAAAGAGTTGTTGTGGTTATAATCGTAAATTGTAACGTTTTTAAGGCACGTTGTAATGTGGGGCTATCACATTGGTAATTGATAAAGGAATTGTGGTATACCGGTTTGTAGGTATAGTAGGGTTATGGGTAAGGTAGAGTATGGTTATGAGTAATGTCATGGTAGTAGGGTGGAGTGATTTTGTGGGTCATTGGGGATGGTGGAAAAGTGAGATGAAGGTTATGAAAACTATGGGCTATAAAAAAGTTTAAATTTTTGAAATTTGGTTTGATTTTTAAGAGGCATGGGTTAATTTTTAAAATTTTGTACGCAAGCTACCTACTATAATATAATTGCGTGTAAATTTCTCAAAAATTTTTTTTTGTTACAATTTTATTATAATACGTGCCTAATAGACTATTTTGCAGATATGTTAACTCACGAACTTCAATGGAATCCAGAACTGGTTGTAGCGGCTTCAGAAGACATTGATAAGCTCAGTTTGGACAGTGCTTTAAGTTCGGATGGAAATACGAGGTAAGGGCTGTGGTTTTAAAAATTAAAAAAAATTTTAAATTAATTATGAAGGATAGGTCAAAAAGTTTATAGAAAATTGAAAATTTTGGGTTTTGTGGTCAAGAAGTTTAGAGAAAATTTAAAACATCAGATGAATAGGCTTTAATTTGGATTTTGCTATGTTTTTTTTGGGTTTTAACAGCACTATAACTACTTCTTGATGACTATATATTAGGAAACACAAAAAACATGTTTTACAAAAGAATAATTTTATTTTACTATGTAAATTACTGACATTTGGTTGACTGACTTTTTCAAAACTAACTTTTTTGAACTTATGGGTTTATGAAAACTGTACGGTGCGTTTTTGTAGCTTTAAAAGTACAGTACTTAATCAGCTACGGCCTTCAGTACTAGGGTAGGGTTAGAGTTTAGTATTTTAAGCATTTTAGAATTTTTCAACATTTTTTTTTGGTAAAAAAGGATAAATTTAAAAAAATAAAATTTTTTTGTAAAATACGGCGTATAAAGTTCGGTCATGTCTAAATAATATTAAATTATTTTCAGTAGCTCAGAAATCTCAGAAGCCTACAATGAGCCAGAGTTGTCGATTGAACAGTTGGAAAAGATTAAAAACTTGAGAAAAGAAATTGGAAAAGACTTGTTGGCCAGGACTCCTTTGATGAACGATGATTTCTCATTGCATCGATGGATTTGCGGTTGGGACAATAAGACTGGTAAGTTTTTTGGATTTTTATGAGAAATGTTATAAGGGGATAACATTGGGTAGGGTATTTTTTAGGGTTGTGGTACAACACCGGGTGGGGTATCGTTTTAAGAAGGGGCGACTGCATTGAGCGGGGTATTGATTTGGAAGGGGTAACAATATCGGGCGGGATTTTGTTTTAGGGAGGGTTAAAACATCAGGCGGGGTATCTTTTTTAAGAGAGTGTCTTTGTCGTGAAGGATGAGAAGTGGCAGTAATTTTTAAAAATCATTTTTCTATTGCCAGCCGTTACAGTAAAGTTATTCCAGGTGTTATGTGACTGCGTTTTTATTTTTCAAAGTTATTATTAATTTGTTCAAATAATTCTGAGCTTTTAACTACAAAGGTTTGCTTTGAGACGTAGCGCAGAATTTTTTGAACAACTCAGTAAATTCAGAATTTGGGCCGCTTAGTTATTGATCAATTACCTTGATTGTAATAAATAGTTTCGTTTCAATTAGGTATTTGAGATGGGGCATTCTACTTTTGTTTTTGTCAGTTTTTCAAAGTAAGATGTTTAGATTTGGGTGGTTTTTCAAGGTATAGGCTAGAGTGAGATTTAGGGTCGACTTTTGGGCAAGGAAGCGATTTTTGTATTGGGAGGGGGGGGAGGGGAGAGGAAGTTTTTTGTTTAAAAAGTATATCTTCTTTGAAGGAGAGTGGGTTGGCAAATTAATGTTAGAAAACTTTATTTGTGAATTGGTCCTATTTCTTTTTCACGCTTCTATCTTTTCCTTTAACACTTAGCTTTAATTACAGTAGTTCAAAGCTAAAAACAATTTTAAAAATTATTTTTCAATCATAAATTAAAAGCTTCATAACAAGCCCCTACTATAATATAAAACTAACTCATAAAATTTCAGCCGAAATCCTCCCTCGCTACAAACAAATGTCAGAAATCATCAACGCCCTCGGCTTCAACAACTTTGACATCAACGATGAAGATGACGTGAACACGACCGTAGTCAAATACAACCGGCTAGCCCAATTCTTCGCCGGAGGTGTTATGGGATTTGATAACGATGGAGATCTGATCACATGCTCATTCCTAGGCAATGTACGGCCACGCACTCTAGTCAAATGTGGTAGTACGCATCAAGTGTTCAAGATGGCTATTCTTGACGCGGTTTTAATCTGGAAGTTGTTGAAGAAACGTGAACAAAAGACTGGCAAGAAGGCTGGCTGCAAGATCATCATGGACTTGAGCGGGTTTGGCATGGAACATTTGTTTGCACCGACCGTGAAGATCTATTTAAATTTGATCAAATTGTTGCAGGTAAGGGGGGTTTGATTATATTGTGATTTGGGGATGGTGGTTTTGCTGTTTTGGGCAGAGCAAGAAAATTTTTTTGGCTTATTGTTATTTTCTAAAAAATTTTAAAATTTAAAACTAATTTTTTTTATTAATTCTTACTTATATAATACTATATGATTTCAGGACATGTTCCCAGAAATCACAAACAAAATCTACGTGATCAATTCACCGACCGTCTTTACCACAGCTTTCGCCCTGATCAAGCCAATCTTATCAGAGAAAACCAAAGCAAAGATCGAGATTCTTGGCTCGAATTATCAGGAAATGTTGTTGAATGAACTGGGAGCTGATAATGTATACCCACTTTATGGAGGCACCAAGAAGCCGGTTAAAGGAAGCTTGGAAACTGGCACATTGAGGATGGGAGGAGTGCCTCAGAAGGAGTTGATGTAAGTTTTTATATTTAAAAAAAGGGCAAGGCATTATATGGTAGAGTAAGGTAAGGTAAGGTAAGGCAGGGAACGCAGGGTATGGCAAAATTGTCTATTAGAGAATACTGTAACAACATAACTTTTCTAAGTTTTAAAAATTTTCAGCTACGACCCCCACTACTGTCCAGAGCACGTCGAAGATGCTCAACTCACCAAAATCAACGTTCCCGCCCGTTCCAAAAAGTCACTCGATTTTAAATGCAAGAAAGGCCAAACTCTAAAATGGTTTTTCAAAACTTCTGGAGACATCGACCTGTCCGTGTACCAAGACAATCAAGTGTTGTGTATGCCAAAGTTCCGCCTGAACACTGAGTTTGTGCCAGAATTCGACCAAGTTGTCTGTCAAACGACGGGTACCTACACTATTGTGTTTGACAACTCTTTCAGTACGTTCTTCAGCAAAGATGTACGATATCATGTTAAAGTTGTTTGAGGATTTTAGGTATTGAATCTTGTTTTTGAAGTTTTATATGATAATTTTTTTATGATTTTACGGGTATTTTTGATATCGTTTTTCTATTTAAACTAAATAAAACAAGTTGTTCTAGTATTGCAGTCTGAATTCTATAAAGATTTGATTTCATATTGCTATATCTGCTTGAAATTCTTGTCAAAATGTTCTAGCTACTACCAAAATTTAGAGCTCATTCACTTTTAAATGTCATTTTTTTTTCTTTTTATAGTGACATTTATAAGCCAGTAGGACCATATAAATATCATTCTTAAGCCAGTAGGATCATTTATTAGTTTGTTCAATGTTGTTCAATTAATTCTGAGCCTCTAAGTCAAACTAAGTCGCTTTGAGCCCAAAAATGTCTTTTGAGAGGGGCACAAAACTATTTGAACAACAAATTATGTTGTTATAGAATCATCATATCAATATCAGAAAAAAACTTGCTCTATTATACTAAAGCCATTCCTATAGACTTGTCATAGATATCACAATGTAAATATATTGTTAATGAAATAAACAGACTTGTAAATTATGATTATATCAATTTTTTATCTTCAAAATGCAAAATGAATTGTTTATAGGCTTAACAAGTAAAGGATAATATATCAAAAAAATTTTTAAAGCAAGCTTAACTTAGCCTTGTCTAACTCAATAAAATCAATTTTTTTACTCTGTAAGATCAATCAAACAAAATATCAACGTAAATCATGACACGAATCACCCGTATCGATATAATCATCAATACCATATATATCACTTTGGCATGTTCTTCCCTAAATTTCCAGTTAATTTCTCGACCATCCGCATCGCGTTGTCGATTTGACGTTGAGCCCTCGCCATTGCTGAATCAATCGTAGTTTGGACTGATGACATTTGACGTCCCACTTGATCCATCGCTGGCTGAGCTGGGTTTTCCTGAGCAGTTGGGGCACTTGGAGCTGCAGGTGGCTCTGGTTTTGGTGGAGATGAAGCTGCGGCTGATTCTGGATTTGGTGGAGACGGAGCTGCGGATTGAGCAGGTTCTTCTGAATTGGATGGTTGATTGTCACGGCTTGTGGATGGTCTAACTTTATTTGGACGGCTTTTTGATGGCCTTGCTTGACCTTCAAGTCTTCTAGAAGGCTTAGCTTGACCTTCATGACTTCTAGAAGCCCTATCATCATCTTGACTGCTTGTTGATGAATCATCTTCACCATGGCGTCTTCTGGATGTTCTAGCTTTATCTAGACCTCTTCTAGACGCTTGACTAGACCGCGATGAACCTCGAGATCTTGAGCTTGTTTGAGAACTTCCTGAAGATAAAGAATCAGGGTTTGAATCATAAGTTGAAGCTTCTGAATCAAATGAATTATGAATTGAGGGTTCAAACGCAGTCGATGTAGAGTCAGATGAAGCAGGGCTTAAAGGAGTTAGTTGTTTTCCTTTACTTTTGCGGGTTTTGGCTTTGGAAGGCCTCTTTTTATGTTGAGATAGACTTTGCTTTCTTCTGGCTCTCTTGGCTCTTCTCTAAAATTAAATTTTTTATTTTTAAATTTTTAAATTGTAAACAAATTTAGTATGATAGAGGTAACTAACTTACTTTGAGTTGTTGTTCTCTATCGAAACGTCGCTGACGCTTTTGGATTTGTCTTTGTTCTCTTTTGCTAGGTGTTTGATCCTAAAGAAATATTGTTTTGATGTTTTATACCCTACCCTACCCTACCCTACCCTACCCTTAAAATACTTACCGCGCTTGAAACTGAACTGTCTGCACTTGAACTTAAGGTAGGAGAATCAGTATCCAAATCAGTAACCGATGATTCTCCTGAATTTCTTTCTGCATCTGAACTTTCTAAAGATAAATCAGATTCAGGTCCTGTTGACGTTGGGTCAGAATTAGGTGACGGAGCATCAAACTGTCCTGATGAAGATCTAGAGCGTCTTGAAGCGCAATCTAAATGACGTGACTTTGAACGTCTTGACCGTCGATCTGAACGTCTTGATCCTTCTAAATCATTTGATCCTGACCTTGGGCCATTACTAGGGACTCGTGCAGTAGAAGCTTCTGAATCACTGGGTTCGTCTGCAGTAGAAACACCAGAAGTTGGTTGATCGCTGAGCTGAGATGAAGTTTTTGTCCGTCTTCGACGTGGTCTTTTTGTTCTTTGTTGTCCATCTTCAGGTGCTTTATGCCGTCTTCTTCTTTTACCTGGAACTGGAGGTTGTTCTTGATCATGATCATCTGATTGCTGACGTCGTGACCTCTTTCTGCTTTTATTTTGAAGTACAGAAGCTTGATCTTCCGAGGCCTGCAGAAACTCGTCTATATCTTCGCCTATGTCGGAAGAATCACCACTAACACGACTTCTTCTACGACTTCCAGACCCGACTGGTAGTTGAGTTGGTGGAATGTTGTCATTGGCAGATGATGATCGACTACGACGATGATTAAAGGCTTCTCGCTCATGTACATTAGGATCTTGTGGTAATCCAGAAGGGTCTCTTTGGCGTGTTGTTATTCTAAAGTGAGCGTTCTTAAATTAATTTAAACTAATTTTTATTTTTTGTAATAAAAAAATTTAATTTTATTGGAATTTTTAAAATTTAAAAAAAAGGTTTTCATATTTCCTGAAAATTACCTTAAGGAAATCAAAACAAAAAACAACTCCCAAACTATAAAAAAAGAAGAATTACCGTGGAGTAGCTCTACCATCAGATTGACGTCTTTGAACACGTTCTTGTTCTTGAGGTCCATCCTCATCTACAAAATTCTCAGAATTATTTGGATCAGATCCTCGACGTCCATTGCGAGTACGACCATTTGATGACATTTTAACACGATCCTAATTAGTCGACCGACCGCGTTTTTCGGCGCTAGGACAAATGCGGTTTTTGGACATTTGCGTTTTTAAACAGTCTTTTTTTTATTTTTTAGTCAATTTAGTTGTAGTATGGTACTAAATAGTACTAAAGTTTAAATTGGTACTGTTTAAATATTTTTAAGGCTGAATAGCACTAAATTTTAAATTGGTTTTATATTTTTGGTACTAAATGGTACTAAAAGCCCAAAATGGTACTATTATGTTAAAGCCGTACTTACTCTAATTTTTTTCACTAGGCCCGGCCCGTTTTTCATGAATACTTGATATCTCTTGTAAATTTTGAAAAAAAAACCTACAAAAACTTTATTGACCTTTCCTTGAGATCAAAATCAACTGCCGGGACTCAATTTCAAGGCTTAATAATAAACATGCCTCAAATTTTACTCTTTACCTTATACAATATGTTTATACGTTGTCTAAATTCCAAGCCTAATCTTGATTATTTCAAGCCTAATCTTTATGATGTCGCCAAACTGATTGTCTTTTTGCCGTTTCAAAACCTTCGTTCAGATGACAAAAAAAACACGGCCAAACCATTCGGCGTGGGCGAAATTAAATGGCGCTGCTGATCCAAAACCAACTGTTTTTGCCCTCGGGGCCGAAAAGTTTTGCGACGAGGTTTTCTCCGATTTTTTGAGTATGTTTTTGGCTTTTTAAAAATAGTTAGCTTATTCCGAATTCCATGTTCCACAAGGTGTTTTTTTATGGTCGCTGTTTAATGTGGTTTTAGGTGGTAAAGAATTGGTTATGGGGTAATGTAATAGCGTGTAATTGATGGGTTAGGGTGGTTTTAATAATTTAAAAGTGTTTTTAGTTATTTTAAATGATTTTTAAGTTGTTTTTAGTTATATTAAATGGTTTTTATAGTGTCTGTTGAGCATTTTTGATGATTTTAAAGCATTTTTATTGGTTTTTATTGTTTTCAAAGGCCTTTTTTCATGTGATACGTCAATTAATTCAAAAATTTTTTAAAAACTTAACTCAAAATTTAAAAAAATTTTTACTTAACAAAAATTTTTTTTTAGATTTTCAAATTGCAATCAATTTTTTTAAATCTATCAAACATGCCCATAAAATACGGTCAATACCAATATATACATATTTCGACAAAATTCACTGCCATTTCCAACGTATACCCACTTAATTTTCAGGGTTAGATAAACGATGGTGGAGCCGACCTCAGATTTCTCGTTTATTTCGAGAAAAGATTCGGGGAATCTAGACAAAAGCTTCAGTGCATCCGAATCCTCAACTGATAACACGGTCATTGATCGACGCTACACTGATCTAAAGTATCGGGACAAAGACGCAAACAGTGCTGCGTCAGATGACTTTGCTTTCGCCGAGTATGTTTATTTACCTCATTTTGTTTTGGACAAGGGTGATCGAGCTTTTGTACTTTTATGGTTTCGCAAAAGTGATGACAACAATAATGGGATGATCTGACTTAAAAATAGGTTTGATTAATGGTATCTTAATATTAAAAAAGATTTTTTAAAGCTGTTAATGACGGTTTTAGTTTTTCAAGGGCACGGTGAGACAGCTTGAAGCGAGGAGGGGTAAAACAGGTAAATCCACCCCCAAAAAAGTTTTAAAAAAATTTTTAAGTGTCGGCCATAAAATTTTTTTTCCAAAAAAAAATGAAAAAAGTTATTCCTCCCTAGCCTAAAAACCATAGCCAAGTCCCTAAAGACAACTATTTTCACATAAAATTTCAAAATTTTTCAGAAACTCAAACTCAGCCTCCTTAACAAATTGGGGAGCAGCTTCAACCGCATCCGAGCCTGCCCCAACTGATGACCTCACTTCCCTCTCAACTACGGTTACAAATGCGACAGAAGACCCCAGAATCTACCTTCACGATGAAAAGGTCGAACCTCATCGTAGCTCGATCCTACAGAAAACAGCGTTGGAACAAATCAACGAATCCGAAGCCTGGAGCAAGGCGGATATGGCACTAATGAAAGCAAAGACATTTGCTGATGATGTAGCTCAACGCATGGCGAAATATATGAATAACGATACGAATGAGACGGATGTGAAGAAGTTGAAGCACGATAATGATGTGAATGAGAAGATGGAAGAGTACTTCAACGAAGATTTGCCTGAGCGACCAGACTTTTCAAAATATTTGAATCGAAAACGGGATTATGGATTGGATACTGATGAGAGGAAGGATGTTACGAAGGTTGATGATGAAAGTAAACGGGCTAGAAGTGACGTTTTTGGTCATGGTACTGGAACAAGTAATGTTTTCGGGCATGGTACTGAAAATAGTGATGTGTTCGGCCATGGTACTAGAAATAGTGATGTCTATGGACATGATGCTAACAAGGACGCCCTAGGACATGGCACGGAAAGTAATGTGTTTGGCCATGGCACCAGGAATAGTGACGTATTTGGCCATGGTACTGACAATGCCAAACCTGACGTTGAAGCCAGCTATACCTTTGGTCATGGTACTCCAAATAGCCAAACCTTCGGTCATGGTACTCAGAATAGCCAAACCTTCGGCCATGGTACTCAGAACAACCAAGCCTTCGGCCATGGTACTCCAAATAGCCAAACCTTTGGCCATGGTACACCAAACGCCCTCCCTCCAAAACAAGACCCATCTGAAGTGGAGCTTGACACAGAAGAAGTACCAAAAGACCTCTTAAAAACCTCTGACAACTACGTTTTCGGCTTCGTACCAAGCGACAATGAAGACGACGACTTCGACCCGGTAGCCGACCTTATCAACGAGCTAGTCTACGAAACCAACGAGATCAACAAAAGCATGAGTGAAGCCGCTTCAAAACAAAACACTGTATCTACCGACAACACTGACAAGACAATTCGTGATGACAAAGATGATGATACTGATAACGACTTGACCGAGCCAATTCAACCTCCTTCTGGTCCAATTTGGGACATTAACTACGCGATCGGATTGAGTAACAAACCAAAAGATGTAGCTGGTTATGTTGTTATTAACAAGGTTGATGAGATACTAAGCAAAGATAAGGATGGTAAACCAATTGTGTTGAGGGGTGGTAGTTTAGATGGCAGTCCAAAGCTTAATGAGAGAAAAGAGTTGACTAGACAGAGTAGGGTGGTTAGTGAGAGTGAAAGCGGGTTTGATGGGGAAGAAGGGGAACATAAGTTGGCTACTATTCAGGAAGGGTTAACACCCAGTCCTTCTACAGATAATGTGCTTGGTCAAGTTGAGGCTGCTCAAAAATTAGAAGCTGATACTCAAACTAGTACAGCTCTTTCTACTGGAGATACCCAAAATACACCTCCCAAGCCTTCTAAAGCAGATAGCATCATATCTACTGACCAAAGTAAACCGGAAGAAACAATAACCCCTAAATCACCCCACCCGGAACCCCTAAGCGACCAGCCTGATCTTCAAAAGTCCGATTCCAAAAATAAACAGCTAGAAGAAACAAATAATCTCGTGGCCGGAGGGCCGAGGCATGAGCTCGAAACAACAAATGTTAACGCCGAGATTGATAACGCCCAATTTAAAGACAACTCGAATCAACAAATTTCAAATATTTCGCTTGTTCCATCTAATAAGCCGGCTAACGTTTCGAATTCTTCGACTGAAAATTTGTCTAACGTGTCGAGTGCTACGGTAGAAGATTCCTCTACAACGTCTACTGCTGAAGACGTTTCTGGAGTTTCTAGTAATACGTTACAAGATATTCCCAACGTGCCTATATTATCATCACAAGATACCACTAGCGTGCCTACATTATTATCACAAGATACTTCTAACGTACCTAAATTGTCATCAGAGGACACTAATACCGTGCCTAAATTACCAGATTCAGGCAACATTTCAAACACTACAGTACAAGATTCACCTATCACTTCAATTCCTACCGTACAAGATTCTACAATGTCTACCACGGTAGGATCAATATCGATGGAAATGGAGCCAATGAGGGTCGTAACAAAGCCTTCTTTTGGCCAGTCCAACACTTCAATTCAAGGGTTCAGAGCTCCCGGATTCAATGCTCCAACAGCTTCAGAATCCTTTGATCCTAAGTCTGCAGGACTCCACGATGCTGTTGTTACGGTGGAGACGAAATTCCCAGATGTTGTCCCACCTCCAGAACCATCAGTACCTGGTGATACTCTGGCCTTTATGGTATCCAATGGTGTTTTAGAGCAAGTAGTCAAGAGTGTTCAAGAAAATGAGGTAAACAATGGTTTTCCGCCTAATAATGCTTTTCAGCCTAACACTGTTCAACCTAGCAAAGAAGATGCCGTTCAACCTGCCAGCCTACAGGATAACTACACAGTAGTAAAGACAACTAGCTCACCATCATCAAGCTTTAACACAAACGATAACCAACCAGTAACATCTGAACAGAAGCCAAAAGAAGACGTTACGTCGATTTCAACCCCAGTAGAAATAAAATCAAACAACACTCCAACAGAATCTCCAGAAGCTACCAAATCAGCCACAACTCAACCACAAACAGTCACAATAACTCCAGAAAGCAATGATGAAGTTATAGTCAACGTGCCAGTCAATATTGTAGACAATGGTGACCTTTCCAACAATGATGACCTTTCCAAAGAGCCAAAAGACAACTATGACACCGAGAGTTTGTTCAGTGTGGTCAGTGGAAACAGTATGCCGGAGTTGGTCGGTGACAAAATAGAAGAACCGACTGTTACACACAAGATCGACACTGACCAGCTGTTAAGTTTTGGTGACAAAAAGTACGGTGAAACGGAAGTACCTCCAAACACACCTTATGATAGCCCGAGACGTACTAGCAATGCTGGACAAATTCCGATTCAAGACGACAAAAATGGTTCTTCTCAAAATACTGCTTTCAACAATGCTTCTGATGTCAATTCTGCTGAACCATCAGCTCCAGAACCCCAAGCTTCACAAAAGCCAACTGATCTAACAATTGACATCAACAAGCTACAGGACCTTCCAAAATCATTAGCTAATGATGAGCCAACTTCGCCAATTCAAACAACTTTGTTCACGCCTGTTAAGAACGACTCGACAGACCAAGAAGTTGAAGATGTAGTTGACATGTCCTTTGAGCTTACTCAAGCATCAGCTGAAGGATCTAGAGTAAATGAAATCACTCTAAACGTCATTATAGAACGAAGACCAGCTGGTGAATCGGCCGAAGCATTGAGTCTTGAAGAAAGCGAGCTTCTGGCCGATGAACTCACTAAATCCGCGGCAGGTGAAACTCCCAAAGACATCAATATTGATGAGAATAAGGGCATCACTATTGATGAGAACAAGGCTATCAACAATGAAGTACCTACTTCTCTATCTGAAGACAAAAAAGACGAAATTGTCAAAGCTCCAGAAGAACAAGGTGCTGATGCTAATGTACCTGTTCAACGCTTTGATGATGTAGCAACTACTGTTGAAGCTGCAGCTACACCTTTGTCTGATGTGAAGGAAGAAGATGAAAAGCTTGAAGAAGCTTCAGTTACAAAACAAACTGTAGCACAGCCAGAAGAACCATCCAAAAATGTTGTGGCAGAAGAAGCCAAAGTTGCTGCCGAACAGCAAGACATTGCTACAGAGAAAGCTGAAGCTACTTTGGAAAAAACCGACGTTGCTACAGAGAAGCCCCAAGAACCTCTTGAACAAAAAGAAAACGGAATTGAAGTCCCTGTTCAAGCCTTTACGCCACTTGATACCAAAGCAACACCAGATCAGGGAAAAAATAAATCTTCCGAATCAGCAGTACCAGAAGTTTCAAAAACAGAAACTAATGAAGCTTCTGCACCATCAACTACTAAAACCGAAGCCAAAGACACTAATGTTGCCAAACAAGATGTTGAAGTACCCATTCAATCATTTACTCCATTAGAAACGCGAGCTTCCGAACAACAGCCTATTGAAAGTACTGATAAACCTTCAGATGCTCAACGTAAACCTGAAGAATCAGAAGTAGCAAATGATGACAAATTGGCCGAAAAGGATGTTGAAGTACCCGTCCAATCATTCACTCCTCTTGAAACAAAAGCGAGTGACGACAAAGGGGCCGGGGAAGGTGTTGAAGTTCCGGTACAGTCATTTTCACCATTAGAAATTCGTGCTTCTGAACAACAGCCTATTAAAAGTGCTGATAAGCCTTCAGGTGCTCAAGCAAAACCTGAAGAAGATAAAACTTCTTCAACTGAAGCTTCACATCCTAGCCAACAGCCAAACGATGAATTCAAGAATGCCACTGATGATAAGCAAAAAGCTGATTCAGAAAAACCTTCTCAAGGCACACCAATTCTAGAGTCTCAAACATCAGAAGACTCAGAACATCGTAAGACGCAAATTAAGCTTCACGAGCCTATACAACGTACAGATTCATTGGGCCGTGTGATTCCTCAACTTTACATCAATGAAGAGCCTATTACATCACCGCCAGCTGATTACAAGCCTTTGGGATATTCTCGGCAATTGGCCAAGAAAGAAGCCAAGAATGAGAAGAAAAAAGAAGCCAAAGGAGAAAAGAAAGACGACAAGCAAGAAGAAGAAGCTAGAGAAGAAAAGAAAGTTGAAGATGTTAAAGAAGAAAACACAACTGATAAGGCCGGTGATGTTAAAGAAGAAACTAAAGACGAAGCCAAACCAGTAGCTACAGAAGAAAAGCAGACCCATGAAGGTGAAAAGCCAGTCGATGTAGGTAAAGTTGACGAAGTTCAGAAGCCAAAATCAGAAGAAGTTAAACCAGACACTAACAAAGCAGATGATAAAGATGTGCCATCAACAGACACTTCTACTATTAAGTATGAAACTGTCCCATCTACAGATTCATCTGATGTTAAGTACGAAACACAACCTCCAGAATCCAAAAAGCCATTGGAAACAACAAAAACAACTCCAGATGAATCTGAAATCACCGAAGAAAGGACTCAAGTCAAGCAGATTCCAGAAGCCCAAACGCCAGAAGGCATCGATCTACCCCCAGCTCAAAATGAGAAGCCAACAGAAATCACAGAACTCAAAGACACTGGTGCTGTTTCAAACGAAAAGCCATTAACCCTGGGTGCACTTGGCAAGAAAAGCTTGTGGAATGGTAAAGAAGGTGTCAACTCCTTTGATAATAAAGGCCCCGAAACCGTTGATAAAGAAACTATTGGCTCTAAACACAGTCAGGCAAGCTCTAAACAAGGTTATCTTGATTCTGAAAATGTAAAACAAGATGTAAAAGAGCTTTCAGGTAGCGACAAAACCGAAAAAGCACCAGAATCTAACGTTAAAACTTTGGAAACTAAAGCTCAACCTTCAGAAAATGCTTCACAGCCTGTAAACCTGTCTCAACTAGGGTCTTCTTCACTTGACAAGAGTAGTAAAGCGGAAGAAAAACCTACAGACAACAACAAAAACATTCCAGAAGGTCCAGTTAGTTTAACTTCCTTGAGTAACACCTCTCTGCTTGACAAAAAGCCAACAACAGAACCAGGTGCTACTGAACAACCTAGTGTAGACACTTCTACCGATAATATTGTTAAAGACAGCCCAACAACAGCTACATCTGAAACTCCAAAAACGCCTGAAGGTCCAGTGAAACTTGGCGATATTAACAACAAATCTCTCCTTGAGCAGAGCGCTACACAAAAGCCATCAGAAGTTGATGAAGCATCCAAAAATGTTGAAGAAAAGGCTGATGACAGTATCCCAGTCAAAGATTCTTCTACATTACCTCAAGCTTCAGATATTGCTCCACAAACAGCAGATAAACACTCGGTAATTGAAGATAAGGATGTAGATCAACAACCATTAAATGATGCTCAGAAACCAAACGAAGTTCCAGAAACGCAAATTGTCAAAGTCGAAGACACTGCCAACCATAATGTCAAAGTTCTTGTTCCTTCAGAAACTGACTTCCCACCTCCATCAGATTCCAACGGAGTAATTGAGAATGAAATCAAATCAGAAATTGCTTCAGCTGAACAAGAAGAAGCAGCCAGAGAAGCAGAAAAAGAAAAAGCCAAAGGTGAATTTAAAATTGAAGCAGAAGATCAAAGACTACCTTCTTCTACTGCAGACGATGAAGTTAAGCCAATTTCAGAAATCAAAGAAGCCGAAAAAGAAAGCAAGGCTGAAGAACATAATTTGTTAGGTCAACCACCAGCTAGCCCTTCAGAAGACGATGCTCATAAAGTATTCACAAAAGCTCCGCTAACAGCTCAAGAATCAGTGTCAGAAGACCTGGTTAATAACGCTATCAATGAAATATTTGAAAAACCAGTAGATGCACAAAATGAAGGTAAAGTTGAGCTTGTTGGCACTGACACTTCTCTTGATAAGCCAACCAGTGATGCGGACTCTGGAGCTAATGCTTTAAATAACAAAGAACCTGAAGCCCCTTCGGATACTACCAAACCTGCTGAGCAAGATACTGAAGCCCCAGTTATTGATAAAACACCTGAAACACCAGTTGAAGCCAACAAACCTGAAGCACAAACTGAAAATCAAGAACCACAGAAGGAGACAGAACCCAAAGAACTAAAAAGCGATACAAACGTTGACAAACAAGCTGAAGAAGCTCCTGAAGAACCCAAGAAAGGTGTTCCACCTTCCATCGGATTCTATGAACCAAATCCAGAAGACGGTTGGATAACAGAAGTTGAAAAAGAGAAAACTGAAGAAAAACCATCTGAAAAAGCAAAAACATCAACAGAAACTGCTCCAGAAGTTCCAAAAGACTCTTCTAATACTTCAAGAAAGACAGATACGGCTCCAGAAGCTTTAAAAACAGATGCGGCTCCTGAGAAAACAGATGTGGCTCCAGAACCAAAGAAAGACGTAGCGGAAGAAGATGGCTGGATCACTGAAACGGCTGAAAATGAACCAAAAGTTAGCGACAAAACAGGTAAGATAATTTTAAATATTACTATAACATATAAAATCAAGTAACACGAAGTAAACTCAAAAGCAACAACTTTTTGTCCGTCAAATACAATTTTCACGAAGTGTAACAAATTTATCGTAAATTTTCAGAGCATTTTGTTGATGAATAGACGAAGTGTCACAAATTCTATAGAACTTTGAGCCAATTTTGTTTCGCAACAATTTTTTTTTCAGAAGAAACTGCACCAAAAGCCCCGGAACCTTCGAACGATGGTTGGATTACAGAACCAGCCGAATCAGACAAGAAATCAGAAGAAACGTTACAAAAACAGCCGTCTGAAGCCCAAATTTCTCAACCTGAATCTGCAGAAGGCAAAACTGGACAACCAGAAGTAGAAGCAGCTCAATTAGATGTTGTTAAACAAGAATCAACACCTTCTGAAGCTACTCAGCAAGAAAACAACGTTCAATCTGTTCCAGAAACATCAAAGGTTGACCTGATGAACGATGTTGCTTATAACGAAGGTTGGATCACTGAACCAGCTGAAAAGGAGAATAAGACCCAGGAGATCAAGCCAAGTGAAGATATACTTATTCCAGATGGTGATAATAAAACTGAAAAACGAGGTGTATCATTTGAAGACGGATCTCGGCCAGAAAAGACTGAACCTGGTAATAAGGAGGTACGTTTTTATTGTTTTTGCTCGGTTTTTAGGTATCAATGTGGAAAATTATTGATATTTTTGTTATTTTGTACAAGAAGAGGATGAAAAACTTTTTGTAAGATTGTTTTAACGTTTCTTAGACGTTAAAAGGTTTTTTAAAGTGATAAAAACGTGTTTTATTTATTCGATTGCGACAGGTGGCATGGATAAAGTTGAATTTTGAGATCTCTACTCATTTTTTGGCAAAAATACTGCTGTTTTGATTTTTTTTTGATATTGGTATAGGTTATATGCTATTTTTTTAAAAATTTGCTTGTGAAAATACTTAAAAACTTAATTAAAAACAACAAGATATTGCTTTAGTCTTCATTCCAATTAAATTTTTGTATTTGTAGACAGTCTTGGTATTCCACGAAGCCCGAGCGTTCTCTCCAGCTCCAGAAGATCCAGCAGCCGCTTTTAATGTAGCTGAGCCAGGAAAACCAGAAAAGATGACAGAGTCTGATAAAGAAAACGCAACAGATTCGGAAAGCCATCGTTTGCCAATGGATGGTAGTGATGTTGATTTGGATGAGTATGAACGAAGATTGATTGCTAACACTCGTGAAGCATTGGCGTTAGTTGACCAACTATGCAAGGATACTCAAGAACAACAAGAAAGGAGAAGAGCTAGACAGAAGGAATATGTTGATCAGGAGAAGAGAGCGCTGCTTGTTCAAGGGTAAGATTTTATATTGTTTTGTTTGTTTTTAGGTAACATTTTTGGAGTTTTTGGGTTTTATTGGAGAATTCATGAAGTTGCTCGTCAATTCATGGATCAGTTTGACTTTATTTTACTTTATAATTAGTTTATATTAACATTCCCTCTTTCCAGAAGCGATCTTGATGTAGAGACGTTCAAGCTCAATCCCGAACTATTGGAAGAGCCTCAAGCTGTACTGATGATTCCAGATAACAAATTGATCATTTTGGATAACAAACTTGGACTAACTTTGTTAAATTTGGAAACGAAAGAAGTGAAAAGAACGCCAAAGGCTGAAGATTGGAGGGATTTGGAACATTTATGTTATATGAAGTCACAAAACCAAATACTTATGGTTTATGAACAGAAAATTGAAGGTAAGGGTTTATATATTGGTTTATGCTTACAAATGATGTTATTATATTGATATAACGCTTCATTTTTGTGTATAATGGAAAGAACTATCTAAAACAATATAGTTTTTTCGAGCAAAAGTTTTAAATAAAATGAAATTTTTGATTTAAAAATAGGAAAACACACTACTTTGAAGAACATGATGTGTTACATAATTTTAGACGTCAAACTTGCTCAAAATGCTTGAAAATGTAATTTAGATGAGGCCGGTTACGTTAAATCCTTGGCTCGATTTGATCTTGATCTCAATATTATCAGTAAATGTGAAACCCCAAAGATCTTGCGAGACAAACCCGTTCACAATTGTCGTATCTGCTACGTAGAACAGACGGATTGTATTTACTTGGCCGTGAATTCACCAAACAATTGTTATATCTACGAGTTGAAGGAGAGTCGAGGTACACATAGGTGGACAGAGATCTACAACATGAGAGGAAAGCAAATTGCGGACATTAATGTGTTTGCAGTTGTTGGTATGTTATATTTTTTATGTTGTTTGTGGTTTAGAGAGCTTTATTGCGATTATCGTTGAAGTATTGGGTTTAAAAGTATGTAATATATTATTTTAGGTCAGTTTTATAACTAGTATATTATACCTTAAACCATTTTTACATTTTTTTCAAAAAATCAATGTTGTACTCGCTTTTCAGGTCCAATAACCGAGCTCTTGGTGGTGGAATCAACTCGTCGTCACATGATCCTTCTCTGTATCTACGAGTCAAACCTGGCAGAACGCTCAATGTTAGCGTTCTGTGCCGAGCCAGCTGCCATGACCGTGGACGAATGTCAGAATGTAATTGTCTTTGATAGAGCCACGAATCTGGTCGGTGTTTACTGTCGACTTCACTTCCAAAGAATGCGAGATTTGCTAGCCATTGGCCGAGCCAACTGCCAATTATCTGCTCAAAATGGATTCTTGGCTTTACTCAACAAGTCTGTGAACGAATTAAGGATTTGCAAGTATTAAGGTTTGAATTAAGATTTGAAATTATATTGTTTTAGTTTATTTGTAGATGTTTTTGATATTACTTTCATTTTTTAGCTTGTTTTTATATTATAGTAGGTCTTTAGAGCAATTTTTAGCTTATTTTTTACTTTTTTTTAGTTCTAACAATAGCTTTTTGTGTTTCATTGTACTATCACTAGAATCTTGATACTTTCAAATTGTTTTATTTGTATTTTTTTGGGAAGTTGTACATTGTATTTAACGAAATAAACGAGGTAAACATGACTAAAGGTATCGTTTTGGACTTTGATTGTCAATTCGTCTTATTTTCGATTGTTTTATCTAAATAATCTTCAATGTTAACATAGGCAGATGATTTTATTTTCAGATTAGAATCTATAATTCTGTATTTCAGATCAGTTTTGAATAATTTAGATTCCACTGCCTTCAACAGGACCATTGTTTTCATATGTCTCTTTAGCTTCAGCTGGCTGAATGTAAGCTCCACGAGCTGGACAAGGACAATATTGACCATCTTGGCCAGGAATACCATCACTTCCTGGTGTACCAGGACGACCACGTGGACCAGGCATGCCAGGATTACCCGGAGCTCCAGTATCTCCTGGTTCCCCAACAACACCATCAACACTAGTACCAGGTTGACCTGGCTCACCAGCTTCTCCCGCTTCTCCTGAAGCACCTTGTGGACCGGGAGCACCAGGAATAGCCTTGACTCCAGAAGCGCCAGGAGTTCCGTCTTCACCTGGTACACCATCAGCACCACCTTCGCCTTGATCGCCTTCTGGGCCTGGTGGACCGGGAGGACCAGGTGGTACTGGAACAGCATCGGATCCGTCGGAGCCATCAACACCGGGTACTCCTGGTGTTCCTGGAGCGCCGGCCGGGCCTGGTGGTCCAGCTGGGCATTTGACACAGGGTTGTTGGTATAGTACGTCGCCGAGAGCGTTGCCGGACATTCCAATACGACCAGCTGGGCCTGGGACGCCTGGGGTTCCGTGGATTCCAGGACGGCCAGGTGGGCCAGGACGGCCTGGGGGACAGTTGTTTGGTTGGAGACCACATTCTGTAAGAAAACGTTTTATAATAGTGCGAAATTTTTAAATTCTAAAAGATATGATGAGTAAAAGATATAACATACTGCATTGAGCCGGAAGTCCAGAAGACTGTCTTCTTTCTCTGAACATGCTTTCAAATGGCAGTCTTGACTTCAATGGTTGAGGCTTCTTTGGAGCAGCGTTTTGCATCGCCATCATTTCGCTCCAGGCATCTTTTGTCAAGTTCTGTAATTAACATTAAGGTAAAAGTACTTTTTACAGTATGACCTAAAGGTACTATGTGAAATAATGCTTTTTTAAGGTACTGTAATTTAGTACTATTCTATCTGTCACTATGGTAACATTTTAAAGTCATTTTAGTATCGAAGAGTATAAAAACCCACATTGAACTCATAGATGTCGCCCATCAGTTCATCCCTCATTTCAGTGATTTCACTGTACATTTTGCATGTTATGTTGAGTGTCATAACAATAGCACCGGTCGAAATAATGACCGCCGCTATCGTAGCGACTTTGCCTGGCTCCATCTGAAATTTATTTATTAAAAGTTTTTTCTTTGGTTAAAAAATGATATTTTTTGTATAAGATAGGCCTCAAGGAGACCGACACACCAGGGCCCTCAGGGCATGGTCAAAAAATTAAAAAAAAAGTAACTGAAGCTCATTTAAAATAACTAAAAAAATAATTTTTAGGCAATAATTCACCCTTTTTTACGTTGAGCAATACCTCCCCCCCCCCTTCCTCACCCCACCCCTCCCCACCTCAAAACCTACTATAATATAAACCTTTACATAAAATGACCCAACAGTTTAATGTAAACCAACGCAGTTTAAAGATATTTTAAATGGGTGTAGTTATAAGAATAAAATCCGGATTGGAACGGGTTTCTTTCCCATTAACAAACTCCTAAAATGATGATTCGCGCTTCCGAAGGCTTGTTTCATCTTGTTTCGAATGGTAACTCATCTCGTTTACGCGATTGAGTAAAGCATACGATGAGAAATGAATCGAAAAAGTGTTGAAAATTATGGAATTATAGGCAAACGTTTGGCATACAATTAAAAAAGGCTTTGACAGTAAATTTTGGTCAGAGGTGGGTTGATAAACAGGGGGGGGGGGGCGAGAGTGGGGACAAAGGTGGATTAAACTTTTTTTTGAAAAAAGATAAAGGTTTTTATAAGGGGTTATCTTTGTTGCTTTTTACAAAAAAAAAGTTTTAAATATCCCCCCCCTTCAAAATAAAATTCACCCTGCCCGACCCATAAAAAATTTTTTCAAATAAATTATGTAACTTTAAAGTACAAACAACTAAATTTTTTTTTCTTTTTTTTCTCCCCCCCCTCTTCAAATGAAAATTTACCCCGCCCAGCAACTAGCAAAATCTTCCCAAAAAAATTATGCAAATTTAAAGTACAAAAAAACAAACTAATTTAAAACAAAATTTTGTTTAAAACTTACGAAATCAAAGTTCAAAAATCGACTGGTCCATTTTCGTTTCATTGTATCCATTTTTCGAATTACCGGTCGGACGGTGCTATTCAAGCGAGTGAATCAAAGATGGACAACGACGATAACCCACCCGCGGAATACAAGCCCTCGGAGACCATTCCGAACCTGCCCAACTACCGTCTCTATCTGGGCGAACCGGAGACGAAAGAAGGCTATGGTAGGGTGATTTCTCGGCTGGATCAGCCTGATCCGGTGAAAATCGACGAGGAGGACGAAATTGTTGGTGGGCCTAAGGGTAGGTTAATATGCTTTCGAGGTTTATTGAAGGGGCAGGGCATTTGATTTTAAAGGGGGGGGTGAAAGTAGTTTTTTTGTTATGGAGGGGGGGGACAAAAAAATTTTTACAAAAATTTAGGTGGATTTTTCTTGTGGGAGTGGGGGTTTGGGCAGGTCATTTTTTGAAAGTGGGTAAGGACAGCGGAAGAGAGGTATCAGGGGCCAGATGTTCAAATTAAGCTCTTTAACCTTACTATACCTCTCCTTTTCAGCCAAGATAGAAGACATGCCTAAAGCCGAGTACCTTGAAAAGCTGTCTGTCCAAACAGGCGTGGCTCAAAGCCAGACCAGCTTTTCCAACGTTCACACTGAGGAAGCGAAGAGTGAGTACACCGCTCATGACTCTGAAAGCTGGGAGAATGTGAAGACGGCGTTGGAGAATGCGGAACTAGTCGATATCTACAACGGAATGTCGCCGGCCGAGTATCTGGAGACTCTGAATGCTACAACGGCACGGTGCTCAAGCTACAGCAATCTGAACGCTGAGGGTGGAGAGTTGAAGGCAGATGGTGGTGGTCTGCAGGCTCAGTATGGTGGAATGCAGGCCCAGTATTATGCTGGTGTGAACGCTCAGTATGATGTTGATGTACAAGCTCAGTTTAGTGCTGGTTTGGAAGCTCAGTCTGGTGGTATTGGAGCTAATGAAGGTGGTTATCAGCCAAGTGATGACGACCCAAAGACTGGTAGAGCCGCTGGGCCAGCCGAAAGTGCATCCAAAGCCAGTCTTGACAGTTCGAAAAGCACGGCCTACGAAAAAATGACTCCGGCCGAGTATATAGAGCAACTGAATGTGCAAACCGCGGCCGAAAAGAACAGTCTGACCAATGTTCACACTGGAGAAGAGCACAGTCAGCCAATTTCTCCGGCCGAAGACTCGAACAGTCAAAATGATATGGATCGTAAAGGATGCGACTTGACTCAAGTTGAAGGTGAGGAAGGCCTGAAGACTGGAATTGAGAAGAGCTTGCGTGAGCTGGAGGCTGGTGGAAGAGCATCTGGTCTTCGTACTGGAAGAAGCGCATCAAATGTTAATCTTCGTACTGGAAGAAGTGCTGAAACTAGTGCATCTGGTACTCATGCTGGTACCTTTGGAGCTAATCTGCGTACTGGAAGAGAAGCTAGTGCGTCGGGTACTGATCTTCGTACTGGAAGAGAACGAATTCTATCAAATCTTCGTACTGGCCGTGCCACAGATGAAGACGTTAAAACTGGCGTCTATGGTGAAGATGAGATCACTAGACGTGAAGACTTGAATCCAGAAGAGTACTGTGAACGTCTCAGTGTGCAAACCGCGACCGAACAGAACAGTCAGGCTGACGTTTGCACTGGCGAAGAGCACAGTCAGCCAATTTCTCCGGCCAAAGACTCGAACAGTCAAGCAGGTTTGGACCACGAAGGACACATGGCTCAAGTTGGTGATGAAAGTCTCAAGACTGGGCTGGAGAAGAGCTTGCGTGGGCTGACTTCTGGTGGAGGGGCTGCTAACCTTCGTACTGGAAGAAGTGCTGAAGCTAGTGCCTCTGGTACTAAAGGTGGTCTTTCTGGGGCTAGTCTGCGTACTGGAAGAGAAGCTAGTTTGTCTGGTACTAACCTTCGTACTGGCAGAGAACGAAGTGTTTCGAACCTCCGTACTGGAAGAAGTGCATCAAATGCTAATCTTCGTACTGGACGCCAAAGAAGTCAATCGAAGCTCCGTACTGGCCGAGAACGGAGTGCTTCAAACCTTTGTACTGGACGTCAAAGAAGTCTTTCGAACCTTCGTACTGGCCGTGCAACAGATGAAGATGTCAAAACTGGGGTCTATGGTGAAGATGAGATTACCAGACGAGAGGAAATGACCCCAGAGGAGTACCGTGAACGCCTCAGTATGCAAACAGTGGCCGAAAAGAGTGAGCACGATCTTCAAGCTGGAGCAGGTCAAGCTAATGTGAATGCCAATTCGAACGTTCCATCACATCTTGACCAAGTCATTGCTGATCACCTTGGTATTAATGCTCAAGACCTTGCTACAGCTCGTGGTGCCAATAGTCAAGACAATCTGAAGACCGGGTTGCTCGCAAATGATGAGATTAGAGCTTCTCAGGCTGACGTTCGTACTGGTCGAAGTTCTTCAAACCTTGGTACTGATCAAGCAGCTTCTCAGGCTGATGCGCGTGCTGGAGCTCAATACGTAGAAGCCTCTCAAAACCTGAAGGCTACTATGCTTGGTAGTGATGAGATTACCAAACGTGATGATCTGACTCCAGAAGAGTACCGTGAGCGCCTCAGTGTTCAAACAGCGGCCGAAAAAAGTGAGAACGATCTTGGCGGTGGACTTGGAGCAGGTCAGGCTAATGTTAGTACTGGTAGAAGTGCATCAAATGCCAATCTGCGCACTGGAAGAACAGCATCAAATGCTAACCTTCGTACAGGAAGAAATTCTGAAGCTAGTACATCTGGTACTCAAGGTGGTATTTCTGGTGTTAATCTGCGTACTGGAAGAGAAGCTAGTGCATCTGGATCTAATGTTTGTACTGGCAGAGAACGAAGTGCTTCAAACCTCCGTACTGGAAGAAGTGCGTCAAGTGCTAATCTTCGTACTGGTCGACAGAAAAGCCTTTCAAACCTTCGTACTGGCCGAGACCGAAGTGCTTCGAACCTTCGTACTGGTCGTGCAGCAGATGAAGATGTCAAAACTGGTGTCTATGGTAAAGATGAGATAACCAGACGAGAGGAAATGACACCAGAAGAGTACCGTGAACGTCTCAGTATGCAAACTGCGGCCGAAAAGAGCGAGCACAATATTGGTACTGGAGCTTCGAATCTTAGTACTGGTCAAGCAGCTTCTCAAGCCGATGTTCGTGCTGGAGCTCAATACGTAGAAGCGTCTCAGAAGCTGAAAACTGCGATGCTCGGTAGTGATGAGATCACCAAACGTGAGGATTTGACACCAGAAGAGTACCGTGAACGTCTCAGCGTTCAAACAGCGGCCGAAAAGAGTGAGCATGATTTTGGTGTTGGAGGTTTAAATCTTAGTGCTGGTCGAGGTGCCTCTCAGTCTGATGTTCGTACTGGAAGAAGTGCTTCGAATGCCAACCTACGTTTGGTATGTCTTTTATATTTTAAGTGCACGTAATAGATAATTTTATATATTTTTTCGTTGTTTAATGAAAGTAAAATCTATATTATACTTGATATTTTGACTTTATTTAGGCCCCACAAGCTCAAAACCTTGGATCTTCTGGTAATGATGTGTTGGCAGCTCTGGAAGGCGTTAATCTTCAAGACCAACAAAGCATTCGTACTGGTAGATCTGCTTTGCGTGCCAATCTGAATACTGGCAAATCAGCTTCGCGTACCAATGTCAACACTGGCAAATTGTCTTCCAGTACCAATGTCATTACAGGCAAATCTGCTTCAAGTATCGACGTACAGAATCAACCCACTGATGTCAGCACTGCCAAGCCCGGAAACTTCTTGACCGATGCAGCTCGTGCACAAAGCCGTGAAGCTCTGAAGACTGCCCTCTTGAGTGAACTCGACGATATTACCATAGCCGAAGACTTGACCCCGGCCGAATACATTGAACGATTGGGTATTCAGACTGGTGTTGAGAATAGTGCTCACAATCTACGTACTGGTAGAGGAGCGTCTCAGGTCGATGTTCGTACTGGAAGAAGTGCTTCAAGGGGCAATCTGCGAACTGGAAGAGAAGCTAGTGCATCTGGTACTAGCCTTCGTACTGGTCGTCAGAGAAGTCAATCAAACCTTCGTACTGGCCTAGAACAAAGCCTCTCAGATCTTAGTACTGGAAGAAGCGCTTCAACTGCCAGTCTTAGTACTGGACGTCAGAGAAGCCAATCAAACCTTCGTACTGGCCGAGATCAAAGCGCTTCGAACCTTCGTACTGGCCGGGATCACAGTGCTTCGAACCTTCGTACTGGAAGAAGTGCGTCGAGTAACAACCTCCGTACTGGTCGAGAACGAAGTCTATCAAACCTTCAACTCCGTACTGGCCGTGCAATTGACGAGGATGTTATAACAGCTATCTATGGTGAAGACGAGATCACCAGACGTGAGGACTTGACTGCTGACGAGTACCGTGGACGTCTCAGTATGCAAACGGCGGCCGAGAAGACCGAGCACGATCTCCTTGGACTGAACCTTACGACTTTAACTGCTAGAGAGTACGACAGTACTGAGGACTTGAAGACTGCTACAAAGCAGACATATGCCAATTCTGATCCGACTTTGGCTGAACTTGCTCAGCATTCTTAGAAGAGTACGCGGGGAGCTCTGTCGAAGAGTACAATATATTTTTTGAAATAAATGATTTTGAATTTTTATTTGGAAGGTATTGATGTTGTAGTAGCAAAATTACCGTTTATATTGTAGTAAAGTAGTATAAAGCTACTATGTTGTAATAGAGTACTATTAAGGTATTATATTATAGTAGAGTAAGAGCAAAATGCCCAAAAATACATGGTTATTAAAACATTACAGACTCACCGACCGTACATTACCGTAGGCTTGACGGCGGTCTGAAAGTGATTATTCGTCGATAGGACCTTCTTTGATGCCAAATTGAAGACGGGTCGACTTTGGCGGCGATTATTACCGTTAAAACCATATTACCGGAGGAAGTGGCACATGCACGTGGGAGGCCGTCATATTCATTATGATTTCGACTAATGAGTGGCTCTTCATTTTTTAGTGGGCTGAAGAGTAGATCGTTTTATAATACTGTATTTTTTTAGAGTACGGTGTTTTTATAGTACTTTAGGCTTTGAAATGACTGGTTTGAGGGTATGGCCGTATACTTATAGGTACTATAATTTGTATTAGGTACTATGTTGTCTTAATTTTAATTTTAGTTATTTCAAAATTTAAAAGTTGACTTTACTAGGTTGTTCAAATAATGCTGTGCCTTCTATTATAGCTCCAAAAATTTGCATTGAAATGTTATTCAGTGGAACTCCTGTATAACGAACTCATGATAAAAAGGCTTGAATAGAGTAGCTCCAATCCATTCTAACGAACTAGGCATGGAGATCAAAATGAAGCTCGAAGTTTTAGCTCTGCCCGTTTTTTATTTTTCTCAAGCCCGCTCCGGCTCGTTCTCCATGTCTATAACTAGAAACTTTTTAGTTCGAAGTAGCGTGCTACACGTATTGATTTTAGTCTCATGAGAAGAGCGGTTATTTAAAAAAGCGAAAGTTTAAACCAATCCAGCAAAGAGGCCACATTTTATTGGGAATACAGGCCTCAGATACGCACATCAATTACCTTAAAAAATGTAAAACATCTCCTTTATGTTATAATGGGAATACATCGGTATATTTCTATTAGATTATTCAACAAGACATATCTTCTTGAGAATACATCCTATGTCTATATTTAATGAGAATACACTAACCTCTATATTACCATACAGTAACCTTTTATATTATCATGCGAATTCCAATTAGTTTTCGAGCACCGGAAGCATGCCTTGAATTTTGCGCCGATTTCAGAGAGTTTTGTATTATCTACTGGCACTGGTCGGACATATTCCGATTCCCAGTACATACATAATATTATAAGTGTCATTGCTACCTATTGCATTATGTATAACCCTCGAGGTATTAAACATAATATGTCTGCGCTCTCTCGTTTTCAAACTCTATTTTCAGATCCCTCTCCGATTGAACTGCCATATAGGTCCAATTCATTAAGAATACGGCGGAGTTGATAACGCAACATCCACATTAGTGTAATAAGGGTCATAAACTAAAGGGACTAGGTATCAAACACAAGTGATATCCAGGATAACCGGTTGATTGACGTAACGACCAGTAGCCACTGGACTAGTTCCCTTTCCCATGATAATATTAGCATACAAGTTTGTTTGAAATTAAAAGTCGGAAGCTGATCATACCATCTTCACTTGTACTTGTGAGTTTGGCAGTAGCTGGTCGGTTAACTTTACTTGCTAAAGATAATTTCTTAGTTATTCCTGAACTGTTAAAGGCTTTGTACTGTCAAAAGTGAGAAGTACTTTTAAAACCTTGTGAATAAGTTGCTATTATTACCTTGTACGATCGAGATCATCATGGTTCGTCACTGTCTGCTTTTGTGGAGGTTCTTGTTGGATTTGTTGGCCGATGGACGGTATACTCATATCATCAGATGGATTAATCAAGAACGTGCTGAATTTAAAGTGGGGTTTGTTTGGTTTTTTAGTACTATATAGTATTACAAAATTTAGTACTTTATTGTATTTTAAGCTTTAGTACTATATATCAGCTTAAACATTAGTACCTAAATTAAATTTTTCAATTTTTTTGTCTTACGATTTGCTTTGAGACTGAGCAAAGAGCTATAATAAATTAACCGTCATTCACTTAATTTTGCGCTCCTAATCTTATTTTTACAAACTTTAAACCTACAATACTATACTTATTTTAGCTGATTGAGCCAGAAACCGTAGCCCAACTCTGGGGTCTTAAGAAAAACAACCGCCCTATGAACTACGAAAACCTCTCTCGAGCCATCCGTACCTACTACCAGAAGAACATAATGAAGAAAGTAAAAGGCAAAGAATACGCTTATCGGTTTGTGACTCTGAACAAACATTCTTTGAAGGAATCAGAAGGCAATTCAGATGAGAGTGCTTATTCATCCTTGTCCACAACTTCGAATACATCGACGGATTCATCAATGGAAATGACAAACGATTTGTCAAACAATTGTCGTTTGTTTAGTGTTAACAATATTGTTCATTCACAGAGCAGTGATAAGACCGCTGCTTCTTTAAAGTTGGATATGAAAAATATTGGGCTAAATAGCATTAAAGATAGTGCTAATACTAATCTTTTTTCAGGTTTACTTCCATTTTCAGCTGGTGCCACAGTATCATCTACAGTACCAAATGTATCATTGACATTACCATCAGGTGTATCTAGTTTTAGTAACCTCTTTGCTAACAGTTTTTCAGGTCAACAGGTTGCTCCAAACAACTTTCAAAACGTGCCACTTTTGAATAGCATAGACCAAATGAACAACATGGGTAATACCAATGCTCAGTATGATATGTTTAACCAGATGATGTTGTTACAAATGGTATTGAATTGTAAGTAATTTAAATAATAATTTTTCAAAAGAACTTTTTTATCATATATTATTGAGTTTTTCAAATAATTCTGTGCTTTTAACCCCTAAAATTTGATTCAAAAAAGGGGGTTCAGAATAATTTGGATAACTTTTTTTTTATTAGTTTTATTATTATATTAGATAGTACAAATAATTATGTGCCTCTTAATAAAAATAAAGTTGTTTTGAGAAGGAGCTCAGAATTTTTTTGAACAACCTGATAGTACAGAAAACTGTATCAAACCAATGTAAAAAAAATTTAATTAAAATATTTCTCAATTATTTTCAGTTTCCTCAATGAAGCAAGCCCAAGCAACCCAACCTAGCACTACCAAGTAGAACATAGCTTCTATATTGTAAAACATTTTATACTCAACTTTTAGGGTAATTACCACTTCTAATCCTTATATCTAACTTATCAATCTCATATAAGAGTAGGTTTTTCAAATAATTTTGTGCCCTCTCTCAAATCAAATTTGCTAAATTAAGGGGCACAGAACAATTTGAAGAACTTAATAAAATAAGGTATATCTCCTGTCATAACTCTCTAATATCTCGCTTGCCGGTACTTTTTTCGGTGGACTGATAAGGTTCATCACATATCTCTTCATAGCTACATATCTAATTCGTTTGTCTTGTAAGGGCTATATCAATGTTTACATTGGTATTAGCACAGTCTTTCATTAAAAGCAATCTATGTCTTGTCATAAAAAACTACCTCGGTCTTGTCATATTAGGTTACTAAATATCTCGGTCTTAACATAGGAATCAATCTCGGTCTTTATCTCTCTTCATACCTCTAGATTCTTCATACTTCTAGATCCTTATATCTCTTACTGTATCTTTTATTATTTATTTCGCCAATATTTCAAGGAATTCATTTCTTGTGAAAAAAGTCTTGTAATATATGTTGTGTATAGTATTGTTGATTTTTTTTAATTTTTAAATAAATTTTTTATTTTCAAAGTTTTGGATTTTTTTGTAGAAAACACTAACCTTTCTTGTTGTCAATAATCAAAAGAATTATCCATTATATTCAAATCAAAATCTAAAAGTTACGTTTTTAATTTCCGGCCAACTTGGCATTGTGTTTTAAGCTTTATAAAATTGCCATTTTTTGACTTTTTAAAATAAAATTACAAATTTTTAGTTATTACAGTGAAACTGTATATATAACGAACCGCTAAAGGATTTGAAATGTGTTTGTTATAAAAAGGTTTTGTTATACAGAGGTCTTAAATGCACTGTGTAGTGCTCGCCGAGTATTCAAAAGTTGTTCTTTATACTTTTTATAGGGGGTTTCGTTAAATAGGAGGTCCTTATATAAAGGTTCCACTGTACCTAGCTCTTTTCCAGGCTAAAAGGACCGGTTTGTCACTGATAATAAAAATTCTAAATTTTTAAAAGTATTTCCTCTTCTTCTAATGTAATTTCGTTATTGATGAGCTTGTTATACAGGAGTTCCACTGTGTATAAAATAAAGAAGTGTACCAGTGTGACTAATAACAACAAAACGCTTATTTTAAAGTTGTAATTAGTTATACTACATCTTATGTAAATTGTATGCTACATAGTAAAGATTTTAGTTTCATGATAAGAGAGGTCATTTTAAAAGCTAAAATTCAAACTAATCCAGCAAACAGAGACATTTTATTGGGAATACATGCCTTGTATCAATGAAGCTGACAAAAGGTTTTATGTTGTTTATAAACTGTAAACTGATCTGATGCTTTTAACTTGCGAATTTGTCGACCATCAATTACCTTACAAAAATGTAAAACATCTCCTTTATGTTATAATGGGAATACATCGGTATCCTTCTATTAGGTTGTTCAACATGACATATCTTCTTGGGAATACATCCTATGTTTATATTTAATGAGAATACATCAACCTCTATATTATTACACTCTAACCTCTATATTAACATAGATCTTTTACATTATCATGCGAATCCCAAATAGTTTTCGGCCACCGGAAGCCTGCTTCGAATTTTGTGCCGATTTCAGAGAGTTTTGTATTATCTACTGGCACTGGTCGGACATGTTCCGATTCTCAGTACATACGCAATATTTAAACTGTCATTGCTACCTATCGTATTATGTAAAACCCTCGAGGTATTAGACGTAATATGTCTCCGCTCTCTTGTTTTCAAACGCTATTTTCAGATCTCTCTCCGATTGAACTGCCATTTAGGTCTAATTCATTGGGAATACGGCGGAGTTGATAACGCAACATCCACATTAGTGTAATAAGGGTCATAAACTAAAGGGACTAGGTATCAAACACAAGTGATATCCAGGATAACCGGTTGATTGACGTAACGACCAGTAGCCACTGGACTAGTTCCCTTTCCCATGATAATATTAGCATACAAGTTTGTTTGAAATTAAAAGTCGGAAGCTGATCATACCATCTTCACTTGTACTTGTGGGTTTGGCAGTAGCTGGTCGGTTAACTTTACTTAGCTAAAGATAACTTGTTGGTTACTTCTAGACTGTTAAAGTGTGTGAATACATTCCTACTGTTACCTTGTTCAACCTTTTTCAACCAAGGTCATTATGGTTCGTCGCTGCCTGGTTTTGTGGAAGTTCTTGTTGGATTTGTTGGCGGATGAGCGGTATACTCATATCATCAGATGGACTAATCAAGAGCGTGCTGAATTTAAAGTGGGTTTTATGTTTTTTGGCTTATTGGTACTATATAATACAAAAACAAATTTTTAACTTTTAAAATTTAGTGTTACATAATACTTCAAATCTTAGTACTCTGTAGTACATTAAACTTTAGTAATATATAGTACTTTAAAAGTTAATATTATAATCAAATTATAATTGCTACTAAAGTAAATAAATAACTAGTTGGACACAACAAACTGAAGTTAGTGCCAAACTAAAATTCAAATTTATAAAGCCGTTCACTTAATTCTTCAAATTTAGTTTTTTGTACAAGCTTTAAACCTACAATAACATACCCATTTTAGCTGGTCGAACCAGAAACCGTAGCCCAGCTTTGGGGTCTTAAGAAGAAAAACCGCCCGATGAACTACGAAAACTTATCTCGAGCCATCCGTACCTACTACAAGAAGAACATCATGAAGAAAGTAAAAGGCAAAGAATATGCTTATCGTTTTGTTACTCTAGACAAACATATCTTGAAGGAATCAGAAGGAACTTCAGATGAGAGTGCTTATTCATCTTTGTCCACAACTTCGAATACGTCGACGGATTCATCAATGGAAATGACAAACGATTTGTCAAACAATTGTCGTTTGTTTAGTGTTAGCAATATTGTTCATTCAGAGAGAAGTGATAAGATCGCTGCTTCTCCGAATTTGGATATTAACAATGTTTTACTATCTAACATTGAACATAGTAGTAATACTAATCTGTTATCAGATTTATTTTCGTTTTCAGCAAGTGCCGCAGTACCAGAAGTATCAACAGTACCATTTCCGGTACCATCACCTATAGCTAGTACTAATAATTTTTTTGCTAACAGTCTTTTAGGTCATCAGGTATCTCCACTTCAAAGTTCATTACCTAAAATGACTGGAATTGTCTCAAACAGTTTTCAAAACGTGCCACTTTTGAATAGCATGGACCAAATGAACAACATGGGTAATACCAATGCTCAGGATGATATGTTCAACCAGCTGATGTTGTTGCAAATGGTCTTAAATTATAAGTTAAATAATTTTTTTTTAAATCATTGTTTTCTCGCTTGTATTATTTGGTTGTTCGAATAATCCTTAACCCCAAAAATTTGGTTCGAAAAGGAGCTCAGAATTATTTGAACAACCTATGATTATAGTATTGACAATTGTATCAAGCCCAAACTTAACTATTTTTAAATTCAAATATGTTTCAATTATTTTAAGATTCTTCAATGATGCAAACCCAAACAGCCCAACCTAGCTCTACCAAGTAGAACAGAGCCAGCTTCTATATTGTACAACATATTACACTCAACTTTTAGGATAGTCACCACTTTTAATCCTCGGTCTTAACATAGGAATCAATCTCGGTCTTTATCTCTCTTTATACCTCTGAATTCTTCATATCTTTAGAATAATCGTACCTCTAGCTTCTTCATACCTCTAAACTCTATATATCTCTTACGGTATCTTTTAATATTATTTTTGCCAATATTTTGAGCAATATCATTTCTTGTGAAAAACAGTCTTGTAATATATGTTGTGTATAGTATTGTTGATTTTTTTTAAGTTTTAAATAAACTTTTTATTTTTTTTTAATTTTTGGAAATTTTTTTTTGAAAAGTTTGATAGTATTGTTTCTACCAAACTCTACCTGTTAGCAATAATCAAACCCAGTTCAAAATAAATAACAACATCAAAAAACCTCTTTATACAATATTAATATTAGGGTTCAAAACCGACTGTGAATAATTAAGCTCCGTCCTCAATGCCTTAGCATCTGCTGGAATGACATCATCATCCATCAGATGAGCCATTTCCATCAGTTCATTAATTTCTTTTTTCATTTTATAAGCAGTGTGTCGACTTTTGGCATTCTCCGACCAACATTCCTTCATAATGTCAGTTAGATCTCGGAGGACAGCATTCGATCCATTAGTCCACTCTTCTTCCAATAAAGGCCGCTTTTTGTGTTCACATACACAGAGGCGCATCTCTTCGAAGGATGGGTCACTTTCGACCAAGTTTTGGTAGGGAAGACTAGGTGGACGGGCTTCTATTGTCTGGAGAAACAAGATATTTAGTTATTATGGTAGCTACATAATATACCCTACCCTACCCTACGTACCCTACTGTACCCTACAGTGCCCTACCGTACCCTACCGTACCGTACCGTACCCTACCCTACCGTACCGTACCCTTCCCTACCCTACCCTACCCTACCCTACCCTACCCTACCCTACCCTACCTTACCCTACTCTACCCTACCCTACTAATTAAAGTACGTCAAGCTTAGAAAATCCTATATTAAATACAACATAACCTACCGTATTACATGAATCCCTCGACCGATAAAGCTCCAATGACGGCCGATACCTTAAGGGACTGTAGCTGGTACCAGAGCTTGTAGCAATCCCAGAACTGGAAGAAAAACTGACCATTCTCTTGTGCGTCCGTTGGTATACGTTACTTTTTGGGGTCTGTAAGAGGCTTTTTATATAAAATTTGGATAAAACGTAAAAAAAGTGTTGTCGCTTATTAATTTACAAAACAATAGAAATTGACGACAAGACTTTGTCCATCTACTTAACAGGAAGGCTAGTTTTAATTAAACTTTAGTTTTGTAAAATACGGTGTCCCAACGTATATCTTCCAAAAAAATGTCAAAAAATTACTTGAATCCGATTGATAATCTCCCAGATGACCAAAGCAAACGAGTAGATATCGGCCATTTTGAACTCGTCGAAGTGCTTTACGTTCAAAGCATTGTTTAGTATTTCTGGTGCCATATATCGTTTCGTACCAACTTGGACATTCAACTTCGCCGGTAAAATACAGTCTTCTTCCCTATGACATTAAATAAGTTAATGAGTAAGGTAAAGTATTACGATATCAACTAACATTAAAGTTATGAAGTAAGAGTAGAATAAGATAAAAAATGATAAAGAAGAAGTACAGAATTTAAGTTAAGGTGATGCTATAATAGGAAGGAAAGGGTAATTAACTCACAATCGAACGGCCAATCCAAAATCAGCAATGCAACAGACACCTCTTCTCTTCACAATAATATTTTTCGATTTTATGTCACGATGAGCAATCTGAGGCTTTCTTCTGCTGCCAGTGCCGTGAACAGCATTATGAAGGTGCTCTAGGCCAGCACAAATTCTGAAATTAAGAAACATAACTTTATTGCATAAAATACAAAAATAAGTTCGTTGTACACCCGTTAAAGGGCCTCGCTTTCGTTTGACACCCGGCTTTTAAGTCCACATGCGGCGGCTAAACCCGGAACCTTACACACTTGCTTCAGCTAGAGCCAGCTGGGCCTAGTAAACAAAGCTGCGCTCAGTGGGCCAAGATGACCCTAGTAGGCCGAGTCAAGCCTGGTAGGCAGGACCAAGCCTATCAAGCCAGGCCTAATAAGCCAAACCAAGCCTAGTAGGCCGAACCAAGCCCGGTAAGCCAGACCAAGCCTAGTAGGCCCCCTTCAAAGCCTAATTCAAAAAGAAAAAGTTTTTATTCATTTTAAGTCGTTGGCATAACGTTGCAAACAAATTTTAACTTTTTTTTGAAAAATAAGGATATTTTATATGACTTATCACTACATTTTAAAAAAAAATTTTTTAAATTTCAAAATTTTACCCTTGAATGTGTCCCAGTGCTTCCTGTAACGTGAGTGGTTCACTTTTCCTCAAGTAATCATATAGTGAGCCAAGAGAATGGTAGTCCGTTATGAGTAGCATTTGAGTCAAGGAATCAATGTTACTGCTGATATCCGAGGCTACGTATTCTAAAAAAGATGAGTTTTATTTTAAAACTGTGTTGAAATATCTTAAAATGCAATTTAAATGTAATTACTAAGTTGTTCAAATAATTCTGTGCTCGGTCTGATTCTTTTGCAAGTCAAGTAAGTTAAAGCTTTTGTCTTGTTTTTTACAAAAAATTTTTATATTATGGTGTTCAAATAATTCTGAGCCTCCTCTCAAAGCAAATTTTTGGTGTTATAGAGCACAGAATTATTTTAACAACCTAATATACTAAAAGAATTTTAACTTACGTAGAATATTTTCATGATTGAGCATTTGAGTCTGATACACGTCTCTTTCATTCTTCCACGACTCTTCTTCTGTCGTGTAAAAGGTCTGGAAGTACAATATATTAATCCTTAGTACTTAAAAAAGAAGCACGCTTAGCCTAAGGTTTTTCAAATTAGCATAGTCCCAACCAGAGTTCCCAAATTTCAAAGTTCCAGCTCAGGCTCCGCCTTTTTTTAAATCTTAGCTCCGGCTCCGGAGCCCGTCGGAACTCTGGTCCCAGCTCAAGCCCAGAAAACCGCTTTTGAGGCCTATTAGTATCATATTATTTGCATGATAACAAAAATATTAAATTTTTAGTGAAATACATTAATTCATAATGTACATTTAAATTTCTAATTTAAAAAATAGTTTTTCCTACCTTAACAGCAACAATAGTGTCACGGTAAATAGCGCGTCTAACTTCGCCGTATCTTCCCCTAGCCACCAACTCTAGCATAGTCAGATTCAAAGCTATTGTACGTTGGTTTAAGGTCACAAGACCTGATCCTGACCCTGATCCACTTCTGAAAATAATTGCTTTCCAGGATGTTAGTTCGTATTTTACAACAAAAACAAGTAAATTTTAAAATTTTTTAAAATTTCATCTGTTACTTGCAGTAGAACTTGTATACAAATCGTTCAGAAATTTCTAGTTGTTCGTTATAAAGAAGTTTAACTGTACTTCCTTTGAAGCTTTAAAATTACAAACTTACTCCCATGTACACTCTGATCCACAATAACTCTTTTCATTATCTTGTAACCCCAATAACGCATTTTGATTTGGCAATGAATTCTTTATTTTTCCTGAAAACATTATATTATTAAATTGTTCAGAAAGTTCTAACAATAAGACAGCTTTTTAATGACTTACCAGACCGTTTCAAACATTTTAGAATTAAAACAACAGCAATATAGAGTACGGAACCACATACAACGGCAACAACAATGAACAATATCAGCCTTTCGTAGTTGTGAAGTAAGAACACATTTTCTAAAAAACGTGGATATAATATACTAACTGCTAGCATAACAACAGCTTACATTAAAAACACTTTAAAAAGTATCAAAGTATAGTATCGTATCATAATATAGTATCAAAACCGCCATTAATTATACTAGGTTGTTCAAGTAATACTGCGCATCTATTCAAAGCGAATTGTCGGTGTTGGTAAGCACAAAATTATTTGAAGAACCTAATATAAACCTTAGAAACTTACCATCAAAACCATCACTCTCTACCACATTAGAATACTTGGGTGGAGTAATGTTAAGATTGCAATAATTCCCTTCATAACAACATGCTATACTTGTTGGGACTGAGTGATGACTTCGATATGACTGACACTAAAAAATTTACAGATATGATAATTCAAGATTAAATAAAATTGAAAAATTAAGTATTATAACATAAATACAATTTATAACTTACAGTAAGTTCAGAAGCTTCTGAACCAGCTTCTAATGCAGCACAACCATATGAGTGTAAGGTTATCATAGCTCTTCTTTCTTCATCGTACCTCTAAAGTTAAAAAGACGTTATAATACGTCTTACGTTATCTGATATTCCACTCCATATGTTTACATTGACTTTTTATGATTATATTGTATAGGTATATAACGTTCAATGTATAATTATCCCTACAAGTTAAAAACCAACTAAATCAGTACAAAATAGAAATCAATTACAGCACTTACTTCTTCCATGAGATGATAACAAGCTGCTTTTTCATGTTTCAAACAAGTTTGATTGTACTCACAGTAGTCGCCGTAGCTACAGAAGCACACGTTACTAGCAATCACATTCTCAGTGTCTATTATATGATGGTTATATGATTCAGGATGTAGTGGGGCTATAAAAATCTTTATCTTATGAAATTATTAAGCCGTTCATTTAGTTTTGTGCCCTCTCTCAAAGCAATTGTATTGTGAAGTACATTGTGAGATTAGCTTATCGATAAAAATCGTTTTCAGTAACCCAAATATTAACCCCCTAACCCGAAAATTTGCTTTGAAAAATAGCTCAAGATTATTTTAACAAGTTACTATTTAAAAAGTACTATCACAATACAAAAACAAAGCCTAATCTTATAGAAAATTGAACAAATAACCAAAATCTCTTAAAATTTACCGAAAAAAAATTATATTGTAGTAAGTTTTACACACTTCGTATTTTACCATATAAAATAAAGAAAAACTCACGTCCATTACTTAAAAAGCGTTTCTGTACATTTTTGGCATTGATGAGATCAATCGAAAGTAAAGTAAAAACAAGCAGACAGAACGTCTTATTCGGGCGGGGTAAAGTTATCATTCATTCGCATTCACAGCGTTTAAAGTATTTTATATCTTTAAAATGTCTGAAAGTACACAACAAGCTGTAATATTCGTTCTAAAATGACATAAGACGTTTATCGGTTCAATAACGCGATGTGGTATGAAAAAGTTTGTTTATATGTAAAAGACGGTCGATAAATAAGACGAACTTTATAAGAAACAAGCGTTTTTTACTCTGTAAGAATTTTATAAAAAAACTTTTCGATATGTAATACTGAAAAGCGCCAAATAAGCCTAAAATAGCACAACATCAAGTAGAGTAAAACCTCTTTAGTATGAACCTCAATAAAGTGACGCTCTCCTTATAATAGCAGCTTTTTGGCCACCATTCGTAATAGAAGCCCTATCAAAAAGTACATGTACCTTGATAATGTGACACCATGGTTACAAGGACAGGTTCAGATCAGTCCCATAAATGTTATACTAAACACATCTGACTGTACACAACTCAGATCCAACACCACTTTCCCTGCCATATCTAATTAATTAAAACCCAAAAAATCGCAAAACCGTGAGAAATTCGACGAGTTTGGAAAAGGTGGGGTTGAATCTAAACACTCGCTTTTCTTATCACCATCACATTGATTAAAGTGTTTTCGAAGTAGAACATTGAGAAGTTATGTAATTACTCAGTGCTTACAAATTGTTACAACGTCTTACAATGGTAACCAAGGTAGGTGAATATAGGTGTTTGTAAATAAAGGTATAGGTGTAGGTACGTCTTTGCGTGGTAACAAAGATACCACAAGGCAGTCAAGTGAAAAGAAATTTGCAAATTCACCGGGAGGATCGATTGAAAATTGACCAAATGGTAATTTCAAGTTTTTTAAAATAAAAAAATTAAATTTAGATCTGAGGGTAGAGTAAAAGTAAAAAACTACCCCTCCCCTCCATTTTTTACCTTCCTCAAAAGTAAAAAATTTTCAAAAAAAAATTTTTTTTGACGTCTCTCATAACGAAAGCACGTGACCGCCCTCAATACACCCCAAAACGTTTTTTTTATGCCTAAACCTTTGTAAAACCTTATTTGTAATCAATATTATCTGATAACCATGTTCCGCTTCCGGACACAAACTTATCAATTATAAAAAAATCAAAACGGTCAAGCCGCCATAGCTCAGTCGGTTAGAGCGTGGGTCTAATAAGCCCAAGGTCGCAGGTTCGACCCCTGCTGGCGGCAATGTATTATTTTTCGGTTTTTAATTAAATTTTTCTTAAAAATAACTGACCTGTACTTTCTTGATCATAAAATTGACACTTTTCTGTTCTTGTCAATCCAGGTTTAAATAATAAAACATTTTTTTTAAATTGAAAATTTAACCAATATATTGTTGATAAGCTCATAAAAAGCTAAAAATATAAGCTCGTGCCAAGTCTAACATAAACGCCCATTCAAAGTTTAAAATATAAGCCCTACCAAGCCCGTTAAGCCTAAAAACTCAAATTATTATACCTAAAAACCCATATCTTTCTAACTCTACTCTACCCTATCTCACCCTACCTTATCCTGTCATTTGTACTCAATTCTATGTACCTTTGCAATTCCAAAAAGAAATCACCTATCCCACCTTCTCAAAACAAAATGAGTAATATGTTAAACATGTTCGGAGAAGAGTCAAGTAACTGGCAGTGAGTGAACTAGAAACAAAGGCCATCCAAATGCCATAAATCGTGCGCGACTCCGCTGCTTCGTCAAAAAAATATTCAAAATTACTCTCTTACCTTTAAATTACTGGATTACTGTTTTTGGCTTTTAAATTTCAAAGAAATTAGCTTCGAATATGGTTTGATGATTCGTTTTTTTAAATTTAATTGTAATTCCATTTATGCCTTAAAGAAAGCCAACAAGGTACAGAAAAAATAAACATCGTTTTAAAAACTTCAAGCTTCGGCCCGAAAATTCAATTCAGAAGAACTCATTTATAAAGGACTTCTATAATGAAACTTCTACATGACAGACAAGTGTCAAATCTTCGCCAACGCTTCACAGCGCATTTAACACTCCCGTATACCAAAATTGCTTTATAACACACAAAGTTAAAATCCTGGAACAACTTGTTATACAATATCTCCAATGTATTTTGTAATTTAAACTCTCATTTCACTCCAGGCTTCTGGGTAATGCAAAAACTATCAGCCGGCACTTTCACACCATGGTTTTAAAAAATCAAGCTTCAGCACCACCAATTTTTTTAACTCAATTAAACTTTTTTTGTTCCTGAAAACGCGTTTACTACTACTATATAAGATTTATCCTACTTCTCATTTTTTTAAATTTTAATCTAACTTTTATGACATTTCCTGTTTTTTTCTCTTATATTTTACCTACTTACCCACCGACAAACCTAAAAACCCTCAAAAACATCACTTTCCTTTCAGTATGACATAAATTTATTAAATTAGATAAAAGTATTTGAGACTTTCCAAAGGTTACAAGTAAAAGAAAAGCAATTTTGAGACAAGAACGGCGACAATCCGGAGCCGCGTTAACCCCATAAACAAAGTCGTATCTACGTATTTACATGGTAAAATAAGTGAGCAAAAAGTGCTTTATGGTATCACAATTAAAATCGTTTAAAGACCGGTCGTTTATTGCCAATTACCTACGTCCAATCGATTTCCGGACCTCGATGATGTTTTAGGTTCGAACTCCGGCTGTCACATCGGCCATTTCGGCGAATCTGAAATAAGGATAAGATTAGAAATGGCAGTCAAATATCAAAAAATGTTAAATCAAAATTTTTTAAAATTTTATTTTTCACAAAAGGTCATTTTTGAGCACAACCTTTAAAAAAATGCAAAAAATTAAAAAACCCTCATTTCCAATGCAAAATAATCAAAACTCACGAATGTCCAAACTTGAGATGGATAAAGGTAAACACACATCCTAGTACTAGACACATACTGCCTATCACAATATACGCTATCCCTAAGAACTTGTTCTTTCCTCCAGCCCATGATGTTGTTGATATTACAAACGACTTTTTACCGTTAAAATCAGCTACATTGTAATCTGAAAATACATAAATTTAACAATCTCTGGAATACCTAAAACAATATAAGACTAAAATAAAGCTTTGTTACCTAAAATTCCAAAAATTAAAAACTTTGTTACCTAAAACCATTAACAACTTACTATTTTGAATAATAAGCGTGTAATTGCCCTTAGGCATACCATGTTGAAATCCAAGTTGATCTCTCTTTAAGATCCTGTACAATTTTCGGAATGATGGCAACGCTGCCGTCCTCATCCAAACGATAAAGTCGACGTTCTGAAGGCCGTTGTTGTCTGGATGTTCATCATCCAAATGACACAGGTCCTTTTGCCAATTCTGAGGCCTAGCAAAATTACTAAAGGCTGTACAGAGATCCACACCTTGTGGATTTTTGTACTTTTGCTTATCTACATCCCATACTACTCCTTCGTATGTCCATTCAACTTGTGTACCTTTTGAATAGACAGCGAATGTATCTAAAATAATAATGATTAATTTACGATTTTTAAAGCACTTTCGGATTAATTGGCAATTGCAAGCTTTATAACGTCGTCAAATATAAGATTTTAAACAAACAACCGAATTTTCCAGATATCTACTACGACGTCAGTAAAAACCTCAAAAATACTATGAGTTATTACCTAAAAACAAAAACCGATCAAATTTCTTACCGTTAAACATTGAATTAGCTATAGCTCCACACGGCAAAACTGGTTTTCCGTCAAGTTTATCATACGGAGAACAGTCACTCACATCTGTTGGAGCTAGCCACGCTAACTGTTGATCGCTCCGACTCTTCACGTATCTTCTGTGGTTTTGAAAGTAATTCTCCAACGCATAGTAAAAATATACATCTCCTTCAAAATCTTCCTGTAATTGAAATTCTACTGTGCATCGTTGTCCCAGCTGGCAATTATCGTATGATATCACTTTTTCTGATACTGAAAAGAAGACATTCTTTTTGATAACTCAAAAACATAACAAAAACTCTAATAAGATAACAACAAAGCTACTAAAAATAATACTTAATCGTTTGTTTAACAAAATAAAATAAAAACGATAAAAACCAATAAACTAACACCAGAAAAAGTTGGTTACCTAATTCTGCAGCTAACAACAACACTATTCCGATTGGAATGAAGATTATAGCAATCAGAAACACGGTTGGTATCGCAGTAAACGCTGTTAGAATCGGCTGCCATGCCGGTAGCTTCTGCTGCCTCAATTTTGAATCTAAAATCATAACATTAGATAAACAACCTAAAACCAAAACAAAAATAAATAACAACTTACCATTCGGCTTATTTTTAAGCTTCTTATCCGTCTCAGTGCCTGAACTTTCTTGAGAAGATGTGTTTGCTGGATTAGACGACGTTGTTTGAGCCATCCCAAGTCTATAACATCAAATATAAACTAAAATAATGTACAATATGTTAGCTAAAACTATATAAAAGAAGAAACTACAAATAAGGAAAGAAATCAATGTGTTGGTTATGAATAACACCAATTCCTTTCGTATTATTTTCTCGAGAGTCTCGAAAAATAGATTTTTTGTGCTATGGCAGGAAGCCATAGGCTTTTGCAAGCTTCGTTTTCGTGGTGGGACGCAATCATTTTTATGCTGTTGATGGTTTTCTGTTTTTTCCACCGTTATCTTTTGTAAAATACGTATTGACTCATTCTTTAACTTTTTTTATTTTATATATTTTGTACACTCAAGGTTTTACTGAGGGAGGTTCGTTCATATTACCATTAATATTTTTACAACGATTGTGATGCCATTACTTTATTCATACTTTTTACAGGACATAAAGTATATAAAAATAAGATTAAAAACCAAAATAAGTTTAGATTTGCTTGAAGCGGCGTCTGTAGCCGTTCTTGTTGTTGTTTGCGGCAGCTGGAGCGTCGTAGCCTCCGTTGCCGGCTCCGGCGCTTGGTGCGACAACTGGAGCTTGACGTGGTGGAGCTGGTGGGGCAGCAGGTGGGGCGTTGTTGCGTGGTGGGCATGGACAATATCCGGAGTCTTTTCCTGGGCCTCCTGGAGCTCCAGAGGTACCGTTGTCTCCGTCTTTGCCTGGCTCTCCTGGTTGGCCAATGCCTCCTTGTGGTCCTGTCTCTCCGGGTGGTCCGGCTGGTGGAGCTTCTCCACGTGGGCCTGGATGTCCACGGTTTCCTTGACGGCCCAACGGACCCTTGGGGCCTGGTGGAGAGGTGGCTTTGCGACCGTCCTGTCCTGGATGTCCGGTTTGTCCCTTGTTTCCGGCTGGTCCTTGTTCTCCTTGGTCGCCGGGTGGTCCTTGTGGGCCTGGGAAGCCGTCGTTGCCTGGGTAGCCGGCCTCTCCTGGATGTCCTTGGATTCCGGATTCTCCGGCGACGCCTGGAGCTCCTGGTGGGCCTGGTCTGCCAGCGGGGCACTTGATGCAGTCTGGTTTTGGCTTTGGAGTAGTGGCTGGGACCTCTCCTGGTTTGCCTGGGTTTCCAGCTTGACCTGGTTTGCCGTCGATACCTGGCTCACCACGGCTACCTGGGTTACCGGCTGGACCGGGTGGGCAGCTGTTGGCTACTGGAGCACAGTTGCATGAAGCCTGACGCTTGTTACGTCCGATGAGTTGGACGAAGGTTGGGCGTGGTTTGCTGATTCCGTTGCCGTTGGAGACGATCATGACTCCTTGCCAAGCTTCGTTGGCCATAAACTTGAATTCACGCATGTCTTCCATGACCTCATCGTACATGGAATTGATGTCCTGGAAGAGGACTCCAACTGTGATCAAGGAAACGATCACCACGAAGGCGGATGTGAAGGCCGCGAGTCCGGCCAAAACCTTGGTGCTCATGCTGAAATTGGTTTGTATATTGTTTTAGCTTACGACTCAGATGACTTTTGCAAAACTTGAGTAAAACAATGAAAATACAATATAAAATGGCATTTTAAATCAATTTTTGTTATCAAGAAATGTTTTAAAAGTAAAAAATAAGCTAAAAAAGATTAAAATATTACCTACCTTAATACCAAGGAAGCAAACTGGCTTGTTTTCCGAACCCGGACCCTCACCTTTTATAGTCATCTTGAGGTCGTTCCAACTGTTTTTTGTTTCCACCTAGGTTTTTGCACTTGGAATGTCATTATTTCACACTGTCTTCTGCTTAAAAAACTTTATCGTCAACGTTTCGCTGTTTTTTCGTTTTTCCACTGTTCATCGATGCACTTTTCGCTGTTCATCGACGTATTTTTCACTGTTTATCGACGTATCTTGCGCTGTTCATCGACGCACTTTTCACTTTTCGAACAAAGGAATTAAAAAAGTTTGCGCAATCTCGCCTGTCATGCCCTCGGGGCAAAATTTCAAACTCATTTTGACATCTGACACTGCGAAAAAAGCATGACATTCAACTTGTATTTTAATAATTTAGAACTTTTATTGATGAAAATTAATTGAAAAAAAAACCTTTTATTGAAAAAAAAGTTTGTGTAATGAGTTTAATATTCAGTTTGATCTTCTGCAAAAGGGTTTATAAAGTTGAGGTTTATAAGTGATTACTACTGCAGTGAAACCTCTTTAGTATGACTTTTGATAGTTTCACACCCTCTTTATAATGAAAGCTTTCTGATACTTGGTAATAGAACTCCTATCAAAATTAACTGGACTGTGTGAAATTCTGGTTATAATGTCACTTTGGTCTATTTTCTGGAATGTCATACTAAAGAGGTTTGACTGTACTCTTCAACTACAATATTATAATATTGTTCGCAGTCTCAAAGTAGACTGACTTCTTTATCACTTTCATTTTTAGTTTTCAAATCTCCTTGCCTTGGCCCAGCTAGAATGGCTAGCCTGAAAAGTTTAAAACAGACTAAAATCTTTTGCGCTTTAAAGTTTGCCCATATTTTCGTATAATGAACCATTTAAATTTACTTTATTACCTGTTGTAAAATCCCCTTATTGTATTAAAGGAACTTTCGTGGAGCTGTACTAGGCTAGCCAGATGTATTTTTGAAAAAATGCCAGTTTGGACTACAGTTTTTGTACTTTTCATTCATATATCTATCATACTGTATTGTGTAAAAAACAATCATTTTTTAATAATATTATCCAAGATATAAAAATACTTTTCACCCAAGAATTAAAAGTACAATATTTTATTAACTTTTTATGTACATTAATATATCTACACGGTACAAACTAACACGTTAAATCAGTACAAACGTTTTACAATCTAATTCTCTTCACATAAGATGGCACACCAGCGTTGGCTTCTGGAGTGTGAGGAGCAGCATGATGTTCAACTGGAGCGTGTTCAACACTCTCTGGAGCACTATCGTATCCGTGGTTGGCCGAACTGCCAGCAATAGCACCAGGTGGAGCGACGGCTTTTGGTGCAGCCACTCGTCTAGTTGGTTCTGGTAGTACTGGCGCATTCTCACGTTTGGGGCACTGACAGTAGCCGGAGTCTGGGCCGGGTGCGCCTGGCTTACCAACTTTGCCACCATAGCCAACTCGACCTGGAGGACCAGGTGGTCCCACTTTACCTTCTGGGCCTGGCTCTCCTGGAGGCGAGGGTGGTGGAGTCTCTCCAGATTCTCCTTGTTCACCACGTGGTCCTGGATAGCCGGGTGGTCCTTTTGGTCCTGGTACTGGAATCGACTTTCTTCCATCGCGACCGGGATGGCCTGGTTGGCCGACCAATCCAGGTGGTCCAGCTGGTCCTTGATCTCCGCGCGGTCCAGGTGCACCTGGATGGCCGTCGTTTCCGTGGAAGCCGTCTTCGCCTGGGATTCCATCACGGCCAGCTGGGCCGGCTGGTCCAGTTGGTCCCTTGTCTCCTGGTTCTCCAGCTGGACACTTGATACAGCTTCGACTGCTGGGTGGTGGAGTTGGTTTACTTTCTCCTGGAGCACCGTCACTTCCCGGCTTTCCTGGTGGACCTGGCTCTCCTGGTTCTCCCCGATCTCCTGGCTTTCCGGCAGCTCCAGCTGGACAGTTGGTAGCACGTGGAGCACACCAACAGGTGGCTTCTCTCTTGTTTCGACCGAAAAGTTCAGAGAACGAAGCTCCTTTGGTGTGACGATGGATAGGGCTACTGACGTGCATGATTCCACCCCAAGCGTCGTTTGCCAGTACTTTGAATTCTGTCATATCGTCCATGATTTCATCGTACAAAGAGTTGATATCTTGGAACAGAACGGCCGCGCTGTAGAGACAGGCTATGACTACGAAGGCTGAGCCAAAGGCCGCTACTACGGCCAGGGATTTGGTTGCCATGCTTCTGAAAAAGGTTATATTTATTTAAATATCAAAAATTATATTATTCATGATAATTCTATTTTAATACTGGATTTTGAGGTCCAATATAACGTTTCACAGCTCAGTATTACCTACTATAATATAATATTATCTATCAAAACACAACATCACCTCAAAAAAAATTAAATAAAGTCATATTAAACACCCATAACCCAGCCTAAAACCCTCTCTAAAACCTAAAACTTACCAATTAAGCCGCCAAACCAACTGGATTTCACACTTTCGACCATCACCTTCATCCTTAAATACCTGTTCGTCGCCAGAATCCGTTTCCTCGGGCGCTGTCCACAAAAAGTTGGAAGTCTCTGGAGATAAGTTGGGGAAACAAGTTAGAAACAGTAAAAAGTAAGAGTTGAAATCGCGAAAAAAGTGAAATCCAGACAGATTTGGCGAAAGATTACACAGATTGAGGAAACCAAGTGGACACACCTTAATCACCTTTATTGGTTTTTATGGTTTATTATCTTTCAGTTCGGGTTTGTTTAGAAAAGTAAGTTTATTTATGATGAGGTGGTAGTGAGGCCGCAACAAGAATCGGGCTGAGTACATAGTGTAAGTTACATGTTATGAGTAAGACAATATATTTGGAGGTCGTAAAAAGTTATTGGTAAATAAATTGTTAATGAAAATAGGCGACAGATGCCAGGTTTAGCAAGGAAAAGACGTAAGAAATTTTCAAAAACTAAAAACCAATCAAAAAAGACTTCAAGTAGCACCATTATAACAAACAAGACCCCTATTAATACTCTTAAAACTAACAAGGAAAGTGCCCGCCCTGTCCCACTAGATCTGGTTGATTTCAAACTTTTTATATAAAAGGATCATATAAGTATAAGATATTAAGCAAATTACTAAATTGTGCTTTCCAAACAATCTCGAGAAAACAAAGACCAAAAAATTAAGTTTTGAATTCCCCTCCAAATTAGCGTTGTGTTTCAAGCTTATAACTTTGTCATTTTTTGACTTTTGATCATTTTTCTTTGATATACTAGTAGAAAATCTTAAATTAGACCCATATTTTTAAATTTGTAAGCGTAGCTTATCTGGAAAGTCGAAAAAAAGGCTTGTAACTCAATGCCAAATTTGCCAGATTAGCGAGGCCCGGCGGTGTACTTATATAATTAAAGTATAAATCTCTAAAACAATAGCTAAAACTTATATGAGTACTATATGTGCTACAGAGAATTCATGTAAAAATTTTGGGCAGATTTGGAGGAGGACAGGTTGAGTACTTTCCTTTTAAGTATATAGTGTAAGTTATATGTCAAGAGTAAGATAATATAATTAAAAGTCATAAAAAGAACTCAATAAATTATTAATGAAAAAAGTCGGTTGATGTTACCCTAGCAAGGTAAAGGCCTAAGAAAATAAAACACTAAACACCAACCCAACATCAAGTAGTACCATTAAAGCTAAACTCCCCCCCCCCCCTTCTCCAAAATACGCTCCAAGTACAATAATACTATTAAAACTAAAAACTTCATCCAGAAACACACCCAGCTAACCGGTTTGCCATAAAACGTTAAAAAATTCAAAAATCAGTAGATGACCTTGTAAACTGTTAACATTACACAGCTCCTGACTCAAGTTCATCCTTTGTTTCAAAAAGAATTTCAAGCGAATTCCTCGACGAAACAGCCTGAAAATCAAAAAAAAAACTTGTTTTTCCCAAAAATAAAACTTTGGAGGCGCGAAACCTTAACGGATGATAAGAAAAAGTAAGCGAAATACCACTGCAGGTAGGGTAAGATACGATAGATGACAGACATAATAAAGAAGCTTCATCAAGAAGTTTGTGGAACCATTGTAACAAGCTTGACGTCTTTGTAAAACCATGGTATATAAGGCTTCTTGAGGAATGTAGAAGATCGTAGCTAGGTATCTGTTGCTTCTACAGGTAAGATATTTTTTCATACTGTAACATTTTAGTGGTACACTTTGGTTTGAAGCACTTACTATACATAACTGTAAAGTGTCTTTTCAGTACAAAATAGTAGTACTATCAAGTACAATAATAATAATCGTACTATCAAGTAACAAAAAACAGAATTACAGTACCTACTTTCAGATATGAGCCGTCTTCTCATTGGAACCGCAGCCGTAGGCTCGGCCGCTGCCGTTGTCCTTGCCTTGGTCAGCGCCCTCTACATCTACAATGACATCAACTCTTTGTACTCGGAGATCATGCTCGACATGCAAGAGTTCAAGTTGTACGCCAACGACGCCTGGGGCAACATGGTTAAGATCCAACGACCAAAGGTCAGCTTTGACACTTTGATCGGCCGTAACAAGCGTCAAGCTGAATGTGCTTGTGCTCGTCAAGCCAGTAGCTGTCCACCAGGCCCACCTGGACCACCAGGAACTCCCGGTCTACCAGGAGACGATGGAGCTCCAGGAGAAGCCGGAAAGGCCGGCCGTACTGGCGTTTCTCAATTGGACTACCCCGGACTCAACGGAGGCTGCATCACCTGCCCAGCTGGACCAGCCGGACCACCAGGCCCAGATGGACCAGTCGGTCCAGCCGGCCCAGATGGACAACCAGGAAACCCAGGACCTGACGGACAGCCAGGAGCTGCCGGACCAGAAGGACCATCCGGAGACCAAGGCACTTCAGGCAATCCAGGTACTAACGGACCACCAGGAAACCCAGGACAAGACGGACAACGCGCCAACCCCATCCCAGGACCACCAGGCCCAGTTGGACCAGTCGGCCCAGCTGGTCAACCAGGAAACGATGGAGCTGCTCCACCACCAGGCCCAGCCGGACCACCAGGACCAGTGGGTCCAGCCGGTCAACCAGGACAGCCCGGATCTGACGGTCAACCAGGTGGCCCAGGAGGACCAGGTGTTCCAGGTGCTGATGCTGCTTACTGTCCATGTCCAGCACGTACTGGTGAAGCTCCAGTCGCCGCCGCTCCAGCTGCCCAAAGCTACGATGCCGCCGCTCCAGCTAGCCAACCAGTAGAAACTGCCCCATCCGCCAAGACCGACTACCGTCGCAAGAAGCTTCGTCGTCAACGTCAACGCCAGGCCTAGACAGCCGTTGGCGAATGATGATTTTTTGATAAAATAAATTCTAAACCTTGAACTTTGGAAAACGGATCATAAGATATTATAGTAGATGTTATTTAACTAATTTTGTTGATGTATCTCTTAACAGACAATTTGAAAAAATCAAAGAAACCTAAAACCTCAAAAAACCATTATCTAAACGGTAACATAAGATAAATCAAATCTTAATGAAAAACTTCTGAATAAACTTGATTTGTAAGCATCATTTCTCAACCAAAAACTAATTAAAAATCAACTTCCAAATAGAAATAACCATGCAATTAGAAGTATAACTACCTGCTCATTAAAAATGACAAAGTAAAACCTAAAGAAACTTGAATATCATAGTAATATAGACCTGTAAAGATTGAATATCACAGTAATATAGACATAAAACTTGAATATCATAGCAATCCAGACCTAGAAATTTACAAAAGACATGAAAGTCCATAAGTTAAATCCTAAATCGCACGTTCCAGAAAATTTTGAGAAAATCGAGATCAAAAAATTACGTTTTGAATTACCGCCAACTTGGCATTGAGTTCGAAGCTTATAACTTTGTCATTTCTTGACTTTTAGAACGTACAATTTTAAATTTGTAAGCAGAGCTGATCTAGAGGATCAAAAAAACAATATTCGAAACACAATGCCAAATTTGCCAAATTAGCGGTAAAATTAAACATTCAAAACTTAAACCCAAAAGCGCAAGTTAAAATTTTTTATAAGTACTATTGGTGGCACAAAAAACTCATGCAAAAATTTTGATCTGATTCTGAGCGAGCAAGGTTGGGATACTTCCCTTGTAAATTAAAAAAACAGTTACAGTAGACCTAATAATGTTTAAAAAACCAAAGTAAACCTAATAAAATCAAGTCTTTCCGCCATTTCATACGATTGCAATTAAAATTGTCAGTTTTATGAGTTCCGTATTGTTACCTCTTTCTAACCCAATTATTGAAACGTTTTTGGACTGATTAGCGCCCCGATTGATCAGCTCCAACAACAAGAAGGGCTTTGTTTGGGAAACAAAAAGTCGCGCGAGAGTGAATGGAACCTGCCAGTGATACGGAGCGGTGATAAACAACAATGGGGTCAGTGCAAAAAACCGTTCCGCCTGGTATAAAAGAGCCCGCACTCAGTTGGAAACCTCATCCCAGGCTTCAGAAGCTTCAGTCCAAGAGGTAAGCACTAGTGGGTTTATATTAATTTGTGGCCTTGGGTTACGGTGGTTTTTGAGTAAAATAAGGTGGTTCTAAGGCTTTTGGCTTTAGTTTCTTATCAAAACTTCAATTTTAAAATATTATTTTTATCAGAAATTAAAAATTTTAGTATAATTTACAACATCAACTCTTTCTGTACTAAAAAACTATCATCAAGTACAACATCTTCACTATATAAGCCTAAAACCCTCCTTTTCAGCCATGAGTGCCAAATTCCTTGTTGTCGCCACATCGGCAGTTTCGGCCGTCTTCATCCTCGGAGCCTTGATCTCCGTCGGCATGGTCTTCCAAGACATCAACTCACTATATGATGAGGTCATGATCGACATGCGCGACTTCAAGTCCTCCGCCAACGACGCCTGGCACGGCATGATGGCCGTCTCCACCCCAGACGGAGAACCAAAAACCGAAACCTTTGCCAAACTGATCGGCCGTAACAAACGTTCCACTCAATGTGAATGTGCCCGCAAAGCCAACAACTGTCCAGCCGGTCCACCAGGCCCAGCCGGAAATCCAGGAGAGAAGGGAGACGATGGACCAAACGGTGAGAACGGAAAGCCCGGAGCTCCAGGAATCGCTCTTCTCGGCCCCAACAGAAAGGGAGGCTGCATCACCTGCCCAGCCGGCATTCCAGGTCGCCCAGGACCAATCGGCAAAGTCGGACCAGCCGGCCAAACCGGTCTTCCAGGCCAAAAGGGATACCCAGGAAACGATGGCTTCCCAGGACCATTGGGCCCACTCGGAGACGCCGGAGAACAAGGACCACCAGGAGAGCCAGGACCAGTCGGACATCCCGGTATGGACGGCCGCAAAGCCATCTCTCCACCAGGACCAAAGGGATCCGTTGGACTTGTTGGACCACGTGGACCAGCCGGAGAACGCGGAGAAGCTCCACAACCAGGAGAACAAGGAGAAGCCGGCCCAGAAGGTGCTCCAGGAACCCCAGGCAAAGACGGAACTCCAGGTATTCCAGGTACCGTCGGTGCCCCAGGATCATCTGGCAAGGACGCCGAATACTGCCCATGCCCAACTCGCAGCAACGGTGGTGGCAGTGCTCCTGCTGGCCCAGCCAAGCCCGCCGCTCCAGCCTTGAACGCTGGTGCTGGACAACAAGGAGCCTACAAGAAGAAGAGACGTCTCAGAAACTAAATATTATCTATGACTATCTTAAATTTAAAATAAATGATGGCATTACATTCGAAAATTATTTAAAAAATTGAAATCCACAAAAAAATTAAAATTATTAAAAAATATAATTAAAAACGTTAAACTAAACTCTTTTTTAACATTAAAATAATAAAAACTACAAATACAACCCAAAAAAACATAAAATTTCGAAAAATTCTATTTGAATATCAAATTCAAACGAAAAATTGGCAAAAAACAAAAATGGCTTGGCATTCCGTTGCAGCCTGAAAAATGGGGAAAATTTAGAATTTTCGAACTGAAAATTGCATCATTTGAGTGTTTCGTGTCAATCTTCTTGAAATTTTATACCTTAAAACTTTTAGTAGACATTTTAAATTAAAAATATTGTTTTAGACTTGAAATGTCAGGTTTGGGAGCAGTTCCCGACTCGATAAACTTCCCAAACGAGGAACAAAAGATTCTCAAACATTGGGAGAAGGACGAGACTTTCAAGAAGTCCTTGGAGTAAGTTTTATTTTGTTTGCTTTTATTGAATTTTTAGGTAGATAATGAGTTTTGGATGCCAAAGGTTGAGCTTAGCATAGTTTTTGAGCTTGAGGTTTTAACTTTCGCATTTTTCTGAAAAATTTAGACATTTTTGAAATAAAATACGATTACTCGAATTTCGATTGAACCAAAATTTATAGATTGTCAAAAGACCGACCTCATTTTACCTTCTATGACGGTCCTCCGTTTGCTACTGGTCTTCCTCATTATGGCCACATCCTCACAGGTACCATCAAGGATGTAGTTACTCGTTGGGCAGCTCAAACTGGCTATTATGTTGAGCGAAGATTTGGATGGGATACTCACGGTCTTCCGGTTGAGTTTGAAGTTGACAAGACTCTGGGTATCAAAGGTCCAAGCGATGTTCATGAAATGGGCATTGATGTGTACAACAATCATTGTCGTAGCATTGTTATGAGATACTCAAATGAATGGAGACATACCGTTCAACGCATGGGAAGGTGGATTGATTTCGATAATGATTACAAGACTTTGTATCCTTGGTTCATGGAGTCGGTGTGGTGGGTGTTCTCCGAGTTGTACAAGAAGGACATGGTGTACAGAGGAGTCAAGGTTATGCCGTTCTCGACTGGTTGTTCAACGCCTTTGAGTAATTTTGAGGCTGGACAAAACTACAAGGATGTTCAGGATCCGGCAGGTACGCTTTTTTCTTTGTTTTTTTTTTAATTTTAGGTGCGAAGATCTACATTAACTATGATGAAATAGTGAAAAACGTTGTCTTTTGTTTTATATTTAAAAAAAATAATGTAAAATTTAAAGATCTTGAAATTTTTATCTAACTTTATATTATACTTCAGCTTTTGTTGGTTTCCAACTGAAATCAAATCCAAACAGATCTCTGATCATTTGGACAACAACTCCATGGACTTTGCCAAGTAATTTGGCTATTGCCGTCCACCCAGATCTTGAATATGTTGCCGTGAAGCCAAAGGGAGTTGAGAAAGAATATGTGCTTCTGAAATGTCGTTTGACTGAGTTGTGGAAGAAGGCTGATCAATACCAAATTGTTGATACTTTCTTGGGAAAGACTCTGGGAGGTCTTGAGTATGAGCCAGTGTTCCCATACTTCGCTTACAGAAGAGAATCTGGAGCTTTCAAGGTTTTGCTGGGTACTTTTATTACTACGGATCAAGGTACTGGCTGTGTTCATCAAGCTCCTTACTTCGGAGAGGTATGTCTTTAATTTTTTATATAGTTTTTAGGTATTACGAGCTTTGAAATGTATGAAAAAAAGATTTTAAGCTATTTACGAAGCTTTTAATTTATTTATTGATCTTATTTAGCATTTTTAAATCTATTTTAGTTACTTTTTATGAAAAATATTACCAACCCTTATATTAACATCAACTTTTGTACAGATTGATTACACCACATGTCTGGAGAACAACGTTATCACCAAAGACGGTGAATTGGTCTGCCCAGTGGATGAGCAAGGTCGCTTTACATCTGAAGTGACAGACTACAAGGGTATCTATGTTAAGGATGCTGACAAGGCTATTCTGAAACATTTACAACAAACTGGACATCTTGTGAAGCAAGCCACGGTGCAGCACAGTTACCCATTCTGCTGGAGATCTGATACTCCATTATTGTACAAGGCTGTGCCCTCTTGGTTTATTAGAGTGGAGAGTATTGTCTCAAAACTGTTGGAGAACAACGACAAGACTTATTGGTGGGTGTTGAATTTCGATTTTGAAATTTTTAGGTTGAAAACATCTAAAATAAGTTTGTTTTAAACAAAAACTGCTTTTAAGGCTTAAGGTTAATAAATGAGTTAAAATTATATAAATTTCAGTTATTTTATGCAAATATTGTTTCAGGGTACCAACCTTTGTCAAAGAAAAGCGATTTGCTAACTGGCTACGTGATGCTCGGGACTGGGCCGTGAGCAGAAACCGCTTCTGGGGTACTCCCATTAATCTCTGGGTCAGTGAAGACATGTCCGAAGTCGTATGTCCATCTTCTATCAAAGAACTCGAAGAACTGACCGGACAAAAGATCACTGACATTCATCGTGAAAGTGTTGATGGCCTTACCATCAAGTCAAAGTCAGGCAAAGTCTTGAAGAGAGTCAGCGAAGTATTCGATTGTTGGTTCGAATCCGGATCCATGCCTTACGCTCAACAACATTATCCATTCGAGAACAAACAACGTTTCGAAGCCAACTTCCCAGCCGATTTCATTGCTGAAGGTATTGACCAAACTCGAGGTTGGTTCTACACCTTGTTGGTATTGTCCACGGCCTTGTTCGACAAACCTCCATTCAAGAACCTGATTTGTAATGGACTTGTGTTGGCTGCTGATGGAAACAAAATGTCAAAGAGAAAGAAGAACTACCCAGATCCATTGGAAGTTGTCGGAAAGTATGGAGCTGATGCTTTGAGATTGTACTTGATCAACAGTCCTGTAGTCAGAGGAGAAACCTTGAAGTTCAGAGAGGAAGGTGTTAGAGATTTGCTGAAGGACGTGTTCTTGCCATGGTTTAACGCTTATCGTATCTTGGCTTCGAATTTGAGACTGTTTGAGTTGGTAAGTTGGGTTTTTTATATTATTTGATTTTTTTTTAAATTTGATTTGATAGGAGCGCAGAATTAAATGAACGACCTTATAAGTATTTTAAAAATAATAAATGTATTCATTCTTTAGGACACCAAAGCCAAGTTCGATTTCCACACTGGAAAAGCCAGCAATGTCATGGACCGATGGATTGTCTCCTTCACCAACAGCTTGGTACAATATGTTCGCAAAGAGATGGAACTCTACCACCTCTACACAGTCGTAACCCCATTAACCAAATACTTTGACACTCTTACCAACATTTACATCCGTCTCAACAGAAGCCGTTTTAAGCCAGAAAACGAGGATGTTGAGGATTGTCGTATCGCTCTGTCGACTTTGGCCCATGTTCTGGTTACGGTGGTCAGGCTTATGGCACCATTCACTCCATACTTCTCAGAGTATCTGTGGAAGTCGTTGAAGATTGTAATTGGATCAGACAAGGATTCAGTTCATTTCTGTGACATTCCAGAACCACACCTTGACCTGATTGACGATGAGGTCGAAAGAAGAGTCAGTGCGATGAGAGAAGTCATTGATATTGCCAGAACTTTGAGAGAGAGGAAGGGAATCAGCACAAGAGTAAGTGTTGGGAGTTTTGATACTTAAAAAGAAAAACGATGAGATAAATTATGTAGACATAATATTTTACATTTTTAAATAGAAAACAGTTTTCTGTTAATTTGAAATTTCAATTTTTAATTAAAAACAAAGATATGAAAGGCTAAAACTAATAGAATTTATGATACAGTACCCTCTGAGAGAAGTTGTCGTTGTTAACCGCAGCCAACAGTTCCTGGACGACGTTCTGAGCCTAAAGACCTACATTCAAAGCGAATTGAACTTGAAGGAAGTCACAGTGTCCCAAGACAAGTCCAAGTACGGTGTCCAACTCAAAGCAGAGCCTAATTTCAAACTTTTGGGCAAAAGACTGAAGGGAGATCAGAAGAAGGTTGCTGAATACCTAAAGAATACCGTAACGGAAACCGAGTTGGAAGACCTGATCTCTAACTGCAAAATCACGGTACATGGCTACGAGTTGACGTCGGAAGAGGTTGGTGTAGCATTTACTTGTGACTCAAAGTCTGGAGGAAACTGGGAAACTCAAGCCGGTAACCAAACTGTGGTTCTTTTGGATTGTACTGAAGACGAAGCGTTGTTGGAAGAAGGTCTGAGCAGAGAAATCATCAACAGAATTCAGAAGTTGAGAAAGGAAGCCAAGCTGCAACCCGACGACGCTGCTTCCGCCTACTGTACATTTGAGCCAGCTGAAGGACATTTATTGAAGACGGCTCAAAAGTTCTTGGAATCCATCTCGAAATCGACCGGAACGACAGTCAAATTGAATGAAAAGGCTGGAGAAAAGAACGTTGTTGCTTCAAACAAGAGTGAGATCAGAAATGAACAAATTGAGGTAGGTTTTGGTGGTTTACCACAGTTTAACAAGGGTGATATAATACTCTATAGAACAAAATGGGTAGTTTATTAGTAGGAATTGAATGGTTTTGGTCTAAAATCGCTACTTTCAGGTCAATCTTATCCTTGGAGCTTAATTTCAATCGATGGTTTTCTGTTGCTTTAAATGAAACCGGATGAAAACTTGTTGTCAATTTTATTGTTATCATGTGTAATTTCTTAAGTATAAATAAATTTATTCAGTAAGCATTCGTCTGTTGTTGTAGACTATTGTTAAAATCAAATTTTATACTATGATTTTGAAATTGGTGGGTCTCACGAGGATACCAGGTCAATTGAGTCTATAAATTAGCAGCTTTATCGACTCAAAGTAGAAAACCTTCTGTAGATTTTCTGTTTTTAGGTATCAATATGAGTGAAGAAGCCATCTTGAGGAAGTTCGTAGCAGATGGTGATGGTTTTGGAGAAGACAAACGGCTACAAACATTGTTTCTTCAGCTGAGGAATTTGAATCCAGATGCATTAAGCGATTCAGAGTAAGGATCTTTTTAATATGTTAATGTTAACATAAACGTTTTGAACTTTTTGGTGAAAATTATTATAAATTGATTGTTACATAAAGGTAATCTTTATTTTTTAGGGAAATAATTAAAATCGAGAACACACTAGGATTGGTGGAATACAGTTTCGACAAACAGAGCTTGTTATCAGATCTGATCTTCAAGGAAACAGACGCTTTGAAACATTTGAATACACAGATTTGTAAGTTTTTTTAAATTGTTTATGATTGAAAAGTTTATGTAAAATACGTCAATCCTGTCCGAACTTGCTCCTAATGTGGGACTTGATTCTTCTAAATTTATAATCACAATCTAATTTTCAGTCGAAAAGATAGACCAACTGAAAGACCAAATTGATGTAGTGAAGGACGAGTTGAAAGAAGCGAAAGCAGTTAGGAAGAATAAACAAGAATACGACGATGTAGCCAGAACGATCATTGAAAAGCCGTCACGGGAAGAAACGGCCGAAAACTTGGAGAAACTGCACGCTTCTCTCAATGATCTACATGAAAATCAAAAGGAATTAGAGCTGAAGTTGAATGAAAAGAGGTTAAAAGTGCAGGAATTAAACAATCTGCTTGAGGAGTTCAAAGAAAAGAAGCCTGATGGTAAGGAAAATAATGTAAAAACAAAAGAATGAAGAAAAAAGTTCGAGAATTCCGTTTTTGAGGCTTCAAATTGATATTATAGTAGGTAAAACAGAAAATTTGATGTAATAGATCACCTTATTACGTAGCCCAGTAAACCTAGTATAATTTTTAGTGTAAGATCTATCGAATCATCTTTAACTTATAACAGACATTGTTTTAGTTCTGATGGAAGAAGTCCGAATCTCGTCTCCAGAAGAAGACGACGACAAAAGCGATCAATCTGACGATGATCTTCGTGATCGCAAAGCTGATAAGAAGTTTAAAAAAGACAATGAAGTAACGATAAATGAAACAAAAGAAGAAGAGGAAACACCCGAATATGATATTAAGGATGATCTACTGGAAGAAGATCTCAAAGAAGAAAATGATATTGAAGCTGACATCAAGGAAGAAGATGTTGATGTCGATCTCAAAGAAGATGAAGAGCTTGTTGATCTCGACATAGCTAATGACTGACATTTACAATATTGATTTAATCTTATGAGTAACTTGTAAATAACTTGGTAATAAATTATTCAAAATTGATATTTTTGGGGTTTCGAGTGGAAAGTGTTTTGATAAAGGTTTGAAATTCAAAAATTTGTATTTCGCTTTTAAGGAAAGGTACAATTGCCAAAATTGGTATAACAAAAGATGAACGTAACAGATATTTTATCGCAAAATTGGATTTTTAGATGCAATCGTGAGCTTTCTATGAATTTTTGAATAAACGGGTATACCTACATCCAGAATTATTCGTATAACACTTTCTTCAAGGCGTTATTTTGTATTTTTTTATATTTTAACGTTTGTTTTTATAAAATTCGTTGCAACTAAAATAAATTTTGTTAATTTTATCAAATTTTATGTTATTTCTGTTTTTATAATCTGAAAAGTGTGGTAATATGAATAAAACTTTGAATTTTTTGTTTATTTTAATTGTTCATCTTGTTATTGTAAGTAAAATCCTCAAAAAATGAATAATATTCTTTGTCTTACCTTTAACAAACTGTAAAAGTTAATTAAAACCTCATTTCAGGCTCAGAACCCTCTGGACATTGATTTAGAAGCGGATTTGTCAACTTTGAATCAAAACACTTTGAAGGAATTCAACGAGTAAATTGAATTTCGTTTTTATTCTTTCGTTCCTTTTATTCTGTTTTATTTCCTTCTATTTAGACAATGGAACGGCACGCCCGCATCGGAACGTTCTCAACTGTTGCAGAGGCTCGGGAAGATTGCCTTGTTCATGAGATTGTACCGAAAGTTTGCTCCGGATCCGAATAATGGAAAAGTGGAGTTTGAATACCTGTTTCCGAAGCCTGAACCAGCTTTTCACAAGGAGATTCTGGACAAATGTAATGATAATATTAAGGTAGGTGATATAGTTTATAAGGAAATTTGGTGTTGAGGTTGTTTTTGCTTTGTCCAGCTAGTATTGTGGTTGATAGTGCTTAGGTTGATGTTGTTTTATTCGGCTTATATTGAGGTAGGTGATGCTTAGGTTGATTCTGTTTTCTTCAGGTTATTGAGGTAAATGATGATGATATTGTAAAATACGCCGCAGGAAGGTTTTTCATCCAAACACTAGGACAGCTAGGGCAAATATGGTAAATCAATATTGATTGCAACAAGTTTTTTCTCAGTTTTGTTGATAATATTCGACTTTTCTATTTAACTTGTTATAAGAATGGCCAGGTTTCAATGTTCTTTTACTTTTGAAACACTGAACAAACGTTCAAAATTACTGTAGAACGCCGAGTTTGGTAACTTGATTTGCTCTTTCTAAAGTTAACGTGTAAAGTCAATTTAAAATGTCATTCTACAGTATTTGTTCAGTTTATTCGATTTAGACATTGTTAAAGTAACATGGCCTTGATTACCATCGTAATCTTTAGTTTTGCCCTTTGCTTTAAAATGTCATTTTGTTTTTTTTACTTTTGATACTTGTCACATCATTTTGTTTATTTTTACGACATGTACTAGGTAAGATAGGGTACTATAATGATTTTACAACGATGAAGCCACTTAAATTCGTACGGTTGTTGGAGAAAAACATTGTAAAGTAAAGTGGTATTAGACTAAAATAATATTGTTCTTAGGCAGATACAGCTAATTTAGAGATTGAAAAAGGTACCAAAGTAGTCAGGGTAGGGTAGGGTAAGGTAGAGAAGTGTATGGTAGGGAAAGGAGGGTAGAAAAGGGTAGGATAGAGAAGGGATAGGGTAGGGTAGAGCAAGGAGGTGAGGATAAGGGCAACAAAGCGAGAGCATGTCATATTAGGTAGGTTAGGATTGGGTAGAAACGAATAGGTGAGGTAGAACCAGGATACGATACTTTAACTATATAAATATTATCATTGTGACAGTTTTTCGAATATTTGTGCCAACCTAGTTGGTCTAACCAATATAATAACTGTTTACGACTGTGAGGATGACTAATCTGTTTTCAGGTGTGTATTAACTTTGTTATGGATAATCTCTATCAACGTTTCCCCACTCTATTCCCTACTCATTTCTATGAACCAGACTTTTCTTTGGAGTAAGGCCAATCACTTTTTTTTTTACTTTTTTAAAAACGCTACTATGTTATATAATCTTTATGACACTTTTGTAATATTTTTCCCTACTATAAAGGGTCCTGCTAACCATTATCGTATTTTACCATATTGTTTTAGATATATTTTATATTATTTTATAACTTCATTTTAGTGCTCAAACATTTACTCAATTCTTGGACAAGAATCAGCAACGATTTGATGTTACTATTGCTTATTTGTTCTGCTGGTCCACTAAAAACAAGCTGGAGGCTTTAGAATACATGCCATTCTGTAGTTATGATCCTGATGGCCCTTTAACTATGGTAAGTATTTTTTTGTGGGTCTTTTACTGAATTTTAAAGTCTCTCTGCTGAGCTGGTTTTTTTTTGCACCGTGCAGTTTTAAAAGGCTTTAACCTTGAAAAAAAATGTTATTTATGTCTATAATATTTCAATTACCCTAGTGTTATAAAATTTAGAATCCGGGTGTCTTTCGACATTTTTTAAAAAGCAATAAAGTAATTTTTTGTTATGACATAAAAATTTATAGTTACCTTGACACTTAGTTTTCTACAATCGCTTTTTTTTTGTAATTTTGGTTGTTTTTAGATCAGTTTATTACGCTCCAATCTCTTTAGTATGACACTTAAGGGACAGGAACAAGGTGCCATTATAACCAGGGTGTCACACTATCTACGTAATTTTTGATAGAATTTCTATTACAAAGAGAGGTCAAAAAGCTATCATTAAAAAAAGAGTGTCATACTGTCTAGAGTCATACTAAAGACGTTTTACTGTAATGAAATTTAAAAAAACTTTTATGACATACAAAACTGACTTTTTTTCAGTTCCCAGCTGATCGCTTTCGTGAAAACAAATTTCGAAAAGAAATCAAAGTAAAAATGGCAGAAGTCATGGATAACATGTTTGAACTGGAGCCGTTTGAGTGTGCTACTAAAAGGTAAATGAAAACTTAATGTTTTAAAAGTATTTTAGTTTTTTATGTGAAGTTGAGTAGCTTTATCTAAGTTTAAAGATTTTCTTGGAGAGGGGGGGGTTTATCTTAATTTTCAAATTTTTGTACAATTTTCAAATGTTTCTACTTGCTTAGCGGCCACCCTAGTAGACAAAATTTTAATTCTTTACACTCACAATGAATATTCTTCTCTAGAAACGTCGTAATTCAAAACAAATTTTAATTACAATTCCGTGTTATACTTCAAATATACAATTGTAGTCTACTTGATGTACTCTTTTTGGTATTTAAACGGTTTTCGCTAATTAGAGTAATTTAAAATTGATAAAAAGTGTAATTGTTACCTTGTCAGGGCTTTGTGTGGGTTTTGAGATATTATTTGGGATTGATAATAAATATATTTTGGGCTGGAGGTTTAACTTGTTTAGGGTAGGGCATAGACAAGCAAGGTTGGGTATTGCAGAGAATGGCCGAGCGGGTTGGGTTATATGAACTAAAATGGGGGTATGGTAATAGGGTAGGATTGGGTTTGATAGGGTAGAGTTATACAAGGTAGGATAGGGTAAGATAAAGTAGGGTAGGGTAGTAGGGTAAGGTAGGGTAGGGTAGGGTGGGTTAGGATAATGTAGGGTAGGGTATGTAAGGTAGGGTAAGGTATGGCATAGTAGGGTAGGACGGGACGTCAAAAAGTATCATACTACTACAATACTCATTTCAGTTTCTGCCCAAACCCATGTTGCGGAAACGGCGACAACAATACCTGTGCTCATCCTGTCTGTTCACCAGCCAATTCTAAATCAGAATGTGTATTATCAGACGATCTAAACACGAATATCAAGGGTTTGGTGGCGAATCATTGGAATATAACGTGTGGATGTGATGAGCCTGGATTTGTTTATCGATTTGACACTGAACAATGTGTAGATGTTGATGAGTGTCGAGTCACTGAATGTGCAGGTACGTTTTGAAAATTTTAAAATTGAAAAAAATTGTAAAAAAATTTTTTAAATGTTTTTTAAAGTTTTTAATTTGATGCAAAAAGAATGGCGCGTTGAAAATCTTTGGAGTAATGTTGCAAGAAAAAAGTTACAGTATCCTTTCTTTTGACTATAGTACAAACATCTTTCAGAAAGTTGGCCTAAACAGCTGAAAATGCGGTAAATATATTTAGAACATACGATAATAGTCCCCGTAATTTTTACAGGATATTTTGATGTAATTGCCGGAAGCAAAGAAGCAATAACATTAAGATATATGAGGCATTAAGTAATGCCAAGCATAATAAAATATTTTTACTGTCACTACATGTTATCCTGGGAGGCCTGCGAGCCTACTTTGGCAGATGTTTTGGGCTTACAAGTTTTTTGGTAGGGTAGATGTGCTTTTTGGGGTGGGTGGTGACGTCGATAGAGAGTAAGGGGATGATTTGGGGTGGTCTTACCTTTTTTTAGAAAGAATATGTAGCGACAGTGCGATTAATTTAGGTAGGGTACTCGCTAAGGTAATGTAGGGTGCGGTAGGATAGAATAGGGTTGGGTAGGGCAGGATAGGGCAGGTAGGGTGTGAAGTAAAAAACTAATATGTCAAGGATTTGCTGGCTCCAAGTATTTATTCTCTAATAATAAAGCGATAAACAATCATTACATCTGTCGATAAGCTTGTAAGGAATGCCAGTCCTAGCCAGGCGCTAATTTTGAATAAATATCCATCTTTACCATTACTTTTTACAAATGATAATATTGAACCAACGAGAGTGCTTGTACTGTATATGCCCACTAAAAGGTAATTTTTGTAATGGCAAGGCAAGGCAAGGTAAGGTAGGGTAGTGTAAATAGATAGAGCAAGGGAGGGCAACTACCTCTAATAAAAGTTGTTTAAATTGTTTAATGATAAGCTCGAACTTACTTATAATAAGAGCCTCGCTGTCATTTGGGACAGAAAATTTGTAGAATTCATAGTTCAAGTAGAGATTAATGGAACGTAATGCGGTGCAACATTCAACGCATATAGCGACTCCTTGAATGGCAATCAAAATGTGGGCCTAAAATGGAAAGGTATAAAAATAAGGCCTCTGTATAAGGTGGAACTTCTGTATGCATAATACAGGAGTGCCGCCGTTTACTAATATGACTAACTACTCTATAATAAAACTCCTTTATACCGAACTACTTTTAAATCCCTGAGCAATGTTTTACACAAGAGTTCGACTGTGTATATGTATAATAATTTACGAAATGGAGGGTCATATTGAAAACTTTGTTTTGATGTCAAAAAACGACGGGAGAGTCTCGATAAATTTTAATAATAATAATGTATGTAAGTATAATATTGTAAATTAGTAAACAAAGAGCAATGTTTCGTTTTGTTATCAAGTTTATTTTAACAGACGATTTCTGAGGCAGTGAAGCATCCTGAAACGGCCGTGTGCACTAGAAATTTACCCCCTGTTTTTATTATCTAAATCGATGAAATAGACCGTTTTAATATGTGTGTTAAAGTGATTTTGGCCAAAATGCCGTTTTGGCATTTTTATGCCACTTTTGTCAAAAAAAGTTAAAATTTATTAAAATCAATAATGCTCTAAACGTTCTGAAAATTTGCATACTATGTTTTTAACTATTCTAAACAATATTGTAATTGAAAATTTTTTTCTAAAGTTACCGTAACCTACCGTAATCTTACCAATCGATTATAAAAATACAAATATCTAAAAATTTAACACCCGTTGTCATAGGTAAACTATGCAGATTCTGAATCTACATTAAATTTGGGTTTAGATAGGCAGTGTCTCCATTCCTAGCGTAATTTTGGGGTTTTTGGTCGATCAAAAGATTACGGTAGCAAATCGCCCAAAATCTCAAAAATTTATAACTGCCCTCAAACTGCACTAAATGGTACTAGTTTTTTTCACGGTTATGTTTTCAACTATGCTGAACAAAGGTTACTCTCGGCCGAACTGTTTCGATATCTGTGTACCGCAGATACTTGAAGTAACACTTTTCTTCATCGCTTAGTTTCTAAAGCAAGTAGAATTAAATAGACAAGCATACCTTTTTGCCATCAGAAGATACTGGAATTGGGCCGTTTTCACTGTCGATACTTCGTTCAACACAACCGACAACACACGCAAAGGTAGATGGAAAGTTTGCCGCATCAGGATTTGGATCTGATTTTGGAAGTTGGCCCATCGAATTAGCTATGTTCATTATCCATTCAGAGTTGGAGCAAAAACAAATTGAAACTAAGAAAAAATTATTTGTTCTTATTTCTTACCGTTTTTGAGTAGTTGGTATCAAAATTAACATGATATATATTATTTCGGATACATTCTGCTGTACATTGCAAACCTTCAAGAGCATAACTGGTTTCAAAGAAATTTTCAGGTGTTTTTGAAAAAGTCAACAATACATTTCTGTCCTATTCTATCCATTCATCTGATACACTTCGTTTTGTTGTAGAGCGAGATTCAGCAAAAAGAATTAGCAAGAAAAAAAGCCACCGTTTGGGCATTTTCTACGGCTTTAAACGAAAAGGCAAAAAAAATAAGAGCCAACTGCATTTTTCTCTTGATGCTCAAAAAGCGGATAATAAAATAAACACTATGAAAAAAATTGTGCTTGCGTTTCTTTAATAAAGCGATCTAATTAGTAGTTACTGTAAATTTATACTGTTATTATTAATTCCAAATTTGTTTAATGTAACAAAAACAGTAAACTTACAAATATTAAAAATAAGATTTATATTATTTACTTCATACTCAAATCTAACCAAATTCTTACATTTTCAAGAATGCGTTACCGTAATCTTTTGATCGACCAAAAACTCCCAAATTACGCTAGGAATGGAGGTACTGTCTATCTAAACCTAAATTTAATGTAGATTCAGAATCTGCATAGTTTACCCATGACGACGCGTGTTAAATTTTTAGATATTTGCATTTTTATAATCGACTAGTAAGATTACGGTAGGTTACGGTAACTTTAGAAAAAAAATTTCAATTACAATATTGTTTAGCATGGTTAAAAACATAAGTATGCAAATTTTCAGAACGTTTAGAGCATTATTGATTTTATAATAAATTTTAACTTTTTTTGACAAAAGCGGCATAAAAATGCCAAAACGGCATTTTTGCCAAAATCACTTTACCACACATTTTAAAACGGTCTATTTCATCGATCTAGACAATAAAAACAGGGGGTAAATATCTAGTGCACACCTTGCTTCACTGTCTCAGAAAGCGTCTTTTAATTTTTTTTAATTTTAGAATTTGGTTTAGAAATCAAGTCATATATTAATGTTAAAAAAACGAAAATAATAAGTTTAGTTGATATATGTGTATCTTTTCCGTCTCCTAGAAAACGACACGCCTGTATGATAAGAGTTGACTGGGATCGGCTGGGAGTGTTAATCGGCTTTTATAATATTTAAGTTAGGAAGAGTACTGTAACATTGTAGACTGTAGCTTGTTATGTCTTTGAAGAGTAGACTTGTAAAGGGGTCAGTCAACTCGGGCCCAATTTTTCGGACGAGCTTGCTAGCTCTTCAAAATTTTCTTTTGCCCGGCCTGGCCTCTTATAACTTTATTAAAATAAATAATTAATGGGACAACTTGTATGGTACTTCTGTGGCTTAAATAACTAAAAGTCTAAATTTTCAAAGGCAACGGAAAATCTAGTCTTAAGTATCTATAACATCAGATTCGTTTTACACGTTTTGCAAGTCAAATTTTTCGTTGCGGGACCTAATCTGAGCTTACGGGGCTTTGGTTCTTTGCTCCGGCCCGTGGGCCTACATGTGACGGCCTAGTCCCGGACTCCTTTTGGGCCTTCAGGTCTATTGAATAAGCATTTTCCAAAAACATGAAAAACACATTTTTTTCTTTACTACTGTAATTAATTTGAGGCTTTTGAATGAAGACAGTTTTATAATTGACCATTTCCGGTAGAAACAGTTAATACGACAGTAGCTCACACAATGGAATATCCGCTAACCGTATTTTACAAACCTTTGAATTATAAAATTGAGCAGTTTTTAATAGCCTTTGGTGGCAACATTGTTAGGACGTTTAACTCAATTTTGGCTGTTTGCGACATCAGAACATTCGAGATAAGATTATCTACTATTGGCCAAAGAGAAGTGATATAAATAGATTTACTTGGGTATTAGGGCATTGTTGCAGATGGGTATGAAGCGCGGTTTCTGGAGGTTTTAGTGTGTTTCAAGAAGGTACTACTGAGGCGAGGCAAGCCAACTAGGGTAGGGCAGGACAAAGCAGAGCAGGGAAAGTCAAGTCTTGTGTATCACAATTAAGTTTTATGTACACGAAGTAAATGGCCAGAATATGTTTATTATATACAATCCGGAACCTACTATAATGTATATACTTACATGTACTAAACAAATGTATGTCTATTATATAGATGTGTACCAACAAATAGCACAAACGTACGCATAATTGCCGGAGAAACGCTTTTAATGGTCACCATTTTGTTTCGCATTCAAAGGCCCACCGGTCAAGGATGGGCCGTTCCGTTAGTGCCGACCTTTGGCGGCGGACATTTGACCTGAGGGCAAATTGAATGGCCACTGTCATCTGTTCCGACGATTTTTTGATTTAAAGCTGTTTGGAGACATTTTTTGAGGGATTCGACAGCTAAAAATACTTGTTTTCATTGGAAATTGGTGCCTTTTTTAAAATGGTTTTTAAACTTTTTAAGTTTTGGGGATTTAGGAAGGCTATGGGGGTTTAAGGGCTTTGTTATGGTTAATATTTACGATTTTTTATTTTAAAATTTAAAAAGTGTTCTTTATGAATTTTTAAAAAAGTGCATGATAGGGTAACTATAGGGCACAGTATAATATGGAAGAGTAGGGTAAGGAACATGTAAAGCAGGGTAAATTAAGACAAAGGTAAGGATCGGTGAAATTAACTACTAGGTACGGTGGGGTTGGGAAAGGCAAATGTAGGGTAGGGTAAAGTAAAAGGAGTAGAGTCATCTTGGGCACAGTAGAGTACAGTAAGGCAAAGATAGAGTATGTTAGGGTAAGGGAAAAGTGGAGTAAGGTAGGGCAGGATAACGCAAGGATAGGGTAAGGTAGGGTAGAGTAGGGTAGGGTAAGACAGGATAGGGTAGGGTATGGTAAACTATATTGGTGTATTATATATTGCAAGGCTTGGCTTGGCTTACTGTACTTTTTCTTCGAAAATTTTCTTAAAAGTTTCTTATTTCAAAGCTTTTTTTTATTTAAAAATAATACTGCTTAAAATTAATGACTTCTCACTTAAGCCTAACCCTTATTCTTGCAGAAAACGAGGAATGCTTTAACACGATCGGCAGCTACAGATGTGTTTGTCAATTTGGATGTATCCGAAAACGAGGCAAATGTGTCCCAATTCAAATCGAAGCTAAAGTCCGGTTTGATGGCCCAGCTAAAGTTTGATTGTCTTGTGGTTTGTGCTGTTATTAGTTGTGTTTTGTGGTGGTAAAATAGGTTTTTTGGTCATTTTTTTATCTTTTGTTTTAGTGCACTGTAGGGTAGCATAAGTCAGGGTAGGGTATGCTAGGTAAGGTAGGGTAGGGTTTTACTTTTTAAAATGTTTAAGTTTTTAAAAGTTTTTTGAATTTTACACTACTTTAATGTCTCTTTTAATGTGTTAAACAACAAAAAGTATCACTTTTGGCCTCAAAATATTGATCTATTTGCCTACAGTAACATAGCTTCTTGGACGAACAAAAAGTTTTCCAAAAGTAATGACTCACTTTTAATTGAGCCCCACCATATATCAAGTAGGAAAACAAATACTTGATGTGTATATAAAGTCGTAATTTGATATTTGTAGCTAAATTTTTTATTTTCTCGCGGATTTTTTTGAGATGTTGTGTAGCCAGAGGTCAGATGATTTGGGTTTTGATGGCTATACTGTGATTTTTAATTTTTTACTGTGATTTTTTGATTTATATGGTGGTGTGGGATACAAAACTCTTGGCGTTTTTACATATGAGCTTAATGTAAATTGACGATGACTTTTCTTTTTTTTTAAACTAAAGTAATTAATATTGAGCTGTACCTTGCCTTGCCTTGCCTTTCCTGCCCTACTCTACTCTATCACATCCTGGCTTACTTTAACCTACTCTACTATACTATACCCTGACGTATATTATCTTACTTAACTTTACACTTTACTCTGCTTCTTAAAACTATTATGGTTATCTAATCTCAAAGTACACCTACTTCAATAATTCTTTGTCAAACACAAACTTCTACAATTACCATTAATAATTCAAGAACAACATGACGTTAATCCCGAAACAACACAGCGGGAATAGCGGATTACACCGGAAACCGGCTATTTTTATATTGTAAACATTTATTCGAGTGGTTTTTATTGTGTTACCCTTATTAGGAATAGCCGGAAGAGGGTGGCGGAGAGGGATGAAGATCGTGCTGGATTAGTGAGAGATCATTATGGGTTATATAAAGATGGCATTGAAGTTTAGTTTTGTACAAGGTTTTATTTGTAAGCATTAGACATTGGGTGATACTTTTCTACACATAGCATTAGATGTAAGATGAAGAAAAAAAATGTACCGTATTTTACATTTTTTGTTAATAGAATATACTTTTTTTTGAATGTAAACTATAAAGAAGGGTAGGGTAAGGCGAAATAGGGGGGGGTAGAATATGGTAGTTAAGAGTAAACTAGGGTAAGGTAGATTAGAATAGGGTAGGGTTATACTTATAAAAGGTCCGGGCCTAGCTCAATTTTTTGGCCAGGCTTCTTTTAAATTTGGTTTAGCCCGGTCCCACTCCTTATATAAATTCGTTAAAATAATAACTCGGACGATTCTATTGTACTGCTTCTGTGCTCGAAGTAAGCAATAATGCCCTGGTCTGGGCTTGGCCTTTGGGGCCACATGAACCGGCCTGGCCTTTTTCAAATTTGCTTTGGCCCGGCTCGACCCAGTCTAGCCTGGGACCGGGCTTAGTGGGCTTTTTTTCAGGATAGGTAAAGTAGGGTAGGATAAGGTAGGGTAGGGTAGGGTAGAGCAGGGTACGGTAGGGTAGGGAAGGGTACGGTAGGGTAAGATTGGGTAGGGTAGGGTAGAGTAAGGTAGTGTATAATAGAATAGGGTACTTTTTTTCAATTTTATTTTAATTTTTTTCAAAAAACGGATTTTCAAAATAA